TCTCACCACAGCCATACAGTGTGGTCATCTCAATCAGGCAGCAGCTGGTCTATTAAACTTACAACAACAAAGCTAATTAGAAGGCTAAACATCTTCCCATTGTCTTCAAAACACTTTGAGAAGACATGATTACCTTTGTGACATATGTACTTTTTTATATTTGTCTAAATAAGGTCGCCAAGTCTTTAGCTATGAAAAAGTGATTTCAATGGAAAATGCATAAATCTATGCCTGTGAAAAGTGGGACAATATTTAATGGGTAACAATTTTAACATGATACACAGGAAATATCTCAATGTGCACTTTTATCAATTCACTTTACTCGGGGAAAACATGTCCAAGAAATATTGATGAGTTTAGATTCAAGACACATCCATATCTTCATTAGGCATATCTTACAAAACAACAAGGCTCCACGCTGCTGGCAGGTTGACGTTGTCTGCGCCATTGAGTCGTGGATCAATTGGCATCAAATTGAAGATAATTATCTATTGAGAGTGTGACTATAGACTGTATAACAGTGTTCCTTTTCGTTGATACAATCCATTGTGACTGTTAAATCAAATAGGAATCTGACAGGAGTCAGTAGAATGTTTAGCATCACCCTGGTTTATAAAGAAATAGTAATCTGACAGGAGTCAGTAGAATGTTTAACATCACTCTAGTTTATATAGGGATATGAATTGGACAGGAGTCAGTAGAATGTTTAACATCACTCTAGTTTATATAGGAATATGAATTGGACAGGAGTCAGTAGAATGTTTAACATCACTCTAGTTTATATAGGGATATGAATTGGACAGGAGTCAGTAGAATGTTTAACATCACTCTAGTTTATATAGGAATATGAATTGGACAGGAGTCAGTAGAATGTTTAACATCACTCTAGTTTATATAGGAATATGAATTGGACAGGAGTCAGTAGAATGTTTAACATCACTCTAGTTTATATAGGAATATGAATTGGACAGGATATAGTCAGTAGAATGTTTAACATCACTCTAGTTTATATAGGAATATGAATTGGACAGGAACATCACTCTAGTTTATATAGGAATATGAATTGGACAGGAGTCAGTAGAATGTTTAACATCACTCTAGTTTATATAGGAATATGAATTGGACAGGAGTCAGTAGAATGTTTAACATCACTCTAGTTTATATAGGAATATGAATTGGACAGGAGTCAGTAGAATGTTTAACATCACTCTAGTTTATATAGGGATATGAATTGGACAGGAGTCAGTAGAATGTTTAACATCACTCTAGTTTATATAGGGATATGAATTGGACAGGAGTCAGTAGAATGTTTAACATCACTCTAGTTTATATAGGGATATGAATTGGACAGGAGTCAGTAGAATGTTTAACATCACTCTAGTTTATATAGGGATATGAATTGGACAGGAGTCAGTAGAATGTTTAACATCACTCTAGTTTATATAGGAATATGAATTGGACAGGAGTCAGTAGAATGTTTAACATCACTCTAGTTTATATAGGAATATGAATTGGACAGGAGTCAGTAGAATGTTTAACATCACTCTAGTTTATATAGGAATATGAATTGGACAGGAGTCAGTAGAATGTTTAACATTACTCTAGTTTATATAGGAATATGAATTGGACAGGAGTCAGTAGAATGTTTAACATTACTCTGGTTTATGCAGAAATAGGAACAGGACAGGAGTCATTTATCTAACATCACCCTGGTGGAGTCAATCACATGTTAAAAAACATTCTGGTTTATAAAGAAATTGGAATCAGACAGAATCCAATCAACCGTTTAATATCATTCTAGTTGGTATGTAGAAACTTGACAAAGTAACGTTCATGAATTATTTTCTTTGAAAACCTCCATTTTCTTTTATGTTACCAAGAAACATTCACAACTATGTGTCCAACAATTCTTTTAACAGGGCTTGATATTCATATCTAAAAGTACTGTTTCAACATGGACCAGGAAATTAATTGATATGCATAGATATAATATAAGTATCGTTATATGTAGGTACAAGTTATGTCATGTCTACCACATAGTGATAACGGCAGTAGAAATACTATTCAGGAAGTTAATAACTAAACCTCCAGGTATCAAATCTTTGGTTTTTCTAGAAAATCATGATAGTGTGCAAGTCAATCCATATGTAGGAATCTAAAGGTTTATAGAATCCGAGGTGATGATTGATGTTCTATCTCTTATCTGTACTGTTGGTAATATTTAATGGGGTTTTAATTTTGCTATACTTGCAGTTAGGAAACATAACATGAAATCAATATGCAGTAAACATTTTATAGTGAATTAAAATCTCAGAAAATGTTCGTTCTTTCGGTATACATTCATACCAATTGATAAACATGAAATTAAATGCCTGTGAAGAAACCAAAACCAGACAGTTGCGAAATATATCTTCCATGAAATTAAACAACTATACAGCATGTAACATTAATTCATATGACATTTTCATATACCATACTAGTATTATCTATATTGTGTATTCATAACTAATTTTTTACATATGGTGAACTTAATATGGCCATGGCATGTTAACATACTAGCATTAATACTCTATCTACCTGGCTGGTATTATCAGTACAAATTTAGCATTGTAGTCAATCTTTCTTTTTTGTATTTTATTCTATTTTGCAATTTTTACAGCAGCACAAAAATTCTTATCTTTGATATTCCATTTTCAAAACATGAGATATTGTATTTCTTAGCATATACTCATACTGTTATACATGTAAAGCAAAGCAGAATTATAATTTAAAGATTGTAAAACATAGTAATGTGTCCTGTTATAGAGAGAAAGAAGAAGACATTTTTAATCAATCTTAATAATACAATATTTGGGGAGGAAATTAGATTACACATAGAAATTTTGCACAATATATCTTAAAAAACATTTCCACACCATTTGCAAATACAAATATTTAAAACATTACAAAATGCTTAGAAAATCCCTGGCAATTAAACAATTTTAATGAAATAATTTCAACACCGTGTGTCCTGAGGTGACAACAAATTACCACACCATGTCTACTGGCCATTACCTATCAAAATTGTCCAATTAATGTTTAAGTAGAGAAAAGATAAAGTAATACTAGAGAATCAGTATATGGAGCTTCATATACACCTGAACTGACCGTCGTGTGATAGAAATCATCAAAGTCTTAACTTATAATAAACTTTGAAAATGTAGGTGAATCCCATAGGAAAAATGCAAGTCATGACCAGAACTCTGAGTCCCAATAATCATTGGTAACTTTATGAGTTTAAAGACTCTAAAATTTTAGCTTCCTTTTAAGTAAAAATGCAGTAAAAAAAATAAATTCTACTATTTATTATTATTAAGAATATTTCACATCTGAATGTGGAGGACTTTAGGTGGTAAATGAAAAATACCTGAGTGATAATATGAAATATTCTAATGGTATTGTATTTCCCACATACTTTTTACCATTATACATGTTTTCAATTTTCCAATGGTAATGATCACAAATAATAGCATGAAAGAAAATTACCGATTTTCTATTTAATTAATAAACAGTTATTTAATCTGGCTTTATCATAACTTTATGGGATGAGACAGACTGTAACTATAAGGAAATATGACTTGTAAAATTCCCCATCAAATTCATCAAATTCAAGAGACATACACTATATAAAATAATTTCAATATCATGAGTCACTATACACACAAATTCCTGTGGTGCCCTTTATTGGGACAAAGCTTTATAGTTTCCTTGACACTATTACGATGAAATTGAAATCTCTTTCTCCGTTTCCTTGCAAATCCTATTTTTCATACAAAAGTTAGCCAGAAAGTTAAAAGTTGTTACTAAATCAGCCAACCGGAACCATGTGTAAATGATAAATGAGAAACAGTGAAAGGTGAGCCCCTATTGAGACCAGACACACCTTTAAACCTGTGTTAAACCACAGAGGTCATGACACTGACACCAGCTAAAAAATCCTAAAATACTCCTACACACTGTACTTTGATTCAACTTTGGTGGTTTATATAAAGAATTAAATTTTATTAACTGTTAATAATTGCAAAAATCTTGTATATATAGTAAATTTGAAGAGTCTATGGTGCTAACCATTTCTATGTTAATTTCTTTACGACAGAGCAAAAACATTCACTGGTTTCATCTTAATTAGCTGTATAGTAGATTATTGATCACTGAATTAAATTTTACATTCACCGTTTCTGTATACGGTATTTAAAATACTGATTAGGCCTAATAAGAATACTACTTTTTCCACAACCATGGAAAAAATAAAATGTAAAGTTGGTCGGCAATTCTTTTTATCTTACTTTTTCTTAATGGTATTTATAGAGAAGGTATTATCATTCCTTACTGACATTGTTTTAAATGTTTATGTAAATGTCAGAAACCTATATTTCTTCAATGTAAAAGAAAATTAGACTTCTTCACACAGAGATTTCAATGCTGTATTATATTATAAATGAATTGTAAGTTAAAATGACTGTTGACACATGTTTTCATTTATCAAATTTCAAATTGGGGAAGAAAAAAAACCAATGAAATCAAATTTTTGATATGCAAAACAGTATGTGTTGAATTTAGTTTCATTTCTTATCACTACTGACAGAGCTTTTTCAAAAGAAATCATAAATCCTAAATGATGGTCAGAATTTGTAAAATTATTCTTATAAATCACATTTTTTAACAGCTGGTCACGGTGACATTAGCAAACATGGTTTCTAAAGGGAGCGACTGAATTGGCAAATAACAAATCAGAGGTAACAACAACAATAACAAAAGCTACAAATATTAATCAGGTCTGCAGTTACATATTGTCATAATCATGACGACTGTATGATGCTGTTGCGAAGCAACAAATAAACAAAATTTACTCAGGAAAATTGATTACCCCGTGGAGGTGCCCCAATGAAGCCCCTTTGTCCAGGGAAGCCATGCAACTCGAGGAGGGGTTGCTCGTATATACAAGCTTTTGAATAACTTACGTGACTCGTGGCTCAGTCTGATCCTGCTTGGACAACCTCCTTGTCCGCCGGGGCGAATCCTGCCCCCCGGACACTCTCTCCCCACGCGACCGAAGTGTTGGAATCGATGGTTTCGTGAATGAATTGTGTTTGTTGGTACCGTTGATCCTTGTAAGTTTCTCCAAAATTATCTCCTTTGCATTCATACAATCACCTGTTTTATCTTCATAATTTAATTTGTGATTCAACCCATTTTTCTTGCACATTTCACGTAGATCAGAGACACAGTTGTCCTGTCTTTCTTCACTGTTATTATCCCCACTATTTTCCATGCACCCGACAGCCGCCATCTTGTACACCTTCCATCATGACGTCACCAAAACATGCGCGGATTTCCTTTTTCGCACGTGCAAAGTGACGTCATTTAGAGGGTTTCCCCAACATGGCAGGTTTCCCAGATCACCTGAATCTCGTTTCTACAAATAATGAAGCATAGTGAGCTTGCAAGGACAAAATGACGTAAGCATGGTAGCGCTACATATCACCGATATGTCTTCCAGATAACAAATCACTATAATGCACATTTTTACGCCGGAAATCGCGACAATTACAACATTTTGCATTTCGGCCGTGACATCTCACTGTCGTAAATGCCCTTAGTGTTTTTCCCTTCCACCGGCACAAAATGTACAGTATTTCAGATGAATGATGTAAATATGTAAGAATACACCTATGATCTCATGCTTTATAATATGAAGACGGATGACTATGTAGAAACAGCATAGTTTATTGCGTGTTTGTATGGATTTTACAGTTACGGGGAGGGGCTGGAGTATGGGTAGAGACTCTTAAAAGGTGTAGAGGATATCAATTTAGCCATTCACCAGTGACTCAGTCATCATCACATTAGACTAGTGTTGTACCTGCTTCTGGTTGAGGGGTGTTGTAAATATTGTTGTGTTTACTGGCAGTTGTGAGGATAAATAGGTAATAGCAAGATAAATCTGGACTTACTGGGTCAATTAACACTGGTCAGTCAGCTCAGTTGCTTATAGTGTCTCATATTCAACTGCCTAGTCCCAAGAAGCTCTGAACAGTTACTTAAAGCACTGAAACATATGATGAGAATCCCATTTTCACACTGAATTTTGTCTTTGTCTACTGATTTGTTTTGCACTGACATTTACAACAACAAGGTGGTCAAAGGGAGGATGTAGTAGATATGTAGCAGCCCCACTCTCCTAAGTTGGGGCTTAGTGGGCTAACAAATTCATTTAAGTGAGGAAATAATGAATACCTCATTCTGGCTTAACAATCTAGCATCAATAGATATCAGATGTCCCATGTAAGCATTATTGTAAACTAGTCATAGGACTTCTATCTCTACTGCACGATTGTTTTGGCCACAGAATTTTCTTTTTGTTAAATTCTGGTGCATCAAAATCTACATAGCACCACCAACTTAACTTAACACTATATATCCTTATACAAAAAGCTGAGAAAATGAAACTATTTAAATAAAAGCAAATTAGTGGGAAATTCATATCAAAGGATTGTGTGTCGGTGATATTCAATTTTACCTATGATTAAACAAATGTTCAATATTTGTTTGGTGATTTTGGCCCGTGAATTATGGAGGTATAACATTGTTTTGTGACAGAGGTATTTACGTATGTACACATGACACATGTGCTCAGTGCCATACATGTGCATGTGTGTCAACAATTATAACAGAAACAAAAGAGTTATGGAGATATCTAATTGATGATTGAATCCAGTGACAATTCAGCAGTAAAAGCATATAAACTCAATGACTTGAAGAATTTTGAGCATTGAGATTCCTGTACTTTTTTCATTATGAATGTCTGTATCAAGTACATGCTTTGACCGGTGGTACATACAGAAATGTTATGATAGCATTTGCATACTATGTCTTGAGAGGTGTGTTTGACTAGAGACGTCTCTGGTTATCCCTTTTCCCACTACTCCAAATATTATGATAAATGAAAATCAGTTTCATTTGGTCACTCTGATTGTAAGTGAGAATATATCGAAATATGACAAAATTTAGTTATTTTCATTTGGATTTGGTCATCTGTTTGATTCTGAGGTATTGTTAACAAATGTATATTGGCATGTGGAATGCTGTGGCACAATGTATGTTACATAATGATCGGTTGTGGCATTTTATAACATTTGTTATCACTAAATTTCACACCATCATCCATGTAAAAATCTAGTTAAAAGTAACAATTAAGTGTAGGTATTCTATATATGGGCTATCAATCATTTCGGACAAGGCCGTTCACACAACTGCATATAGCCATGTCCAGTGATGGCTTCCCTTTCAAAAGAGATTAAAAACAAAGTAAAAAGCACATTATTTTTCTTATACAGAATAGGTTTTTACTTCTAAATTATTTTGAACGTTTGTAAATAAATGTAAGTGTGACCTGTGAAGTGGTGTTTTATTAGGTAAATAGCGTATCACTATCACCAAAGTAACACTTGTCACATCATGTGTCACATGACCTTGTTTCACATTCAAAATATGCATATTCACCAGACAAAGCTAAAAGGAAATGACCAGCTTTCATTGGCATCTGTGTGCAAAGAAAGATGGGATACCAGGGACTTTATACACTATTTATAATTGCATTATTTTAGCCTGAAATACGGCATTGTGGAAAGTCACAGCCAAAACTTTAAGAACTACTGATGCTAAAGATTTTCTTCATAAAGAAACAACACTGACCAAAACAATGTTAGATACAAAATAAGAATAATTTCAGTAATCAAAAGTCTAGCTCTGTTCCAAGTTCCATGCTTGTTGTGCAATGTCCGCCTAGTTTGCCTTTTTGTACTTGATCTCTGGTTAGAGTAAGGCAGTTTAATTCCTGATGATAACATGTCATAACTTAAAAAGAAAGATAGTTATATTTGAATGATCACTTTGGAGAGCAAAGCACATAAAATGAAAACAGTGATTGAAAGCAATCTATGAAATTGCAAGACTGGGAAGCTGACAGCATTGATATTAGTGTATACTTTCTATTTATCAGCTTGGAGTGTTCAACTTGATGTTGATACAGTACAGTGTCACCTGAAAGGACATGATGGACCCAGATCTAAGTTTGAGAGATGACATCACTGACTATGAAGCAGACTTCGGAGGTGACTCAATGTATTACAACTCAGATCAGTACGAGACACAGGATTACATTTCCAGTAATGCAGAAGACTACAACTCCAGGAGCGCAACAGACTACAACTCTGATGTACATCAGAGGTCTGGTTACCAAGACAACTATGATATCAGTTTGGAAGACGATGATATAAACGATGACGATTATGCTGCTGATGCAGAGGATAATGAAGAAATACCTCATAGACACAGAGTATTCTATGATCCAGGACATTTTCGTTACAACAGAAAGGTGTGCGTGGCTGCCATACCATGCCTACTGATATTATTAGCAGTGTGTGGAGAAATGTAAGTTAATTCAAGGTCAAGAGAAATGGTCTTAAAGATAATGAAGATGAATATTTAAAAAAAAAATCAGGTTTTGAAGGTTGATTTCTTTGCAATTTCTTCAAGGAACTAAAACCATAATTCATTTGATTCTTTTTCATGTGATGTTTCAATTTTATGTATACAGCTACTACTATTACCTTATAAACTGTTTTGTAGGTTGTTAGTCATTGCAAGTTTTGGCGTGGCATTACTACTTTCCATTGACCATGGAGGACAAAACCAAAGGTATTTATCAATTATCTGTTCAAGTCACACATTTATGAACAAATCTTCTTGTGTTAGTCTATATCAGTGGTAAAGATATTAACAGAAATATCAGTAAACTAGTCATTTTACACAAAGAAAAAAAGTGCCGATTTTTGTATAAATAAAGATGAAAGAGTCAGGAAGTAAGTTGCTGACTCAATGATCAGAGTCTTTCTGAAGATTTGACATATCTTTAGTGTATTTGTTCTGAAAAGTCATTGGGCTTTGTGATTTCACCCCTGGAGTCACAGTGGTAAGACATAAAAATAAGGTGGGCCAATTTGATATACAGCAAAAATGAAGCCATTTGATAAATGAGTCTTACTTTTCCTGAATGACAACTCATATTCGTACCGTGGAGTTTGTTGGACAATATAATATTGTAAAATCAGTAAGAATGCACCAGGGAGTTTTTAGTTTTAAAAATTTTCAGAAAAAATAAAAAAAAACATAAACCAGTATTTAGGGTTAGATCACACAGATATTAAGTTTAATTTGAAATTTTATCTTTATGTCTGGAGCGTCATTTTACTTACCTCATGTCCCAGCTTGATTTCTCATTTTAAATTGAGTGATGTGTTCATAATGTTGTCAAGTCCATCACTCGATACCATGCAGAGCTTACAGATTTGACTCTGATTACAGAACGGTTGTGATATTCATGGTGCTCTTCATACCTTGTCATATCCTTGTGCTGTACTCCTTCATTCCACTTCTATGGTAAGTAGGAGGTATAGATGGCGCTGATGTAGTGTGATAGGTGTTACCGTTTGTCTGTGACCAAAGTCACTAAAACATTGTCATGTGTTTGCATGAAATGTGGCACTGCCAATATTGATTACATAGTTACAAATCAAGTTCATTAGCTAACATGTTCAAGTTGAAGTAGAAAGCTTAGTTTCAAAATAAATATTTCCACACACCTGATAACTTCACCTGTGAATCAAAGCCTTCATAGAATGTTCTTGTTAGAGTAAGTTGGAAATCAGCTGAAACCATAGTAAAATTTCGTTAAAAGTTGGATTAGAAATGCATGTTTACTTCTCTTGTCAGGGTGTCCATTATGAGCATGCTGTTGATGGCTCTCATCAATGCTTTCGTCCTACTGACAGGGGCATGGATGATCATTCAGTTCACGATATTCCGCAAACAGGAAGCTGAAATGTGTGTGGTGAGTTAAGTCCCTCATGCTGATAATATGTTTTTAGGAAAAATGGCATTTCACAACATGTTTAGTATCATCAAAAAACCATCACATGATGTGATGAAAATCTGCTGATCCAATATCTATACAAATAAACAAAAACTGAAAATAAGAATGAACTACAAGTTTATTATTTGACAGATGCAAGGATAATGGACCATTTTATGTTTAGGTATATGTTTTGAAGAGTAAGGTGTTATACTTAACTTGATAGTGTTGGTGTTTGCGGAAACTATTTTTTTTCAGATAAAACACATCCTTGTCTTATAAAAGTTTTTTTTCCTCAAGGTCACAGAAAAGCTCTTGTTCTCAGCCTACCCTGGCCTGTCAGCATGCCTTCTTACTTGGGCAGTAGCCACAGTCATTCCTCTCAAGTTTACACCCTTTGTGCTGACAGCTATTGGGTAAATATTAAACTTATCTCACCTTTATCCTGGACTGGAAGTATGAATGATGAAGTCAAAACATGGCTGTAATTATTTTCGTTACTTTATTTTGTTTCTACTAATTTCAGTATGAAAACCAGCCTTATAACAGACAAACAGCACTATATATAGAGGATTACACTCATTTAAACAATCATACATTGGATGTGATCCACTAGTTTTGTTAGTCTACAAATAATTAACCTTTGAACTTCTTGAACTTTTTGAATGATGAATCATTAGGATTTGAAAAAAACGCAGAGAAAAAAATCCAAACTTTTCTTATTTCTTTCCACAGGTTCATATTTTTACAACTTTTCATGACACCAACAAATTCATCTTTTAAACTACAACCACCAGATGTGAAGGATGACGAACCAATTAAAAATATTGTTGACCATTTGATGTTGGCTGCCATAGCTACAGTGTATTGTTTGTTACCTACTGTAGTTCAAATAATGATAGGTCTTTACCAGCTCAGCACTACTGGTATATTTCATATTTGGTTTATGGTAAGTCTTGTGTACTTGGTTATCTCTCAGTGTACATGGTTATCTCTCAGTGTACATGGTTACCTCTCAGTGTACTTGGTTATCTCTCAGTGTACTTCGTTATCTCTCAGTGTACTTGGTTATCTCTCAGTGTACTTGGTTATCTCTCAGTGTACTTGGTTATCTCTCAGTGTACATGGTTATCTCTCAGTGTACATGGTTATCTCTCAGTGTACTTGGTTATCTCTCAGTGTACATGGTTATCTCTCAGTGTACTTGGTTATCTCTCAGTGTACATGGTTATCTCTCAGTGTACATGGTTATCTCTCAGTGTACTTGCTGATCTTGTAAATTTCACATTTGGTCTTTGGTAATTCAACACGGTCTTCAAGGAGCTATGCTACTTTACTTTGAAATGGTTTCCTAAGTTCACTTTTAAAATTCTGTCAGAAATCTTTATGTTACATTGAAACCATATGATTACAAGTATGATATGTAAAGGAGAAAACTTGATCACAATTACGTGAATAATGTATAAGGGGGACAACTCTAACCCAAATAGATTGTCAGATATTTGATGATGAAAATCACAAGGTTGCTTTCCATTATCAGTTGGACCAAGTGAAATGAGGATGGTCATCTCGATTTGATTTCGCTTTCTTTTATGTCTTGATAGATGTGTAAGTTAAATAATATTCCCTGATGTTAGTAACGCAGATGTTAATCTGACAAGAGTATATACACACCAGAAACAAGAAATATATTAATATATATTATATATATATATATATATTCTCATATCTCTTATCCTTTTATCTTCGTATACATCTTCTTTTCTCAAAAATTTTGATATTGACGCTGTTATCTTTAAAGCAACAGTAGTAATTTATCAAGATCCTGAAGTCATTGATGAAGTTTAGTTTTTAAATTTACAATTTTTTGCTCAAAAGTCTAAAAAAATTCACATTTGTTTATACTATGTTTTTGACCTGTTTACAGGTAGATGTAGTGTTTCTGTTGGCTGTCTCCTTCTTCCTCACCACATTAATGAGTATTCGTTCTGTTATAGAATCTATAGGTAAGTTACTACCTTTATACCAGTATCTCTGTAGACTACCGAGTGGTAAAGATGGTCATGTCAACCATTGTCAGATCTGTACACTCAGAGAAGGAGATTGTAGGGCATGGTTTTGCTTTCTTGAAGACCAGTCAGGTCTGTACATGCAGAGGATGTGAAGTGGGGAAACTTTCTTGAAGACTTGCTAGGGGTGTACAAACAAAGGATTTAGATGAGTGGGAGAGGCTTTCCTAGAGATATGTTGGGTTTGATTTTTCATGGGAACTTTGGTCAAGATTTGTCAGATCTGAACACTCTTGGGAAAGGGAAAAGGGTTTTCCCTAAAGATTACCATGTCTTTTTACTGATAGAATTTTGTCAGATCTGTACTGTTAGAGGTTTGTCAGATCTGTACTGTTAGAAGTTTGTTATATCTGTACTGTTAGAATTTTGTCAGATCTGTACTTTTAGAGGTTTGTCAGATCTGTACTGTTAGAGGTTTGTCAGATCTGTACTGTTAGAGGTTTGTCAGATCTGTACTGTTAGAGGTTTGTCAGATCTGTACTGTTAGAGGTTTGTCAGATCTGTACTGTTAGAATTTTGTCAGATCTGTACTGTTAGAGGTTTGTCAGATCTGTACTGTTAGAGGTTTGTCAGATCTGTACTGTTAGAGGTTTGTCAGATCTGTACTGTTAGAGGTTTGTCAGATCTGTACTGTTAGAGGTTTGTCAGATCTGTACTGTTAGAGGTTTGTCAGATCTGTACTGTTAGAGGTTTGTCAGATCTGTACTGTTAGAGGTTTGTCAGATCTGTACTGTTAGAGGTTTGTCAGACCTGTACTGTTAAAGGTTTGTCAGATCTGAGGTTTGACAGATCTGTACTGTTAGAGGTTTGTCAGATCTGTACTGTTAGAGGTTTGTCAGATCTGTACTGTTAGAGGTTTGTCAGATCTGTACTGTTAGAGGTTTGTCAGATCTGTACAGATCTGTACTGTTAGAGGTTTGTCAGATCTGTACTGTTAGAGGTTTGTCAGATCTGTACTGTTAGAGGTTTGTCAGATCTGTACTGTTAGAATTTTGTCAGATCTGTACTGTTAGAGGTTTGTCAGATCTGTACTGTTAGAGGTTTGTCAGATCTGTACTGTTAGAGGTTTGTCAGATCTGTACTGTTAGAGGTTTGTCAGATCTGTACTGATAGAATTTTTTATGATCTTTACTGTTAGATGTTTAGAGGTTTGTCAGATCTGTACTGTTAGAGGTTTGTCAGATCTGTACTGTTAGAGGTTTTTGTCAGATCTGTACTGTTAGAGGTTTGTCAGATCTGTACTGTTAGAGGTTTGTCAGATCTGTACTGTTAGAGGTTTGTCAGATCTGTACTGTTAGAGGTTTGTCAGATCTGTACTGTTAGAGGTTTGTCATACCTGTACTGTTAGAGGTTTGTCAGATCTGTACTGTTAGAGGTTTGTCAGATCTGTACTGTTAGAGGTTTGTCAGATCTGTACTGTTAGAGGTTTGTCAGATCTGTACTGTTAGAGGTTTGTCAGATCTGTACTGTTAGAAGTTTGTCAGATCTGTACTGTTAGAGGTTTGTCAGATCTGTACTGTTAGAGGTTTGTCAGATCTGTACTGTTAGAGGTTTGTCAGATCTGTACTGTTAGAGGTTTGTCAGATCTGTACTGTTAGAGGTTTGTCAGATCTGTACTGTTAGAGGTTTGTCAGATCTGTACTGTTAGAGGTTTGTCAGATCTGTACTGTTAGAGGTTTGTCAGATCTGTACTGTTAGAGGTTTGTCAGATCTGTACTGTTAGAGGTTTGTCAGATCTGTACTGTTAGAGGTTTGTCAGATCTGTACTGTTAGAGGTTTGTCAGATCTGTACTGTTAGAGGTTTGTCAGATCTGTACTGTTAGAGGTTTGTCAGATCTGTACTGTTAGAGGTTTGTCAGATCTGTACTGTTAGAGGTTTGTCAGATCTGTACTGTTAGAGGTTTGTCAGATCTGTACTGTTAGAGGTTTGTCAGATCTGTACTGTTAGAGGTTTGTCAGATCTGTACTGTTAGAGGTTTGTCAGATCTGTACTGTTAGAGGTTTGTCAGATCTGTACTGTTAGAGGTTTAGAGGTTTGTCAGATCTGTACTGTTAGAGGTTTAGAGGTTTGTCAGATCTGTACTGTTAGAGGTTTGTCAGATCTGTACTGTTAGAGGTTTGTCAGATCTGTACTGTTAGAGGTTTGTCAGATCTGTACTGTTAGAGGTTTGTCAGATCTGTACTGTTAGAGGTTTGTCAGATCTGTACTGTTAGAGTTTTTTATGATCTGCAGTTTTTTAGGGTTAGAGGTTTGTCAGATCTGTACTGTTAGAGGTTTGTCAGATCTGTACTGTTAGAGGTTTGTCAGATCTGTACTGTTTGTCAGATCTGTACTGTTAGAGGTTTGTACTGTTAGAGGTTTGTCTGTACTGTTAGAGGTTTACTGTTAGAGGTTTGTCAGATCTGTACTGTTAGAGGTTTGTCAGATCTGTACTGTTAGAATGGTTTTTGTCAGATCTGTACTGTTAGAGGTTTTTGTCAGATCTGTACTGTTAGAGGTTTGTCAGATCTGTACTGTTAGAGGTTTGTCAGATCTGTACTGTTAGAGGTTTGTCAGATCTGTACTGTTAGAGGTTTGTCAGATCTGTACTGTTAGAGGTTTGTCAGATCTGTACTGTTAGAATTTTGTCAGATCTGTACTGTTAGAGGTTTGTCAGATCTGTACTGTTAGAGGTTTGTCAGATCTGTACTGTTAGAGGTTTGTCAGATCTGTACTGTTAGAGGTTTGTCAGATCTGTACTGTTAGAGGTTTGTCAGATCTGTACTGTTAGAGGTTTTTGTCAGATCTGTACTGTTAGAGGTTTGTCAGATCTGTACTGTTAGAGGTTTGTCAGATCTGTACTGTTAGAGGTTTGTCAGATCTGTACTGTTAGAGGTTTGTCAGATCTGTACTGTTAGAGGTTTGTCAGATCTGTACTGTTAGAGGTTTAGAGGTTTGTCAGATCTGTACTGTTAGAGGTTTGTCAGATCTGTACTGTTAGAGGTTTGTCAGATCTGTACTGTTAGAGGTTTGTCAGATCTGTACTGTTAGAGGTTTGTCAGATCTGAGGTTTGTCAGATCTGTACTGTTAGAGGTTTGTCAGATCTGTACTGTTAGAGGTTTGTCAGAACTGAACTGATAAAGGTGTGTCAGATCTGTACTGTTAGAATTTTGTCAGATCTGTACTGTTAGAGGTTTGTCAGATCTGTACTGTTAGAGGTTTGTCAGATCTGTACTGTTAGAGGTTTGTCAGATCTGTACTGTTAGAGGTTTGTCAGATCTGTACTGTTAGAGGTTTGTCAGATCTGTACTGTTAGAGGTTTGTCAGATCTGTACTGTTAGAGGTTTGTCAGATCTGTACTGTTAGAGGTTTGTCAGATCTGTACTGTTAGAGGTTTGTCAGATCTGTACTGTTAGAGGTTTGTCAGATCTGTACTGTTAGAATTTTGTCAGATCTGTACTGTTAGAGGTTTGTCAGATCTGTACTGTTAGAGGTTTGTCAGATCTGTACTGTTAGAGGTTTGTCAGATCTGTACTGTTAGAGGTTTGTCAGATCTGTACTGTTAGAGGTTTAGAGGTTTGTCAGATCTGTACTGTTAGAGGTTTAGAGTACTGTTAGAGGTTTGTCAGATCTGTACTGTTAGAGGTTTGTCAGATCTGTACTGTTAGAATTTTGTCAGATCTGTACTGTTAGAGGTTTAGAGGTTTGTCAGATCTGTACTGTTAGAGGTTTGTCAGATCTGTACTGTTAGAGGTTTGTCAGATCTGTACTGTTAGAGGTTTGTCAGATCTGTACTGTTAGAGGTTTGTCAGATCTGTACTGTTAGAGGTTTGTCAGATCTGTACTGTTAGAGGTTTGTCAGATCTGTACTGTTAGAGGTTTGTCAGATCTGTACTGTTAGAGGTTTGTCAGATCTGTACTGTTAGAGGTTTGTCAGATCTGTACTGTTAGAGGTTTGTCAGATCTGTACTGTTAGAGGTTTGTCAGATCTGTACTGTTAGAGGTTTGTCAGATCTGTACTGTTAGAGGTTTGTCAGATCTGTACTGTTAGAGGTTTGACAGATCTGTACTGTTAGAGGTTTGTCAGATCTGTACTGTTAGAGGTTTAGAGGTTTGTCAGATCTGTACTGTTAGAGGTTTGTCAGATCTGTACTGTTAGAGGTTTGACAGATCTGTACTGTTAGAGGTTTGTCAGATCTGTACTGTTAGAGGTTTGTCAGATCTGTACTGTTAGAGGTTTGTCAGATCTGTACTGTTAGAGGTTTGTCAGATCTGTACTGTTAGAGGTTTGTCAGATCTGTACTGTTAGAGGTTTGTCAGATCTGTACTGTTAGAGGTTTGTCATACCTGTACTGTTAGAGGTTTGTCAGATCTGTACTGTTAGCGGTTTGTCAGATCTGAGGTTTGTCAGATCTGTACTGTTAGAGGTTTGTCAGATCTGTACTGTTAGAGGTTTGTCAGATCTGTACTGTTAGAGGTTTGTCAGATCTGTACTGTTAGAGGTTTGTCAGATCTGTAAAATTAGAGGTGGGGAGGGGGATTTCCTGAAGACTTGTTAGGGGTCTGTTTTCTCATCATGATGCTTTACTACTGTTACTACTGCAGGAGGTAAAGTGCCTTCTGTCTTTTTTTTTTATTGCTCATTATTGTAGTCCAGATCAGTGATATAACTTTGGTTTTCCCTAGGTATGAACTACAGCCATGTTATAAAGGTACGGTGGGTCAGTGGTGCTGTAGCTACAATCCTCTGTTATCCTGCTCTCCTAAACCTTGGAATCTCTTCACACTTCCTGCCTTGGCTACCAGCAGCCATTGCCATGTATTCCTCTTTTGGTGCACTGCTCAGCTACAAAAAATACAAAGTAAGCAAAGCAGTATAATAATACAAAGGAAGTATACATGCTGGATATCACGGTAAAAGTTAATGTAATGTCAATTTTACTGTTATTTCACAAGATATTTTGATATGACAAGCTGATCCATACATTTAGTCAGAATCAAATTTCACAATTTTTAAAAATTAATGATTCATGTAATTTGGAAATTATCTTTAAGACACTTTTATTAATAAACCACAACAATAAACTACATGTATGTATTATAAGTGTTGCAGTATGTGGAATCTGTTGACATCTGTAAATGACATACTCATCATTTCCTATCACTCTATTTTCCAGACAGCCGCCTCTGTATGTTTTGGACTTGTACTGATATTTTCTTTGGTCTGGCCTGCCAAATTACCATGGAAACTCACATATCCTTTACTTCGGAATTAGTGACAAAATTTCCTTGTATAATTGATAATTACAGATGATTTTGGTGAAATTTCAAGAGTATTTTATCACATACAGGAGTACAGTAAAGCCTGGCCAAGAATATGAGGTATTCAAGTAATCAGATGCTGAGCATACACTGTCAGGTAGCAATTATACAAGAACACCTAATGTCCATGAACGCCCAGTGTCTATAACGGCCTGAGGAATTGGGGGTTGAATAAGAACGGACGTATAAGGACATGTTCAGAACAAAGCTATCAAATTAATAGATAGGTGGTATGTCATGTGAGGTTTAACTGTATTTCATGATTAATCTGTATTTTTGAGAAAGAACTGCAGAACTGTTTGCTAGCTATTTTGACCATGTAGCAGTCTAGAGCTAATTGATTAATTGTGAAACTCTGTATTTCTTTTCCTCTTTCATCTTTGGATGTTACTTCGAAAGACTGATGAATGCCTGAACTAAGGTATGAAGTTCAATGATCTAAGGATATCCAGATATGGTTAAATTTGACGGTGTCAGAGTGTAGGACTTAGTAACGAAAATAAGTGTTTGAAACATTGCTGGTAAACAAATTCTGTGACAAAATGCAGAAGTTAATTTTTCACTGTATAATGTTTCCTTAACATTATGTACATTTAATTTTTTATTTGGCTTACCCCTGACCAGTATATATATACTCCTACTGGTCAACTCCTGTTTGTGTTTGGCCACTGCGTATGTAGCCACTCATGGTCGCCAGGAGATCTTCAGTGTCCTAATTACTCTTCAGACCTTTGGTAAGATCATTAAAATATGTTGTACATTTACGGTAGCAGTTTGCACAACAGGATGTTCTGAATACTGTTAAACATAGTACATTTACAGTAGAAGTTTGTACACCAAGATATTCTGAATACTGTTAAACATTGTACATTTACAGTAGAAGTTTGTACAACAAGATGTTCTGAATACTGTTAAACATTGTACATTTACAGTAGAAGTTTGTACAACAGGATGTTCTGAATACTGTTAAACATTGTACATTTACAGTAGAAGTTTGTACAACTGAATACATTTACAGTAGAAGTTTGTACAACTGAATACTGTTAAACATTGTACATTTACAGTAGAAGTTTGTACAACTGAATACTGTTAAACATTGTACATTTACAGTAGAAGTTTGTACAACTGAATACTGTCAAACATTGTACATTTACAGTAGAAGTTTGTACAACAAGATATTCTGAATACTGTTAAACATTGTACATTTACAGTAGAAGTTTGTACAACAAGATGTTCTGAATACTGTTAAACATTGTACATTTACAGTAGAAGTTTGTACAACTGAATACTGTTAAACATTGTACATTTACAGTAGAAGTTTGTACAACTGAATACTGTTAAACATTGTACATTTACAGTAGAAGTTTGTACAACAAGATGTTCTGAATACTGTTAAACATTGTACATTTACAGTAGAAGTTTGTACAACTGAATACTGTCAAACATTGTACATTTACAGTAGAAGTTTGTACAACTGAATACTGTCAAACATTGTACATTTACAGTAGAAGTTTGTACAACAAGATATTCTGAATACTGTTAAACATTGTACATTTACAGTAGAAGTTTGTACAACTGAATACTGTTAAACATTGTACATTTACAGTAGAAGTTTGTACAACTGAATACTGTCAAACATTGTACATTTACAGTAGAAGTTTGTACAACAAGATATTCTGAATACTGTTAAACATTGTACATTTACAGTAGAAGTTTGTACAACAAGATGTTCTGAATACTGTTAAACATTGTACATTTACAGTAGAAGTTTGTACAACAGAATACTGTTAAACATTGTACATTTACAGTAGAAGTTTGTACAACTGAATACTGTTAAACATTGTACATTTACAGTAGAAGTTTGTACAACTGAATACTGTTAAACATTGTACATTTACAGTAGAAGTTTGTACAACTGAATACTGTTAAACATTGTACATTTACAGTAGAAGTTTGTACAACTGAATACTGTTAAACATTGTACATTTACAGTAGAAGTTTGTACAACAAGATATTCTGAATACTGTTAAACATTGTACATTTACAGTAGAAGTTTGTACAACAGAATACTGTTAAACATTGTACATTTACAGTAGAAGTTTGTACAACTGAATACTGTCAAACATTGTACATTTACAGTAGAAGTTTGTACAACAAGATATTCTGAATACTGTTAAACATTGTACATTTACAGTAGAAGTTTGTACAACTGAATACTGTTAAACATTGTACATTTACAGTAGAAGTTTGTACAACTGAATACTGTCAAACATTGTACATTTACAGTAGAAGTTTGTACAACAAGATATTCTGAATACTGTTAAACATTGTACATTTACAGTAGAAGTTTGTACAACAAGATGTTCTGAATACTGTTAAACATTGTACATTTACAGTAGAAGTTTGTACAACTGAATACTGTTAAACATTGTACATTTACAGTAGAAGTTTGTACAACTGAATACTGTTAAACATTGTACATTTACAGTAGAAGTTTGTACAACAAGATGTTCTGAATACTGTTAAACATTGTACATTTACAGTAGAAGTTTGTACAACTGAATACTGTTAAACATTGTACATTTACAGTAGAAGTTTGTACAACTGAATACTGTTAAACATTGTACATTTACAGTAGAAGTTTGTACAACTGAATACTGTTAAACATTGTACATTTACAGTAGAAGTTTGTACAACTGAATACTGTTAAACATTGTACATTTACAGTAGAAGTTTGTACAACAAGATATTCTGAATACTGTTAAACATTGTACATTTACAGTAGAAGTTTGTACAACTGAATACTGTTAAACATTGTACATTTACAGTAGAAGTTTGTACAACAGGATGTTCATGTACATATTTTTAACCTGATATAAAATTAGACAATGTCATTTGATTATTTCATGTTCTTGAGACAAATTGTAGGATGTGCCTTCTTGTTGTTACAGTATTTATAAAATGTGAGCTGGTCCTGTTCAGTGCCAACCTGTATGGTTGGCCTTTGTTTATTGTTACCATGACCGCAACTTCCTACACCATCCAGAGGTAAATATCTTTGTTTCTTCAAATATGAAAGGAATATTCCTGAATCACAACTGAAAATATTCTGTACAATCTTCACATTAATTAAAATTAGAGATCTATCATTATACATTATCATTTTTTAATCTGAATTTCCATGATATGATAGGACTTTTGGTTACATGTGTCGCAGAGACTGCCCCTGAACCTGGCCTTTTTTATACCAGAATTCTTGTGTGTCTCATATGTTTGACTCTAGGTTACAAGTTTCTCGAAGGCTGCCACAGAACCTGGCCTGTTTTATACCAGAATTCATGTGTGTCTTATATGTTTGACTCTAGGTTACAAGTTTCTCGAAGGCTGCCACAGAACCTGGCCTGTTTCTGTATGTCTGCACACATCTCCAAGGGTCTGGCTGTCCTTCTCACAATATTTGTCCAGTACCAACAAATATCAGCAATCAGCTGTGTCTCACTATTCTGTTTCATCTTCATGGTCACACGTGTGTTTGTCAATGAGATGCGCCCTGATACTCCTGTCAAAGAGGTCAGTATTAATACATGTTTACAGTGTTTAATTAAGAACAGTTCTTGGTATCCATGTACCAGTATCTCAGTCACAAGGATGAAAAAATATCAATTTGGAACCTCGTAAGTTTTACATTATAATGTATGTGGTATAAATCTTAAAATTAAAAGTGTAAATATAAATCTGTTGAATCATAAAGCAATAATAACACAGATTTCCAAACGAAAACAAAACAAAGAAATAAACTGACTAGTTTTGTGCAATTACCAAAAGGAGTCAGTAGGCACAACTTTATGATAGGTAGAGTGATTAGTGTTAAGATGTGAAGGCTTCCTGCTATAAAACAACTACTTATACCTTTTTCTGTATGATTCAAACATGAACTTATAAAGTAACGTAGGCATGGTGTTGAGTATTTCTTTGATAACATGAACTGGTTCTCCCTTAGATCCTCACAAACCTGGCCTTGTTGTCCCTGTCTGTGATGGCCAATGTCAAACCCATGCTCTTGATCCTAGCCTCCTACCTGTTCCAGGAGAATGCCAGTGGTGCTGATGCTACAGGTAAAAAGGCATAGATCTTATTTCTCATATGCTTTTATTTAGAATTCTTCACTATGTCCTCCACTACACATTTTCACACAAGTTCGGGATATTTTGTTACAGTACTTTATCTACAAACATTGATAATCTGATTTGATACATGTTCAAAACACAACTTTATTTGTAAAAGTTTTACAGGACATACAAGTTAATACAGGTTATATTTATAGGCCTGATAAACCAGAAGGTTAGTATACCCAGCTAGGGGTTGGGGTAGAGGTTTAGTCCTGTACTTCAGACACGCCCACTTTGTCAGATATCAGTAAATTATACTTATAGACCCCCAGGCACCCATCATTTTCTGTTTATATAGATATGTTTTATATTTTACAGGCATTGGTTTCATCATCTGTGGTATTTTGGTGATTGCTGTCGGCTCCCTTCACTTGTCGGGGAATGTCAGCATCAGACATATGGGCATTGTGGCCATCATGATTGGCCTATTTATACTCATGTTACAGCCAGGTGCTGAACTTACAGGGTCAGTAACAAGGAATTCTATCACTATTCATGATAATTATATCACTAAAACCATAAATTTAAAGAAAGGGCCCATACCATAGATTAACACAAAATTATGTTCCCTTCAACAAGGATACTGAATCAGAGAAATGTCTGTGCTATAGGAGGGGGATTTTATAAAATAAAATTGGTTTATATATCCTAGGGGGCCCCACTCCTGCTTTGCAGGCTCCAGGGAGTGGAGACCCATCAATTATACAAACTTGGTTACTCTTAATTCTAAGGATGTTTCTGAACAAAGATGGAAATCTGTTACCCACAAGCTGTTCATGACTAGCGGTGAATTTTATAGAAAAAGTTGACAGACGATAGATGCCATAAGGTCACTTGGTCTGAAAGTCAATAACATATCCTTATTTTATTGTAAGTAAAAGTATAGTAGTTATATACGTAGGACTGTTTAATCAACCTGAAGCTGTAATAATTCATTTGACCAGTTTCAGCAGGCCCATTCAGATTTGTGCTACTGTTCAGACATAATCTTACTGGTATTTTAATTCTTGTAATGTTGACAGGTATTGTGTGTTCCAATGGATGGAGATGGTCAGTATCCTACTGACAGCTGTTGTCATAGGAACAGACTTTGTTCATAAATTTTACCAGATAGCTGTGTGTTCTGTAGTACTTGGTGTCTGTCCTGGAGTGAGAGCTTTACTCATGGTAGGTCTTTACTTGTTTGTCTGTTATGTTCTTTTATCTTAACTGATCCTCGACTTGAGGTGAAAATCACACTATTGCTTATTTGGAATATGCATTAGTGCCGAGGATAAATGTCTGCTTGGTTCTTAAATCTTTAATTTTGTGATATTTAATCTTTCTATGTCTGTCTTTTGTGCTGTCTAATCTTTCTATGTATGTCTACTGTGTTGTCTAATCTTTCTATGTATGTCTACTGTGTTGTCTTATCTTTCTATGTATGTCTACTGTGTTGTCTAATCTTTCTATGTCTGTCTTTTGTGCTGTCTAATCTTTCTATGTCTGTCTTCTGTGTTCTCTAATCTTTCTATGTATGTCTACTGTGTTGTCTAATCTTTCTATGTATGTCTACTGTGTTCTCTAATCTTTCTATGTATGTCTACTGTGTTGTCTATGTATGTCTACTGTGTTGTCTAATCTTTCTATGTATGTCTACTGTGTTGTCTAATCTTTCTATGTATGTCTACTGTGTTGTCTAATCTTTCTATGTATGTCTACTGTGTTGTCTAATCTTTCTATGTATGTCTACTGTGTTGTCTAATCTTTCTATGTATGTCTACTGTGTTGTCTATGTATGTCTACTGTGTTGTCTAATCTTTCTATGTATGTCTACTGTGTTGTCTAATCTTTCTATGTATGTCTACTGTGTTGTCTAATCTTTCTATGTATGTCTACTGTGTTGTCTATGTATGTCTACTGTGCTGTCTAATCTTTCTATGTATGTCTACTGTGTTGTCTAATCTTTCTATGTATGTCTACTGTGTTGTCTATGTATGTCTACTGTGTTGTCTAATCTTTCTATGTATGTCTACTGTGTTGTCTATGTATGTCTACTGTGTTGTCTAATCTTTCTATGTATGTCTACTGTGTTGTCTAATCTTTCTATGTATGTCTACTGTGTTGTCTATGTATGTCTACTGTGTTGTCTAATCTTTCTATGTATGTCTACTGTGTTGTCTAATCTTTCTATGTATGTCTACTGTGTTGTCTAATCTTTCTATGTATGTCTACTGTGTTGTCTAATCTTTCTATGTATGTCTACTGTGTTGTCTATCTATGTCTACTGTGTTGTCTATGTATGTCTACTGTGTTGTCTAATCTTTCTATGTATGTCTACTGTGTTGTCTAATCTTTCTATGTATGTCTACTGTGTTGTCTAATCTTTCTATGTATGTCTACTGTGTTGTCTAATCTTTCTATGTATGTCTACTGTGCTGTCTAATCTTTCTATGTATGTCTACTGTGTTGTCTAATCTTTCTATGTATGTCTACTGTGTTGTCTATGTATGTCTACTGTGTTGTCTAATCTTTCTATGTATGTCTACTGTGTTGTCTAATCTTTCTATGTATGTCTACTGTGTTGTCTAATCTTTCTATGTCTGTCTTTTGTGCTGTCTAATCTTTCTATGTATGTCTACTGTGTTGTCTATGTATGTCTACTGTGTTGTCTATGTATGTCTACTGTGTTGTCTAATCTTTCTATGTATGTCTACTGTGTTGTCTAATCTTTCTATGTATGTCTACTGTGTTGTCTAATCTTTCTATGTATGTCTACTGTGTTGTCATATCTTTCTATGTATGTCTACTGTGTTGTCTAATCTATCTATGTATGTCTACTGTGTTGTCTAATCTTTCTATGTATGTCTAATCTGTGTTGTCTACTGTGTTGTCTATCTTTCTATCTTTCTGTGTTGTCTCTTTCTATGTATGTCTACTGTGTTGTCTAATCTGTATGTCTACTGTGTTGTCTCTTTCTATGTATGTCTACTGTGTTGTCTAATCTTTCTATGTATGTACTGTGTTGTCTAATCTTTCTATGTATGTCTACTGTGTTGTCTAATCTTTCTATGTATGTCTACTGTGTTGTCTATGTATGTCTACTGTGTTGTCTATGTATGTCTACTGTGTTGTCTAATCTTTCTATGTATGTCTACTGTGTTGTCTAATCTTTCTATGTATGTCTACTGTGTTGTCTATGTACTGTGTTGTCTAATGTTTCTATGTATGTCTGTGTTGTCTAATCTTTCTATGTATGTCTACTGTGTTGTCTATGTCTACTGTGTTGTCTAATCTTTCTATGTATGTGTTGTCTACTGTGTTGTCTATGTATCTTGTGTTGTCTAATCTTTCTATGTATGTCTACTGTGTTGTCTAATCTTTCTATGTATGTCTACTGTGTTGTCTAATCTTTCTATGTATGTCTACTGTGTTGTCTAATCTTTCTATGTATGTCTACTGTGTTTTCTATGTATGTCTACTGTGTTGTCTATGTATGTCTACTGTGTTGTCTAATCTTTCTATGTATGTCTACTGTGTTGTCTAATCTTTCTATGTATGTCTACTGTGTTGTCTAATCTTTCTATGTATGTCTACTGTGTTGTCTAATCTTTCTATGTATGTCTACTGTGTTGTCTAATCTTTATGTCTACTGTGTTGTCTATCTTTCTATGTATGTCTGTGTTGTCTACTGTATGTCTACTGTGTTGTCTAATCTTTCTATGTATGTCTACTGTGTTGTCTAATCTTTCTATGTATGTCTACTGTGTTGTCTAATCTTTCTATGTATGTCTACTGTGTTGTCTACTGTGTTGTCTAATCTTTCTATGTATGTCTACTGTGTTGTCTAATCTTTCTATGTATGTCTACTGTGTTGTCTAATCTTTCTATGTATGTCTACTGTGTTGTCTTATCTTTACCTGTCCGTCTTCTGTGTTGTCTAATCTTTCTATGTATGTCTACTGTGTTGTCTAATCTTTCTATGTATGTCTTCTGTGTTGTCTAATCTTTCTATGTATGTCTACTGTGTTGTCTAATCTTTCTATGTATGTCTACTGTGTTGTCTAATCTTTCTATGTATGTCTACTGTGTTGTCTAATCTTTCTATGTCTGTCTTCTGTGTTGTCTAATCTTTCTATGTCTGTCTTTTGTGCTGTCTTATCTTTCTATGTCTGTCTTTTGTGCTGTCTAATCTTTCTATGTCTGTCTACTGTGTTGTCTAATCTTTCTATGTATGTCTACTGTGTTGTCATATCTTTCTATGTATGTCTACTGTGTTGTCTAATCTTTCTATGTATGTCTACTGTGTTGTCTAATCTTTCTATGTATGTCTACTGTGTTGTCTAATCTTTCTATGTATGTCTACTGTGTTGTCTAATCTTTCTATGTATGTCTACTGTGTTGTCTAATCTTTCTATGTATGTCTACTGTGTTGTGTATGTATGTCTACTGTGTTGTCTATGTATGTCTACTGTGTTGTCTAATCTTTCTATGTATGTCTACTGTGTTGTCTAATCTTTCTATGTATGTCTACTGTGTTGTCTAATCTTTCTATGTATGTCTACTGTGTTGTCTAATCTTTCTATGTATGTCTACTGTGTTGTCTAATCTTTCTATGTATGTCTACTGTGTTGTCTAATCTTTCTATGTATGTCTACTGTGTTGTCTAATCTTTCTATGTATGTCTACTGTGTTGTCTAATCTTTCTATGTATGTCTACTGTGTTGTCTAATCTTTCTATGTATGTCTACTGTGTTGTCTATGTATGTCTACTGTGTTGTCTATGTATGTCTACTGTGTTGTCTAATCTTTCTATGTATGTCTACTGTGTTGTCTAATCTTTCTATGTATGTCTACTGTGTTGTCTAATCTTTCTATGTATGTCTACTGTGTTGTCTATGTCTACTGTGTTGTCTATGTATGTCTACTGTGTTGTCTAATCTTTCTATGTATGTCTATTGTGTTGTCTATGTATGTCTACTGTGCTGTCATGTGTTGTCTATGTATGTCTACTGTGTTGTCTATGTATGTCTACTGTGTTGTCTATGTATGTCTACTGTGTTGTCTAATCTTTCTATGTATGTCTACTGTGTTGTCTATGTATGTCTACTGTGTTGTCTATGTATGTCTACTGTGTTGTCTATGTATGTCTACTGTGTTGTCTAATCTTTCTATGTATGTCTACTGTGTTGTCTAATCTTTCTATGTCTGTCTACTGTGTTGTCTAATCTTTCTATGTATGTCTACTTTCTTTTTCAAGCTTTACCAAGAAGAGGAGGAGATTCCACTTATGAAAGCAGCCATGTTTGTTGTGACTTCATTGTTCATCACATGTGCTATCCTATGTTTCTTCAAAGCCAACCATCTTGGATATTCATTTGAGCAGCACATGATCAGATTGTAAGTAAATTTGTTTATGTTTGTTAGACTGTCAGTGATACATTAAATAGTGTGTGATGTATTTTCAAGTTTGTGTTACATTCACAGGTGTGTGATACATTTACAGGTTTGTGATACATTTACAGGTGTGTGTTACATCCACAGGTGTGTGATACATTTACAGGTGTGTGATACATTTACAGGTGTGTGATACATTTACAGGTTTGTGTTACATTTACAGGTGTTTGATACATTTACAGGTGTGTGATACATTTACAGGTGTGTTATTAACTTACAGGTGTGTATTACATATACATATTGTGTATGACACCTTTAAATCTTTTTAGGTCATCTGACCAAACGAGTCATGATGATCTATAGCCGTCATCAGCCGTGCGCTGTCCACCGTGCATAAGCTTTTGATATTTCATGAAATGATCCTGAGATGGTCCTGACCAAGTGTTGTTATTTTCAGGGTATGTCTGAAATACAAGATGGCCACCATGGCCACCATCTTAAAAAACATATTTTAAACTTCTTCTCCAGTTTCACTAGTGCCAATGAGCTAAAAATTGGTGGGAATGTTAAGGAAAGATTAAGGAAACTTTGATACAGCAGCCAGGGAGGCCATTTTGTAACATGATTGCACAAGCATGGTTTTCCTCTGCAACACCTATTTCAAACTTTATCAAGTTTCACCAGTTGGAATGAGCTCCAACTTTACTGTAAAAAAATATGCAACACTTGTTACAGTTACCTACTTCTCACCAAAACTATCATTTGCGGCATGGAAAACAGCTTCTCGGTAAGATTTCATTCAAAGTAGAAGTCTTCTCCCTGCTGAAAGGTTTTGTATTCAGATGACCATAAAGACCTATGAACCTCCGGTTTTTAAGTGTGATATATTTACAGGTGTATGATAAATTAACAGGTGTGTGATACATTTACAGGTGTGTACACATATACAAGTATGATATCTAAACAGGTATATATGTTTGCTACACTTACAGTTGTGTGATTTATTTACATATTTACAGGTGTGTTGTACTTATGGTGCTGTCTCAGGTATCCCTGATAACAGATCTCATCACCAAAGATAAAAAAGAACCAATCCTCGCTGTCCCTGCCTGGAAGCTTTTTCTAGCAGCCAACCTCACTATCAGTGTTTGTCTGAAGATTCTGTCTCTACAAAAGGTAAGACAACTTAACTATCAGTGTTTGTCTCCAGATTCTGTCTCTACAGAAGGTAAGATAACCTCACTATCAGTGTTTGTCTCCAGATTCTGTCTCTACAGAAGGTAAGATAACCTCACTATCAGTGTTTGTCCCACTATCAGTGTGTGTCTCGAGATTCTGTCTCTACAGAAGGTAAGACAACCTCACTCTCAGTGTTTATCCCACTATCAGTGTGTGTCTCGAGATTCTGTCTCTACAGAAGGTAAAACATCCTTACAATCAGTGTTTGTCCCACTATCAGTGTGTCTCAAGATTCTGTCTACAGAAGGTAAAACATCCTCACTATCAGTGTGTGTCTCAAGATTCTGTCTACAGAAGGTAAAACATCCTCACTATCAGTGTGTGTCTCAAGATTCTGTCTCTACAGAAGGTAAGATAACCTCACTATCAGTGTTTGTCCCACTATCAGTGTGTGCCTCAAGATTCTGTCTCTACAGAAGGTAAGACAACCTCACTATCAGTGTTTATCCCATTATCAGTGTGTGTCTCAAGATTCTGTCTCTACAGAAGGTAAGACAGCCTCACTATCAGTGTTTGTCCCACTATCAGTGTGTCTCAAGATTCTGTCTCTACAGAAGGTAAAACATCCTCACTATCAGTGTGTGTCTCAAGATTCTGTCTCTACAGAAGGTAAAACATCCTCACTCTCAGTGTGTGTCTCAAGATTCTGTCTCTACAGAAGGTAAGACAACCTCACTATCAGTGTTTGTCCCACGATCAGTGTTCGTCTCAAGATTCTGTCTCTACAGAAGGTAAGACAGCCTCACTATCAGTGTTTGTCCCACTATCAGTGTGTGTCTCAAGATTCTGTCTCTACAGAAGGTAAGACCAGTTGACAGTATAAGATGATACATTTGAATGTTTGATTATACAGCTGTATAAGGAGATTTAATACTATGATTGATAAGAAGACATACTTGTATATTTTACAGTATAAGGAGATTTGCTTCTGTGTTTGATAGTATGAGAAGGTAAACTTGTCTATTTGATAAGAAGACATACTTCTATGATTGATAAGAAGACATACTTCTATGATTGATAAGAAGACATACTTGTATGTTTGATAAGAACTTGTATGTTTTGCAGTATAAGGAGATAATACCGCTGACAACAGATAAGGGTGAGAAGAAACAAGCTTCACTGTTACCTATGGCTGGCAATGCAGCTACTGTCATGTCTTTCTTACTGATCTGTCTGTTAGCCCCAGCATCTGGATTCTTACACGACGTCTGGGTAGGTGTATTGTATGTTAGAACAACTTCAATTTGAATGGTAACTTTTAAGGTCATTATCATCAGATGGAGGGCTCTTCAAAATTTCAACTTTGACCGATTTCAACCCGATTTGGTAGAAAGCATCCCATAGTGAAGGACATATGAAATTATGTTGAAAAAAGTGATTATGTCCCCTTTAGGTCCCATAAGGGGTGTAAAAGGGGCCATATGTAAAAACCTTCTTTAAATGACTTCTTCTCAAGAACCATTGGATGGATTTTGACCAAACTTGGCACAAAGCATCCCCATGGGAAGCCGTTCCAAGTTTGCAAAGAAAAAGGGTGTGGCCCAAATAGGGGCTGCAGGAGGGGGGAAAAGGGGGTAAAATTAGGTAAATCTTTAAAAATCTTCTTCTCATGAACCAACAGTCAGATTAAATTCATATTTTATATTTAGGGTCCTTATAGCAAGGTCTACAAAGTTTGCAAATGAAAAAAAAATTGGGTCAGAAATGGCCCCACTAGGGGGTGCTCAAAAGGGTCGAAAATTCAACTTTGACCGATTTCAACCAAATTTGGTAGACAGCATCCCTTAGTGAAGGACATATGAAATTACATTGAAAAAAGTGATTATGTCTCCTTTGGGGCCCATAAGGGGTGTAAAAGGGGCCATATGTAAAAACCGTCATTAAATGACTACTTCTCAAGAACCAGTGGATGGATTTTTACCAAACTTGGCACAAAGCATCCCCATGAGAAGCTGCTTAAAGTGTGCAAAGAAAAAGGGCCTGGCCCCAATAGGGGCCCCAGGAGTGGGGAAAAGGGGAAACTTGATATGAATGTTCTACACGAGGTCCTGGCAAGTGTTTTAACTTTTTGGGGCGATTCAAAATCCAAGATGGCCACCCTGGCCTCTGTTTGGCTAAGACATTATGGACTTCCTCTCAAGAACCATTGGGTAGGTCATGTTCAAACTTGGTACAGATGTTTAACACTTGGTCCTGCACAAATGTTGTTACATTTTTGCAACATTTTAAAATCCCCAGATTATTGACATATATTCCTCCGGTGACTGTTAAGGCACCTTGGGCCTCTTGTTTGTTAAATGTTCTTTGTCCAGAGCATGGCTTTGCTTGCATTAAAACTAGGATAATGGATACATTGATCACACAAAGACAAGGTGCAGTGCACCAATGTTCATTGTCTGCAGGCCCTGAATTACAGAGTTATTGCCCTTTGTCAAAATTTGTGATTAGAGCATAACCTGGTCTGCATTTAAACTAGGATAATGAAACGTAACTTAAACATTGGTAATGCTAAGAATATGTGAAGTAAATGAAATTCAGGGCCTGCAATCCCTTTGATTACAGAATTATTGCCCTTGTGTGCAACAATCTCCTTTTCAGGGAGCATTCATCAGTTTCACTGATACTCTTGTTTTACTTATAGTGCTGTGGTGCGAGTCTTGTTTTGGTATGTCTACAAAAGGACACACAGATACTGGTCAGTTTGAAAGAAGAGAACCAGACAGTCCCAACCAAATTAGCTGCTATTGTGGTGTTGTTGATAGCTACCATCTTCAGGACAAGGATCTGGGATGCTCATGGGATCACCATTCTACGATGTGTAATGGAGATCTGCCTGGTGCTGGCCTACCTGCCAGTCTTGTACATATTGTCAGGCGTGCTGTGGAAGAATAAAGTGCTCCTATCAGAGCAGGTGGTTGTTTTCTTGTTGCCCTTGAACCTTCCCCTGATTCTGTATGGAACCAGCTATACCAGTTGGGCCATGGCCACGACAGGGATTGTCACCTCTCTGTGGATGATGTCCAACATCCTACCACTAAAACCATATCAACCTCCACACAGACGTTTCAGGCACTGATAATGTGTCATTATCACACAAACATGCGTCATAAAATCAAAGGTCATAATAATGAGTTGAAGATTGTGGTCTGGAATTTAAATCCTCTACTGGAAGCTGTCATCGTCTTGTTGTCAGGACTCATGGATATTTAATGTATTGTTTGAAGTAACGAAGAATCAAAGCTTAACTTTGTCATATTTAAATTCCTGATTAACTGCAGGTTATTAAAGACCATTAAAATGCTTAGAGGTCATAAATCTGTGGGAAGTTTTCACTTTTCATTTATCTGTGGGAAGTTTTCACTTTTCATTTATCTGTGGGAAGTTTTCACTTTTCGTTAATCTGTGGGAAGTTTTCACTTTTCATTAATCTGTGGGAAGTTTTCACTTTTCATTAATCTGTGGGAAGTTTTCACTTTTCGTTAATCTGTGGGAAGTTTTCACTTTTCATTAATCTGTGGGAAGTTTTCACTTTTCGTTAATCTGTGGGAAGTTTTCACTTTTCATTAATCTGTGGGAAGTTTTCACTTTTCATTAATCTGTGGGAAGTTTTCACTTTTCATTTATCTGTGGGAAGTTTTCACTTTTCATTAATCTGTGGGAAGTTTTCACTTTTCATTAATCTGTGGGAAGTTTTCACTTTTCGTTAATCTGTGGGAAGTTTTCACTTTTCGTTAATCTGTGGGAAGTTTTCACTTTTCATTAATCTGTGGGAAGTTTTCACTTTTCGTTAATCTGTGGGAAGTTTTCACTTTTCATTAATCTGTGGGAAGTTTTCACTTTTCATTAATCTGTGGGAAGTTTTCACTTTTCATTAATCTGTGGGAAGTTTTCACTTTTCGTTAATCTGTGGGAAGTTTTCACATTTCATTATTATCAAGCAGTTTTCTTGCTGACATTTCATGGTGTGTCTTGCTTTTTTTTTTCATATCTTCTTTCAGAAACCTCAATCATGAAGTAACAAAACTTGTTTATTTTTGTTGTCAGTCACTATAAGGTACGTAGTGGAGGAACTAGATATGATAGAAATCCACAGTTTGAAGTCATAATTACCACTAGAATCACCATTTGTTAATTGGTATGGCACTCATTTAAACAACTCATCCGGAACTAAACGGTCTAGAGACATGGTATTTAAGTGATATATATATACACAAGGCGAGCACTGCAGGCCCATTTGGCCTCTTGTTGTATGACACTCTTTTTGTTGTCATGCCAACCCTTGGTCTGATAAGGTAACATGTAAATTAGAGCTGGGCCTCTTCTGTACAAGACCTTGAATGCTTTTTTTTTTATTATTTTTTGACTGTTTATATCTTTGAACTCTTGCCTCTTCAAGAATTACAGACACTTGCTTAGAAAAATTTAGAAGTCAATATACAAACATGGAATTCAAACTAATTGTTCATGCTTTACTTCCCAATTCTTCATTAATAGCGTAATTTGTACACCTGTTCATGTCAAATGTTTTTGTAATAGCGTAATTTATACACCTGTACATTTCAATTGTTTCAGTAAAAGGGTCATTTGTACATTGTTCATGTCAATTTTTTTCAGTAATAGGGTCATTTCTACATGTCAATTGTTCCAGTAATAGGGTTATTTGTACACCTGTACATGTCAGTTGTTTCAGTAATAGGGTCATTTGTACACCTGTACATGTCAATTGTTTCAGTAATAGGGTCATAGTATAGCTGTAAGTGTTGCTATCTTTATAAATGTTAATGATGTTGTTAGAATGATGTGTGCTCTGGTTAAGAAGTTATCGAGGGAATGATTTGTCGACTCTGGTATTGATAACAAATTGCCCTTTATTATCAGAGGTACGAGTGTTCTCTTGTCATTATGGTGCCTTTTATTGATAGTGTTTCAAGGTTATGTGTTAATAACATGTTGTTTTGTAAATGTGTCAGTGTGGCAGATTTTCTATTGTGAATCAGACCTTCAGTGTGGTTTTCAGCAATAATTTGGTGCCGATACTGAAACATACTGCCTATAACAGCTTTTTCAAAACATAATTGCCTTTTGATCTGTGTATACTGTGTATTGTGGTGTTTTAGCTAGCGATGAATAAGTCACATGCTGTGTCAGTGAATAGCATGCTATTCCAGTTTTAACGTAATCACAGATTTTTTTTGTTAATAATTTTTGAAAAAACTTTTATCCACTGCACTCGTAATTCTCTGGAGTAGAACTTTTCTAGGTAAGTGTTTCCCATTTTGTATTTGCTTCCTCTTTTTAATGCCCTTAACATTGTTATCAGCAGGATGAACACCTGGAATATGTAACAGATTCACTGGTCTAGTCTAAACTTGACAGTTTTATATTGGCCAATTTGTGTCACACCTTTATTGCAATGTTGCATTATTATGAAAACAGGTAAACATTTAGCAAAAACTGTAATGAAGAACAAGGCCAACTTGTTTTGTAAGGCGAAAGGACAGAGATTTCACGGTTAATGTATCTGTACAGTGATTTGTGACATGAACTGGACCTAGTTGTTTCTTGATTGTTTCTTCTCATGAGTTTTGTCGTCATTTTTATGTCATGTTAAGGGGATGTATTTGACATTTTTCTATGAAAATAAAACACACTGAACTGCTGATCATTTTGTTTTTCTATAACCTCATAATGCAGCACAAAGCATACTAATATCTATAAAAACAACTACATTAACAAGAAATGCTACACTTGTTTACATATGAATTCAAGTAAAAATCTATAGGAAGAGAGATCCCTGAAAAAATATTCTCAGTAAACAGACATCACACCATAACATTTTCTCTCAGCAAAATTTAATTTTTTTTTTATAGAAAAAGTCAATTTTTTTGTTAGATCAGCAACAAAATACAAAAGGCAAACCTTGATTGTATGGTTTTATTGAAAAATCAATGTATTCTGAATGTTGTTGGAGCACTTTTGTGTATTTTGTTGCAGCACTTGGATTACATAAAATGAAAGTGATAAAATAACCACATACAGTAACACTTTGAGCGCCACATTTGTTTACCATCAGTACATATACATAAATCTCTACAGAAACACATTAATCAGCATGACCGGTATTTTGCACTCTGATGAACAGAAGATTTTAAAAAATCAATATACAAAAAGCATTTGCAAAGCACCTGTTTCAACATTTATGTTGAAGAACACTTCAAAACACTACCATCGAACCTGGTAATAATATTCACTCAGCTGTGACACGGAAAATACCATTTTCCAAGTCCTACAAGTCTAATATCTACATTATCTTAAAATTCAAACAACTTTTGACCTATTAATTAAGGGACAGGACAAATAAATGTTATTTGTTACTACTTTCAAAAATATTCAATAATGGTATCATCTTTCCATGTATTTGAAGACAATGACAAGATAACATAAACACCAAGAGAATTAGAAATCCTTGATTATCAGGATTGTAGAAATCCAGTCAATTGTCCATTAGCTATATTTGATCAATCCACACTACATTTGTCTACCGCTGCTATCCTTATAGAACATCAAGATCAACGAATACAAAACTAGGCAGTTGATACTATCCTTGAAGGATGTCTCCATGTAGGGTGGTCGGCTAAAGATATTTAAATCTACTGTCTTTTATAACCTATTTATTATATACTATCTACTTATGCAGTACTTTCAGAATCACAGGTAGCATAACACCTTCTATTTTGGTGCAATACATACATTCAGGCAAATAACTTTTCTTTTTAAATTGATTACAATCCAGTCATTAATGTATATTCTCTTTAATCCCAATCAATTCGTGTCTACTCAAATAAATGACACGCACAACGTTGAACCTAAAGAAGCAATTATTGCACTGTAGTATTTGCTCAGAATTTTTCTTCACATCTTATTTACATGTGAAATTATGAAAACAATGTAGAAGAAAATACTGTTAATTCGATGATCTGACGATATGTGCTGTATTTCTGTATCTGCCTATGTGAAGAGAAATGAACTGGGCTTCTATTTCACGAATCTTCCTTAGCTTAAAATAAGAAAAATTGATTGAAGATCAATAATTCGTGAAAATGAAGCTGTCATACAAATTCAGTACAATTCTTTAAGGATTCCTATTAGATCATACAAAATGTCTACTGATAAAGGTCACCCAAGAAAAGTGGTGATGAACAGACCAGGATGGTAGACACTATCACACACTTGGTTTGGACAGTCTCTATCTTGTTGATTACACTGAGCAACATATCAACAACATTCTAGCAGTATCAGCTTGACATTGGAATATATTTACATTCACTTTTTGTACCAATGGAAACAATTTAGAAAAGAAACCTCAACAATAGACATTACAGATTATCATATATGTATGATATATGAAAATGATTGCTGTGATCGATGTCACATTGTTTACAAATGTCAAAGAATGTTTTCAAGCCAATACATAAATGTTTTATGTTTCAAAAAACAATTTCATCCAATGAAATCCTCTCTTTTATCCTCAACCAAGTAGTTATGTAACAAAACCTAAACTGAGGATCTGTCAATGCTTTGAAACAACAACTGCAATATATGTCATAAATTTTACAGAGTGATCTTAATATTAACATGCATTCAAATATTCTACATGAAGGAGTAGTATATTTCTGTAGTTGGACGCAATGGTTTTAGTTAACACATTTTATAATTAAATAATCTAAGATCTTAGAATTGAGACTATTTTTTATCATAAATCTTAAAAAATACATTTAACAATGGTATACATTATGATAACTTTATATATCTAAAAGACTTCTATTAAACAGACAAAACAAACCAGTATTAACCAGTTATCAGTTACAGGACTCGTCCACTCACAAATGTCTTGGAAAGCCATTTTTAATTCAAAAGTAATTTCAAAACTAATTTACACATTAGATACCAGTGAACATTCAATTCTTGAGACCTGATTTATGATGAATTGTTAAACTATGTCCCTTTACACATTCACATGTGTAGCTAACCTGGAAAGAATCTGTACAAGATTCACATGTACTATCACATCTCCACAAACATTAAGTGCTTATCATTAGTAATTTTGGATATATTTAACAGATAAAATTTTTTTAACATCAAATCAAGAAAAAAAAACTAATAACAGTTGTGTCCATATCAGTGCCGACATAGTCCACAGGCAATGGATTGAAAATTTGTCACACTGAAATACCAATATCCTATAGTAGGTATTTGCTGTAAAATTTGTATAATTTTTTTTCCAAGTTGAAGCATTATCCTTGAAAATAGTAAACTAGTATTTTGATTTCAAACATAGTTTCAACCTGACATGAAAATGAAACCCATTAAAAAGTTAAGGTCAAAAGTGAAATTCTCTCCATTTTTTCATTGACTCTTTCACATCAGAACAAAATCTCTTTCCGTAATTCCAAAATCTTTGGTCTTTTGTGAAAGCATAAGAGTAAGACCAATAAAAATTCAATTTTGGGAAATTTTTCACTTTATTTCTTCAACATGTAAAAAACTGCAATGCAATACACTTTGAAACACAGGTCATATAAAATTCTCAATGAAATTTACAGAATATTACCAAGATATTAATGTTGACACCTAACCTCCTTTATAAAGTCTATTTTACAATATTATTTTTAATCTGATGTATCTGAAATCCATTTAAAAACTTCACATCGGTAATACTTTCCGAACAAACAATAGTATGAGACATATAATCACTATAGAAATAAATAGCTCCCTGATGAAGTTACTTGTATATGACTTTGTACACATTCTCAGGTCATTTCACAGACTTCCATACAAAAGAAGGTAAAACGCTGATGTAAGGACACATCTCCCATGAAGCTATTAGCAATAAACAGTAAATATGCAACACTCTGACAAATTAATTATACAATCTTTTGAAAGACTTTTAAATTTGTTTCTTATCACACTTCTGTATTGTATACACATATAAATGAAATAACTTCAGCCACTCAAACGATATCTTAAGCATCATATATCTGACATACTGGTACTAGTGTTTCACTACAAAATAGAAATACAACCTGTCCATTTACACTTATACACAAGCATCACATACATACACAAGCCAGAGAGAACAGTGATGTCTAAACGTTTCATGTAGAAGACATGTTTGTATTATATAAAACAGGTCTTCAATAATCCTCCTTCACATTCAGTCACTTCTAAGTCCACATTCACTAATGTCCATAACTTTGAAACTTCCAAACAAATGACAAGGCATCAATATTCAGGGTTTCATAGTTTTCCATTTAAGCCTAAGTTTGAAAATTCATTTTACAGAAATATTAAACAATTACCCGAAATTTATCATTGTCACATCACAGATTAACCATTTCCGTCTAGATCTTTGGATTGACATGTTGTTTGAGTTAGCAACACCTTTCAGTAAAGATCCTGATAGTGGCAGGATGTTTGCCTGTATAATAAAAATTAAGTCTAGATACTGGAATTATTTGTACTCATGGCACCTAAAGTTAAGCTGCTGGTACTGTTGTGTTATATGATCTTATTCAGTATAAATCCTGAAGTTAGGGTGATGCTTGAAACAATACACTTAGTCATGATCGTGGAACTAATGTGTTACTTGTATAATAATTACAACCGCATTTTGTTGGGACTTCCAGATCCTTGAATCACCTTGTCATCTGTATAACAACACACTTCAGTCCAGGTACGGGATTGGAGTGTAACTGACTTTAATCCAAATCCTGGGACTGCTTGACTGGAGGGTCGTCAGTGTAGATTTTCAGGGCTTTTTCCTTTCGTGGTGAATAGGTGCTCTTTCCACAACCTCTTGACAACCTGAAACATGCAACAAAACAACTGCTACATAATTGCCCAAGTATTTTGATATAAAAAATGAACGTAGGACAGTAACTCCCTACATCATAAAACAAAATGAACAATATCAGTAGGAGACAAGCATCCTGAAGTGCCTTACCACTGGAAATCACATACAAATTTCACAACTGAAGGCAACTTCATGTTCCGAAAATGAAAGAGCACTGCTACAACTTTGTGTATCTAAAGGCTTGAAACACAATTTTAGTACTGAAGACTTTACCATAAACAGGTTACCAACAAGGAAATTTTGACACTCAAATCCTGCAAGTAACAGGTTACTCTGATGGAAAGTTTTGCAGTCATACCCTACCAGTAACAAGTTCACTACATGGAAAGTTTGGCACTCAAATCCTGCAAATAACAAGTTACTTTCATGGAAAGTTTGGCAATTATTTCCTGCCAGTAACAAGTTACTTTTGTGGAAAGTTTGGCTGTCGTATCCTGCCAGTAACAAGTTACTTTCATGGAAAGTTTGGCTGTCGTATCCTGCAATCAACAGGTTACCTACATGGAAAGTTTGGCTGTCGTATCCTGCAATCAACAGGTTACCTACATGGAAAGTTTGGCTGTTGTATCCTGCAATCAACAGGTTACTTACATGGAAAGTTTGGCTGTCGTATCCTGCAATCAACAGGTTACCTACATGGAAAGTTTGGCTGTCGTATCCTGCAATCAACAGGTTACCTACACGGAAAGTTTGGCTGTTGTATCCTAAAATCAACAGGTTACCTACATGGAAAGTTCGGAAATGTACTAAATAAATAACTATTTCTCACCTGGCATTTTCTTTGTTTTGTAATTCCTTTCTCCTCTCATCTGACAGTTTCATTAGTTTCTCAGTTTTGTCTCTGTAATAGATGACAACAATTTTTCTATGATCATTACTGCATTTATCCTACCAACAAATAATTAACTAATTCACAAAACAGTTCCTGCCATCTGTCTACATTACATACTTATTTGCTGGTGCACCTCGGTAAGTAACATATTAAACCATCATTACCAAGCTTTATTGAACTTTCAAGAAAAGCAATGTGTGTTACAGGATCATAACACAAGTTGCTGAAATGAAACAAGACTAAAATGAAAAGTTTGATTGCCTCTGACCTGTAGTAGAGGACATTGCCATCATCACAGATGTAGAGTGGCCAGGAGTTGAGAGTGGTGACATAAGGGTTCCAGTCCAGGTCTGTGTGCACTTCTAGTAATGATATATCACATGGGAATGTGCCACGCCCCTTAGCATACTCCACATTCTCCAAATCTATCCCGCTGACCTCGGAAAGCTGTACAGGAAAACAGTCAAAATTTCTTCAGTGATAATATACCCAATACATAGAATTATTTTCACAACATAAATAAAATTTAATTCTATTTTAAAAGATCAAGCCATTTTTGTTAAAGAAGATATTGAATTCTAAAGAAGCTATTATAATCAATAATTTGATAATATAGAGAATAGTTTCTATTTTATTTTACAGGTTGATTCTTGTGACATTAAAATTTTTGTTTTGTAAAATCAATCAAGACTTCTGTGGAATTGTGTGACTATCAACTTTACGTAAAATGTCGTCAAACAAGTAAGGTCACGATTCAAAAGTATTAATGGTAGCGCTAAGGTCTAAAACAAGTACATGTTGAAATCAACACACAAATTAACTGTTTTTACAGTGCTAAAACTACCATAAAACTGGCATTGTTTGATGAAAATTGAATTTGTCTAGGAATTTTTATATACATCACATAACACACAGGTAAATGCAGAAGGTCACATTGAAAATGGTGCTCTAACAATAAGTCAACGGAAACAAATACACCACAACTTGTATCTAATACACAAACTGGGATGTAGTAGTCATTCAAGTATGGTTATCTGCATTGGTCTAGAATACATATTGTTAGATAAATGGAGATATAATAAAACTATGTCAATGTGAGCCAAAAACCGTAATAACACTAAAAAGGTATACCTTCTCCTTCAGTTCCTCTAGTGTCTGCTGACATAGTATAATCTCCTCAAATGGACCAAATTCATAGGCCGATGGTTTCCATCTCCGAACAAAGATTGACAACTGTGAAGTAGATACCATTAACTCCGGGCCTAGAAAGAGGGAAACAAAAGAGGCATCATAACCTTTTCATGTATGTTGGGTCTTATCTATCTAAAAATGTAAATTTCACAAACAAAATCATTTTACTAGAGTAAAACTGACTCTGTGAAAGTGTTACTTACCATCAAGAATTTGTAAAAAGACCTCCCAGTTGGCAAAGATAGGTAAATCATCTTCGTATACTTGGGAATCAGTATACACAGTCCCAGGATTCTTCCATGTCTTTTTACGCAATCGACATCTAAAAAATACACAAGATGCCCAAAATCTGCCCATGAAAACAAGTCTAATAATAAATCTAAGTGATCAACATAAAACTTTCTTGATCTGAGGTGTTTTAGGGTCCTGACAATCACCAGGTATGGTAAGGAGGATTGTAGAGGTCTTTTCGGGTCCTGACAATCAACAGTGTGGTAAGGAGGATTGTAGGGGTCTTTTCGGGTCCTGACAATCAACAGGTGTGGTAAGGAGGATTGTAGGGGTCTTTTCGGGTCCTGACAATCAACAGGTGTGGTAAGGAGGATTGTAGGGGTCTTTTCGGGTCCTGACAATCAACAGTGTGGTAAGGAGGATTGTAGGGGTCTTTTCGGGTCCTGACAATCAACAGGCGTGGTAAGGAGGATTGTAGGGGTCTTTTCGGGTCCTGACAATCAACAGGTGTGGTAAGGAGGATTGTAGGCGTCTTTTCGGGTCCTGACAATCAACAGATGTGGTAGAAAGGATTGTAGGCATCTTTTCGGGTCCTGACAATCAACAGGTGTGGTAAGGAGGATTGTAGGGGTCTTTTCGGGTCCTGACAATCAACAGGTGTGGTAAGGAGGATTGTAGGGGTCTTTTCGGGTCCTGACAATCAACAGGTGTGGTAAGGAGGATTGTAGGGGTCTTTTAGGGTCCTGACAATCAACAGGTGTGGTGAGGGGATGGTAGGGGTCTAAGTAGACACTTTGTTTACGATATTGTAAATGTCTTACACCCTGTGTATTTTATGACAATGCAATGAATATGGTCCGATATGTCATCAGGTAGAAGACATTGAACTTTACCTGTCAAGAGGAAGGTCGATACTGCATTGTTCTTTAATTTCTGGAATAATCAACTTCTTGGATTCCAGCACCGACATTCCTTTGGCAAATATTGTATCAATCAAAAATTTACTCGGCTGCAAGAGAATAAATATTTGACTATATAAAAAAAACAATAAATTTATTATAGTCCTCATTATCACAAGTATGTGTTTTACATATAAATAAAATACTACAAATCACTTACAGATGATTAATGTTATGTTAATGAATATTCACACTCAGACATTTCCCACCTACAAATGTATACATATATACAGTGGTATATGCTCTCTCTTTCACTTTTATGTAAATGCAGATAAAACAGGCTATCAATCATACAAGTTAATTTAGGAATTAATCATACAAGTTACTTTAGGAATTAATCATACAAGTTACTTTAGGAATTAATCATACAAGTTAATCTTACAGGAATTAATCATACAAGTTACAATTAATCATACAAGTTAGGAATTAATCATACAAGTTAATTTAGGAATTAATCATACAAATTAATTTAGGAATTAATCATACAAGTTAATTTAGGAATTAATCATACAAGTTAATTTAGGAATTAATCATACAAGTTACTTTAGGAATTAATCATACAAGTTAATTTAGGAATTAATCATACAAGTTAATTTAGGAATTAATCATACAAGTTAATTTAGGAATTAATCATACAAGTTAATTTAGGAATTAATCATACAAGTTACTTTAGGAATTAATCATACAAGTTACTTTAGGAATTAATCATACAAGTTAATTTAGGAATTAATCATACAAGTTATTTTAAGATCCACCAAGTTTTAACATGAACCTGCACCCGAATCATCCTAAAACCCAAGATGTGAAAAATGTTTTCAAGACCTTAACACAGTCTAACTAAAAATAATGAAATATCTGGTAGACAAATTTTATGGACAGAGTATATGACCATTGTATCTTATTGAGCATAAAAGTTTGTTTGCAAATTGATAACAAAAAGTACATTATTAAAGTACCGGTACATCACATTAACAATAATCTGATACTGATTACATTTATAATCAATATTCAATGATTTACAGAAAAATGTAATGATCAGTAGCTCAGACCTACCTCGGATTCATTGATCTGCAGCTGATAAACTTTCACTCTGTATTCTCCTGGCTTCAGAGCTCGTCCAAGCTTGATATTTAGCTGTAATGAGATAAATTTAGCAACCATCACAAGAATTATACATAATCATATGTCTGTCTCACTTTGTTGGTAAAATGCAAAATACTTTTAAATTATGTCTTCCCAACCAAAATACTGAATGTCCATGTTAATCTTTATTATGTAAACACCACGAAAACTTCGCAAATTCATCAAACCCCAAAAATTCACTCAAATACAGCATTTTTACCCCAAAAACATCACCCTTCCAAAGCAGAAAGAGGATATATTATAGTAATTGTTCAATATAACTAAATTAAATCTGAAGTGAAAAGAACCCTAGAAAATTTGTATTTATTTCTCAAAATCATTTTTGTCCCAAAAACACACCTAAAAAATACACATAAGGCCTCTACAATTTGTCCTTTCAGGTATTCATGCTAGTGACTATGTTTTCTTTGAATCAGCCCAGTGGTTCTTAAGAAACTGGAAATTTCAAAAATTTACAGAAGATGGAGAAGTTCAAAGCACAACAACCAGTGACAGACAATAGCAAAGATTCATGTATCTTATTGATGGGTTTAGATATCTATACTACAGTACTACTGTAGTTCAGATTGGATTTGAATAGTACTTGTACTGGATGAGAAACTGAGCTAAATGCAATTAAATTCAGCTTCTCAGCATCCCTAATTTAGAGTTGCCAGTCTATAAAATCTGGAAAATATTTTGTAAATAAGGAATGCCTTGAGGTGTCCAATATGTGATATCTAGCTATATAAGAAGTTCGGCTGAATTTGAACGCCTGTTTTTGAGAAACAGATCTAAACACAAAAATGTGAAATGTTGATGACAACAAAGCCAGAAAAGTGACACCATAGTCTTGCTTATGTGATTTTTTGTATATGAACTGCAGATCTGTTTGCAAAATAACTTACCTTTCCATCTTCAAAGAAACTCATTGTTTCTGATAGCCGTATACTCTCAAACTCTTGATTATTAGAATAAACCCTGTACACCTGAAATGTTGAAACATAACCATATATGGATTTCTAATTAAAAACTATCAATTGTAGGATAAGATCATCTTCATTTTCAGTCAGATAAATTGATCTTAATTACAACCTGAAGTAACAATCTGAAAAGGTGATATATTAACTAATTAGGTTTTTCAGTTATTAGTTTTAAGTTATCCAAAAGTCAGAATAAGATCAGAATCAATTCAAATAATTTCTGTACACTGCTTAATAATGAGTGTGTTCCAATAAATTACCTTAAAGTTATCTACTGTTGTTTCAACGTATGGTTCTAGTTCTTTTTTAAATGCTCCCAAGGTTATTCTCTTGTCCACCCTCACGGTCAGATCTGAAAAAGAGAAAAAGAACACACAATAACAAAGGTTCAATTCCACTTTTTCAAAAGTACATTTCCCTCTCGTTAAGCGTAGAAGGCAAATTTCAGAATTATCTAAAACATGATAAAACAATCTGACAAGTCACCAATATATGACTTCCTTGTAGACACCACACAAGTGTGTGTATAAGAAATAAAAGTAAATAATTTACTACCATTGAATACTTGTTCTGTGTTAATCAAGCACCTAAACAAAACCTTCTGCACAATTACAAGCAGGGAAAACAGGAAACAATAGTGACTTACGTCTCTGTCTGGACAGCATGTCTTCCTCCTGACTGACCACAAAGAAGTACCGCCTGACATTGTCCTCATTGATGACCATCACATCTGGTGTTTCATCCGAAGGTGTTACATCCAGTGTTTCTGCATCCCAGTTCTCTGTGGCACTACATACATCCTCACCTGATTCCTTTTTAAAGTCTATATCACTGATGGTGCGTTCACCTGGTGATGGAGGCTCTACTTGCTCTGAATCACTGTTACTGTGCTCTACAGCTTCTCGTCCACAGTCAAACTCTGCTACTGAACTGAAATTTGTGTTCAAACTGAATTCTGCACTAGTACTGGTGTCCTGACTACTATTGCTCTGCCCGTTGACCGGACTACTAGTCCGACCCTCAGACACTGTTGGACTAAGCCTTGTGATTGGCCCGGTTTCTATATTTTGTACCAGTATGGGACTACAGGCCCGAGCTTCAGACCCTGGTTCTGTTAGACTAAGTGTTCGAGTTTGACCAGGTGCGAGACTTCGCTGTGGCTGCATATACTGTTCATCCACTGGACAACTGTTGTGGTATATGGAGGGATCACTTTTTGACTGTTTTAAAGTGAGGGATTTCACCCTGAAGTCTACTTCACTATCACTGCCACGATCACTGATTCCTTCATCAATGTCCAGGGGGTCATGACCTCCTGTGTATTTGGGCGTTACCCCATCACCTGTTAAGTTCTCCAGGCTTTTGGTGGCAGTTCCACAATTCACAGCCCTCTCCATTAAATGAGAATGCCTCAGACTTATCTTTATGAACTCAGTCACCTCAGCTTAAAACAAAACGATGAAGATATTTAAAACAAATCAGCATCATTATAAAGAAGCAATATAAATATAAATAATCATTCTTGATAATCATATTGAAATTATTTTCAGACTAAAATCAATTCCACATTCAAAAAGCTTTAAGATCTGAAGGACATTTATGAAAAAATCAAGTCTTCAGTTAAATACACTTATCTGGTAATGTTGTAACATCTAGCATGAGAAACTGGGTTTATTTATCAGGAGACATACTGACAGATGGCAAGCTCACATGTATCCTGTGTGTATCTGGGTTTATTTATCAGGAGACATACTGACAGATGGCAAGCTCACATGTATCCTGTGTGTATCTGGGTTTATTTATCAGGAGACATACTGACAGATGGCAAGCTCACATGTATCCTGTGTGTATCTGGGTTTATTTATCAGAAGACATACTGACACAAGGCAGGCCGAGACATATCCTGTGTGAACCTTGGTTTATTTATCAAAAGACATACTGACACAAGGCAGGCCGAGACATATCCTGTGTGTACCTTGTTTATTTATCAGGAATGCCAAGCTGACATGTTTCCTACGAGTAACTGGGTTTATTTTTCAGAAGACATACCAACAGATGGCAAGCTGACGTGTATCCGGATAGTATTCTGATGGCGATCCAACAGATTGTAGAAACGACTGTTGACAAAATGATCTGCACTGGGATCCTCCAATCCAGAGTACTCAATGTAAACCTGTGGTGATTTGTAGAAAGGTAAATATTAAAAAAATAAACTTAAAGTAAATTGTATAAAGTAATTACTTGTCACACGTCTTCATTTCTCCATATCATCAAGATTAAACAAACATGGACAATGTGAAAAATTACGTTCAATGTAGAGCTTAGCAGAAGACTTCAACATGACACAATTAATTGTAAACAAATATGTTACTAAAATGAACCAGAGGGAAATGGTAGAAAGGTACATAGAAAACCAGAGGGAAATGTAGGAAAGGTACATAGTTTAGGAATAAATCACAGAGAGAAATGGTAGAAAGGTTAATTGTAAGGAATAAACCAGTATATGTTACTAAAATGAACCAGAGGGAAATGGTAGAAAGGTACATAGTTAAGGAATAAACCAGAGGGAAATGGTAGAAAGGTACATAGTTTAGGAATAAACCAGAGAGAAATGGTAGAAAGGTACATATTTAAGGAATAAACCAGAGGGAAATGGTAGAAAGGTACATAGTTTAGGAATAAACCAGAGGGAAATGGTAGAAAGGTACATAGTTTAGAAATAAACCAGAGGGAAATGGTAGAAAGGTACATAGTTTAGAAATAAACCAGAGGGAAATGGTAGAAAGGTACATAGTTTAGGAATAAACCTGAGGTTCAGTACATTACAATCAAAGAATCCATTCTCTTTTCAACACAAGTAACTGAAACTAGTGCTTTTACACATCTTTGAAATATTGTGTTTAAAACAATACTTGGAAAGAAACATTACGCTAAATACTGAACATTTACTAACACTTCCCTCACTTCAGTTATTCATTCTACTCACCTTATTACTCTTGAAGAAACCTTCAGCCTTGAGAGTTTTGTGTGGCATCCACAGATAACGAAGATCATTGTGAAACCGCTCCAAAACACATCTCATATTTGTCACAGGTACATCCAACACCTACAGTAAAAAAAAATGCAATAGTGCATCAGATCAAGAGGCCATACTGGTCTGTATCTGTTGTCTTTGATATTGAAGTGACTGAAAATTAACAAAATAAATAAATAATAAACCCACTTTGATAGACTAAATAAAGATCATGAGATATCACAGCCTGATGGAAATTGAGAAGACATTGGCTGTATTCACACTACCTAGTTTCTGGTCTATTTCAGTTGGTTGGATCTGAAAGAGAGCAGTGAGTAAACACTAGAACCAAGACTGATCTCTTGAGAAATTTGGAACTCACAGATTGAGGGGTACAGTTATGCTTATTCTAAACCTAAACCACTTAATTCTGCTTTTCTAGATTCTAGATGAAAAATGTAAATTCAAATATATATCAATATATATATCAATGGTTCATTATGTAGAAGACAGGAAACCCTGACACTGGTCATTTTGGTTTTTTTCCCATCCATTTTATACATAGAGGAATTAGATGAAATTTTGCACAGTTTCCTCAACAGAACAGTGACACTCTGCTCCAAAGAGAGGCAACAATAAACAATTATATATAAATATCTCTTTATCCTCAACAATGAGTAGGGGCAATTAACTAACTCTACCTTCCAATGTAAACAATGTATGGAATCCAGTCACAACTTACGATCAGGAATTTTCAGTGACACCTTATTTTGAAAGAATGTTTTTTCCCCTTTTAACCTTTAAATAGCATTCTATCAATCCTAATCAGACAAGAGTAGAGGATTAACAAGCTGTTAAAAGTTATCAATGGAAATAATGTAGAAAAGAATATCTGTTAACATTTCAAATATGTGTAACACATTTTCTTGGTATTTACATTAATGATCTTACCTCAGAAACAATGTCCTTAAATTCAGCAACAGTTTGTGGGCTATAGGCACGAACACTGATAGGCTCCTGTATGACCTCTAAATCCATGTCCACTACAAACACTTTCACAGTGACTCCTGAAAAGTATGGATAAGACATATTTCAGGCAATCTCATGATATATATAAAGTCCGAACATTCCACTTACACAGAAATTTATAACAATAAAATCAAACATAATGAATGTTCATAGAATACTGAATGTTGTTTTCATTGATACAATCATTCATGACTACTAGTAAAGCACTCCTGGCCATATCAAATTGAGTAATCAGCTTTAAAGCAGCTTACCACCAGGTTTGTACTCGTGAAACTGCTGGTCAGGTCGTTTGGTCTCCAGTAGAAGATCGAAGTTGTATGTCTGTTTGACACCTCCCAGGAGTTGACCTATAGGAACATCCTCCTCCCCTTCAAACGAGCGTTCCAATGTATCCTGATATTCATCATACTTTACAAGACGACAGCAATCCAATGGTAGAGCACTCCTTAACTCAAACAGCTGAAAGAGGACATTAGAGTAAGGTCACATTACTCTGTGTACCTAGGAGTGCCTTTGTATGTAGAAGGTTAACTGGTGGATAGGGTTGTATTAACAATCACTGATAGTTAATATCTCAGATTTTGTTTAAAATGTAGAAATAATTTCAAGTTTTTATCACTATTGAAGTCAACCCTCAAGATTAGAAACAAAGGCTTTTTGTAAGTAAGCAATTGAAAATTTTTTAACTGGCTGAACCTGCAAAAGAAATCAACACACAAATTGGGACCAAGGCCAGACTACAGATTATTTGTACAGTTTGAGGAGGTCCATCTGTACCTGTCTGAAATCAACTAAATGAATATTATCAGTTTTGAAAATTTATGCATAAAACAGGGTCCCTGCACACATATATTTCTAGAAATGTTATGACATTCAGTACAGATTAAAATGGAAAATATTTCATTATTTGTCAATTATTTTATGTTTGACAAGAAATTCCAAAACTGTGCATTTTGAGCTTTATATATCACAATTCTAAAATCTGGTTCAGGTGAATTTGTTTTATCATGGAAAAATTCTTTGCCACTTGGACTGTTTCAGCCAGGTTACACTAAAGTGGCCATTTTGTAAATACATATGATTGCAGAACAAATGAACACCTAGAAATGTGTACCAAAAGCAACCTACATGGTAAACCATCTCTGTGGCCTCGGCTAATGTTTTGTCTTTGTGTACTTCTAGTCGCTGTTCTTGTTTCTTCTTTAAAACTGGATGGTAGCAGAATGTCTTTATCTGGAAATAACATCAAAACATATATTGAAAAAAAAATGAAATGTTACAATTGGTTTTGTCTATCAAATATCAATTTCAAAAGCTGCATTTACATTCAGATATGATTCTAAAAGAGAAATAACTGTTTGAAAGTTTCCCACAAATACTGTATCTAAAAATAATAAATACATGTACAGGTAGATTTATCAATCAGTGTAATGTTTTATACCTTACAGGTAGATTTATCAATCAGTGTAATGTTTTATCAGACTGGTGATGATACATATACCTTACAGGTAGATTTATCAATCAGTGTAGTGTTTTATCAGACTGGTGATGGTACATATACCTTACATGTAGATTTATCAAACAGTGTAATGTTTTATCAGACTGGTGATGGTACATATACCTTACAGGTAGATTTATCAAACAGTGTAATGTTTTATACCTTACAGGTAGATTTATCAAACAGTGTAATGTTTTATACCTTACAGGTAGATTTATCAAACAGTGTAATGTTTTATCAGACTGGTGATGGTACATATACCTTACAGGTAGATTTATCAAATAGTGTAGTGTTTTATCAGACTGGTGATGGTACATATACCTTACAGGTAGATTTATCAAATAGTGTAGTGTTTTATCAGACTGGTGATGGTACATATACCTTACAGGTAAATTTATCAAACAGTGTAATATTTTATCAGACTGGTGATGGTACATATACCTTACAGGTAGATTTATCAGACAGTGTAATATTTTATCAGACTGGTGATGGTACATATACCTTACAGGTAGATTTATCAAACAGTGTAGTGTTTTATCAGACTGGTGATGGTACATATACCTTACAGGTAGATTTATCAAACAGTGTAATGTTTTATCAGACTGGTGATGATACATATACCTTACAGGTAGATTTATCAAACAGTGTAGTGTTTTATCAGACTGGTGATGGTACATATACCTTACAGGTAGATTTATCAGACAGTGTAATGTTTTATCAGACTGGTGATGGTACATATACCTTACAGGTAGATTTATCAAACAGTGTAGTGTTTTATCAGACTGTTGGTGGTATATATACCTTACAGTGTAATGTTTAATCAAACTGTTGGTGGTACATAAACCTTACAGGTAGATTTATCAAACAGTGTAATGTTTTATACCTTAAAGGTAGATTTATCAGACAGTGTAATGTCAGACAGGTGTCTGTAAGAATACCTTACAGGTAGATTTATCAAATAGTGTAGTGTTTTATCAGACTGGTGATGGTACATATACCTTACAGGTAGATTTATCAGACAGTGTAATATTTTATCAGACTGGTGATGATACATATACCTTACAGGTAGATTTATCAAACAGTGTAGTGTTTTATCAGACTGGTGATGGTACATATACCTTACAGGTAGATTTATCAGACAGTGTAATGTTTTATCAGACTGGTGATGGTACATATACCTTACAGGTAGATTTATCAAACAGTGTAGTGTTTTATCAGACTGTTGGTGGTATATATACCTTACAGTGTAATGTTTAATCAAACTGTTGGTGGTACATAAACCTTACAGGTAGATTTATCAAACAGTGTAATGTTTTATACCTTAAAGGTAGATTTATCAGACAGTGTAATGTCAGACAGGTGTCTGTAAGAATACCTTACAGGTAGATTTATCAAACAGTGTAATGTCAGAAAGGTGTCTGTAAGAATACCTTACAAGTAGATTTATCAGACAGTGTAATGTCAGACAGGTGTCTGTAAGAATACCTTACAGGTAGATTTATCAGACAGTGTAATGTCAGATAGGTGTCTGTAAGAAAACCTTACAGGTAGATTTATCAAACAGTGTAATGTCAGACAGGTGTCTGTAAGAATACCTTGCATGTAGATTTATCAAGTTCTTTTTGGCGTTGTTCTGCTTCATCTTTATCCTTTAGATGTTGAAGTTGTTGTCTAATATGATCTGGGAAATTATCTGGTTGAACAAAATCTAAAAGAAACAACCATCAGCACCTTAAATACATAGTTTATGGGCCAGTTGGAAAAAATGCATAACCTAGCATTCATGCTAGACTCTTCTAATACAAGATAATTTTAAAAATTAGATATGAAATGATTTTATGTCATTAAGTAAAAAATGTCTTTCCTCACCAGCATTTCTCTGTTTATCGATCTGACGATACATCAACATGTATGCATTCGTAGAACTGAAACAAATGAGCACAGAATAAAGCATGTTTCAATCATTTGGAAACTTACTTTGCAGTCAACAAAAAATTCTTTTCATTATAGCATATGTCTTTAAGTTCAACCCTGTGTTCACCAACAACAGACTTAAAGACGTGTAAAATTCAATATGACTCAAAGCCATGAAAGACTTTATATTTTACAAAGTTATTGCCTTAAACACTATCACACTCTATCATATAAGCTAATCTCTCCTAGGATCAAGTCAAGTTTTACTAAAGATTATGACCAATAGAAATTATCCTCCACCTGGGTAATGATTTGTTAACACAGAAATTCATAATTACCTGCTATATGTGGCTGAGTAATAGCCTCGGGATACAGAGGCACCACCATATATCTTTGTGATCTCGTCATATCCTATCTGTTAACAAAGCACACTGTGTATGTTAGAACACATTTAACCCACAGAAGTCAAACTATCATCAATTAGTAAAGCAAGACAGTTAATTAGAGTCAGCGAATTTTAACATGGTACAACATGATTTAATCTGATGATGAAAGAAAAAAATCTGACATTGACCTTAGTCTATGCCTGTAAAGTAATATTTAGTTAATTATAATGAAATTAACACAGCACTCATTCAAAGGATTAGACTTTAAGCAAACTCCTCATAAAATACAAAACACAAACACATAATACAAGGTTTACTCTGGAATTCTTAGGTAAAAACCTCTCACTCACACACACACATATACTGTACAACATGATGTAATCTGCTAATAAAAGTTGGATATAATGCTCACGTACACACATACATACATGGTACAACATGATTTAATCTGATGATGAAAGTTTGATATAAAAATCAAATTCACACATACATACATTGTACTTCTGAATTATTCTGATGATGAAAGTTTGATATAAAAATCAAACTCACACATACATACATTGTACTACTGAATTATTCTGATGATGAAAGTTTGATATAAAAATCAAACTCACACATACATACATTGTACTACTTAATTATTCTGATGATGAAAGTTTGATATAAAAATCAAACTCACACATACATACATTGTACTACTTAATTATTCTGATGATGAAAGTTTGATATAAAACTCACATATACACATACATACATTGTACTACTTAATCATTCTGATGATGAAAGTTTGATATAACACTCACATATACACATACATACATTATACTACTTAATTATTCTGATGATGAAAGTTTGATATAAAAATCAAATTCACACATACATACATTGTACTACTTAATTATTCTGATGATGAAAGTTTGATATAAAAATCAAACTCACACATACATACATTGTACTACTTAATTATTCTGATGATGAAAGTTTGATATAAAAATCAAACTCACACATACATACATTGTACTACTTAATTATTCTGATGATGAAAGTTTGATATAAAAATCAAACTCACACATACATACATTGTACTACTTAATTATTCTGATGATGAAAGTTTGATATAACACTCACACATACATACATTGTACTACTTAATTATTCTGATGATGAAAGTTTGATATAAAAAAGCTAACACTCACACAATCAAACATGGTACAGCATGATTTAATCTGATGTGGCAAGTTGAATAATTATAAAGGTCACACACTCACACAAATAATCTCTATACAGTATAACTTAATCTGATGATGAATATAAAGCTCACACTCACACCTGCATATCCTTACACAGATGTCACCCAACTTGTCTCAACTCACCTTGGAAACATGCTGGTCATTAAAGCTGTACCACTGTCCGTCTACAAATGATTTGATGTAGGCGTAGTAGTGTCCACCTGCTGCACTGCCCGAATGGATCATGATGGAGAACAGCTCGTACACGTAAGGACCCTACACACAAACAATTATACTATATTAGTTACACATAAATGTACGGACCTTGCAGTCACATAAATATATCATATCTGTATACATATGGACCCTACAGACAATCTTTCTTGAGATATTAAAGTTGTTTCAAGAATACATACAGACCCTACAAACACATGACAAACCATTAAAGTAAAACTCATCCTTATCCTTGTCTACAGAGCAAGAACATTTTGGTTTTATACATCACTCTAATAAATAAACTGTCTACCTGTGTATGCCTTAGATCATTATTAATACCGACAGATACTAGCTCATAGACTGGCAGGCATGTTTTACTTTACATAAACATAAAAAAACATTACTCTTTTTACAAACAACAATGATCCAATCTTTGATATACCGTGCACTCTGACTCCTTGGCATTTTTCGTGTTTGCAGCAGCCTCACTTGAAAGATTTTGTTGGTTATCAGATGGTGTTTGGACAGATCCCAGCTCACTCTCGGCTCCTACATCAATGCCTGTGAACACGCCGCAAGTTCTAGCTGAATTGTATAACCATATTCTATTCAAAACAATAGGCAGAAGTATTGATGATTTACTCAATCACAAATTGTGTTACCCTAACCCGGGTAAATATATTCAAGTGCTATTTGAAGGGAGAATCACAAATTATGTTACCTTAACACAGTTAAATATATTCAAGTGCTATTTGAAGGGAGAATCACCAATTGTGGTACCTTAACACAGGTAAATATATTCAAGTGCTATTTGAATAGAGAATCACAAATTGTGTTACCCTAACCCGGGTAAATATATTCAAGTGGTATTTGAATGGAGAATCACAAATTGTGTTACCCTAACCCGGGTAAATATATTCAAGTTTTGTTTGAATGGAGAATCACAAATTGTGTTACCCTAACCCGGGTAAATATATTCAAGTGCTATTTGAATGGAGAATCACAAATTGTGTTACCCTAACCCAGGTAAATATATTCAAACGCTATTTGAATGGAGAATCACAAATTGTGTTACCCTAACCCGGGTAAATATATTCAAGTGCTATTTGAATGGAGAACCACAAATTGTGTTATCCTAACCCAGGTAAATATATTCAAGTGGTATTTGAATGGAGAATCACAAATTGTGTTACCCTAACCTGGGTAAATATATTAAAGTGTTATTTGAATGGAGAATCACAAATTGCGTTACCCTAACCCGGGTAAATATAATAGAGAATCATAAATTGTGTTACCCTAACCCAGGTAAAAATATAATAGAGAATCATAAATTGTGTTACCCTAACCCAGGTAAAAATATTCGAGATTCACAAAATTACTGTAAAAAGCAAAAAAGCCAGGAATTGATGTTTCATATAGACGATAGATTACATTATTTGTTTTGGTATTTAATGAATGCATTTTAATACATCAGTATTTTGGTTACCTAATAATGGTATTTACAAAGTGAGTGTTCAAAAGGGCTTGTTGTAATGTAGTATACAATTTGTACCTAAAATTTTGCTAATAATATCACCAGAATTCTTTCCAATTGAAATTAAAACTTGGTTTAGAGGCCACTGGTGTGCACAAACCTTCATCACTACTATCTTCCAATGGTCCATCTGACACTTTCCCTCCTGTTGCTGCTGGTATCAAGTCCTCTTCATCTTTTTCTGGGTTTTCTACCATGTGGTTCAAATTCAGCACTTCCTGGAAAGTCATTCTATGACCAGAGGAAGAAAGCCAAGTCAAAATAGACACATAAAAATTCAAAACTTCCTGAAAAGTCATTCTATAACCAAAGTCAAAGAAGGGGTGTGTGCTTTTTCCAGAGACTAGTCAAAAAATAAAATAACAGGAGCAAAACCAAACAAAAGTTCAATAAACTTTTTTTGTCAGATATTAACTTCATCCTGTCTTTGAGATGTTGAGGACATTTTGTTATATACAGATTTTAATCACTTGTAAAACCTTAATAATGTCATGAGAGCCCATCTCTTGACACTTCCCCGACTCTAAAGATCACAGACTGGTCTCATCAGCTATAACTTAATAAATGTTTTATTTCACATATCATCATGGACAAATATATCAGTGTACCATTACCTATCATTGAGTTTTATTCTGTGCATTGTAGTGTAGTCAAAGTCAAAACGCTTTAACTGCAGTGTAAGGAGGTATGGAAAGGACAGGAATTTGAGGCCCTGTTGAAGAAATAATGATACAGTGAGTCACAAAATCTTATCTACCAATCATTATTTACTTTGCTCCTCTTTTTAATTCAAACACTTCATTAACAACATATTTCAAAGAGAAATTCAAAAAAATAAATTTGTTCTTTGCTTATAAATATAAAAATAATTGGTTATGTTTTCTGTATATAAGTATCAAAATTATGACATATTCTTTAGACAACTATATGAGCCCGTGATTTCCAGTAATGTATACCCTACCTTATGAGCATCACACTTTTTGTTACACTTTTCACAAAAGTACTGGTTACTTCCATCTAATGTTTCTGGCTGAACAAATGCATTTAATGCCTCTTCCTGTCAAAAAAAAAATGGACTTGTTGACAGTGAACATGAAACACGTGTCATTAAATGTTTCTGATTTCTTAACAGAAATTTGATCACATTTTAAAAGACAATGTAGGGGTGTAAATTCCTCCTACCTTCAATTGGTACCTGGTTAAGTCGTGGCTGGTGAAAATTTTAAACATTTCTTCAAAGTGTGACTTTTTATTGTAGTTTTCCTGTATACCGGTATACTGTACTCACCACACTACCATAGGCTGTAGTTGCCCCAAACGGCCTGATGACAAGTGGAATATCCAGATAGGAGTCAACCCTGGCACTCTCATTAGTACACTGAAACCAGGACACATGCAGGATAAACAGGTAATATCATTACTTCCAATACAACATGCTCTACTTATAAATATCTGTAAATAATTTATGGCAATTTTTTAGGGTAGTTTCTTATCTTTATTATTTTTTTTTTTTTTTTGCAATTCTAGGTTATAAAATATCTTTATAATAAATATTAAAAGTTGACTGAATACCTCCAAACACTTGACGTAATCTTTCATCTTTCCCTGATAAAGTTGGTTAATAAGATTGGCTTGGTTTGTGTTTCTCCACTTTAGTTCTAAAGCATCAAACATCACTCTACACAGCTCTTGTACGTCATGTTGTTGCCAAACTGTAAGCAGACATATATTCATAAGACCAGCTACAGATACACAACCTCTATCAATTTTTTCTTACAGTAACAACAAACCTCTGTATATGTCATACATGTTTTCTTACATTACAACATGGAAGCATCTATTTGGAATATTGACTTTCAATCCAAGATTGTATGTAATAATAGTATAGGATCAACAGCTTGACCATGTGGGTTTTTCTCCGGATTATTTGGTTTCCTCCGACACAAAGATGCCCTAAGTGTGCATTTAGTTTTACATATGTTTATCAAATTACCACGGTACAAATTAGTTTATATTGTTGCCTTAGGTTCCCAAGCTAATGTTCCTTTCCAGACCTTGTGATTCTCACTTACACAATTTTCTTCCTTTGATATGTTATGTAACGCACGGGTAGATTGCAACTAGTAAGCCATCATTAAAGTTGAACACAGTCCCGTGTTACAAAGATAGATATGGGTAAGTGTGACACATGTTCAATGATAAGATGGAGAAACACTAGGAACATAAAGGGACTGGGATAACAAAACATTTGAAATACCATCTTACCTTCACTGCTATCCCAACCAAAACTTTTGGTTAAGTCTGTGGTTTCAGCAGCACGCTTTTGACTAGTCTGTCAAGAGAAACAATACCCTGCTATCAACATAACAAATCAAAGTGTGCTTATCAAAGTTTTTCTGATTCTTTAATATAATGAAATATCGAAGTAGATACAGTAATTATTGGAATTCAGTTATTTGACACAGGGACTCATGCTTTTCCTTGAGGACTCACCAGAATTTTGAGAACTCTCTATATCTCTAAGAAATAGGAATCATCAGAATTTTGGAAATGGAGTTCAGGGTTCAACTGAATAAAAAAATCCTGTATCATATCAAATGAGTTTTAAACCCATGAACACATTCTTCTGTACATAACCTATGAGGACACCAGCTGATATTTTTAAAGATGAGGCTAAAGACAAAAATACATGCAATGTCATTCAAAATATACTTACTTGTAATTGTAAAAATAGCTTTTGTAGCTGGTATGGAATATTCTTTTCTGATTCTTCATGTGCTCCATCAAACTCCCACCTACAAGAACAGTAAAAGTTTTAAAAAACACTTTATTTCAAAAGCAATATCATTGTAGAATTTCCATTATCACCAGCTTCAAAGGTTTTATAGAAGTGGACAAATGAAGATAGATATTGATCAAACGTGGATCCAGAATACATGTGTATTCCACCAGAATGGTTCAAATAAAGCTTAAGTATTCAATACCATTTTCATGTGTGTTGTACTTACCTGTACAAAGCATTACGGAATTCTGGGGTCATATACAGTGTCTGTAAAAGGCTGTTGAGGTAGCAGGTCATCGCTTGGTTAACAAGTCCAACATAGCCTGAAAAAGACAATCATGTGTTGTAGCATCTCCAATGGGCAACAGTTAACTATCTTTTTACTAACCTCGACTCTTTCTGCTAAAAGTACAATTATGTGAGAAAAATGATACTCCATGTAATATTTCAGCTTATTTCTACTTCTACTTCTAAGCATGATGTCATGAAGACCATATGTAATTCAATGCTATATAAAACTGATGAAGGCTTTTCTATTAACTTAATTTATGTGCATTTTCTGTGACCTGTCTTCTGTATGAAAACCTAATACAACACACCAGGATTATTGTCATACAATACTTATTTAGAGTGGTAAAGTAGTGAAGAATTTTACTATTGTGCTAACCACCTAATATTTTAGACTTTATGACAGTGACAGAGAAGTTTTCGAAGCAAGTGGCTACATCTACAGGAAATGTCACCTATATCAACCAATTTTCCTACAATTTATCAGTGTGGCAGAGCTCTACCCACAGATATTGCATATCATTCAAACCCATACTTACTTGTATCAGCCGTCATTTGACTGCAATAGTGTAGCTGTACATATTGTTTGAAAATCAGAGCTACATTTACTTGTATCAGACATCATGAGAGACAGGGTACCTGTGAAATTATTGGAGAATTGCAGTCATAACTTATCATGTCAGACTTCATCAGAGTAACAGAATAGCTGTAGACATTGTTTGAATATCACAGCCATTACTTACCTGTATCAGACTTCATGAGAGCGGCAGAATAACTGTAGGAACTGTCTGAATAGGTTGAAAATGTATACACATCACCCGAACTAGTGCCACTGGCCCCACCACTATAGTAGCCTGAAGAGGAGGCCACTACCTCTGAAGAGCCTGCAACCTCAGATTCTGCTTCCGTAGCACATGTGGCTACACACTGTTGCTGCAGGAGAAAGCATGGTAGTTGAATATTATATTCATTCTCTCAAATGGATTGATGGCCATATGAATTAACTTTTGTTTTAAGCCAATTACTATTTGTTGGGATTTTTTTCAGTGTATAGTTACTCTAAAACAATAGCTAGAACTGTCATTGGAGAACAACATAACTCACCTTTTAACAATATATCTTATGTAAGTAATGATAGAAAAAAATCATATTACATACCTACATCACTAAATATGGTCCATTATAATCTGTATTCACTTCAGAAATGAAATAGTATGTCAGTTAATTAATGCACTACTTTACAGAATCTACTAAATGGAAACCATGCTGAGCTATTGGCCCCTAAAATCCATAAAGAAACAGGTTAGGATAATGTAAACTTTATGGAAAAGTTTAACCATTTATCCCCTTTTGAGCCAAATATGTATACAAAAGTATGGCTTTGTATATGTTTGTATTCCATAATGAAGCTTCAGTGATCAGCATCTCTATGAATATTGACAGCCAGTACTATTTGGAAAGTTCTCTAAACCTTTTGGTCTCATAAACATGAAAAATATGGTTTAAACATATTGATAACACTTTCTATCATAGCTACACTTCTACAATAAAACAAATAAACAAAGCTTCATGACTGTAGTGACTCAACATTACACTTCTTGCTAGAATACTTGAAACTTGAATTGGGATACAACTGTGACCCATCATACTACAATAGCCCACAAACCATCCTTAATCTTCAAATGCTTCAATTAAAAATCCCAGGAATTTAACTCTGATCAATATAATTTACCGGTTGTGAAGCTTCCACTTTACGGGCAGTAATTCCTTCTCGTTCGTTAATAGTAAAGTCATGGCGTCTCACTCCTACCACACACACATCAGATACAGTTCTGTTCAGAAAGTGCTCCAAAGGCATCTAGGAAAGGAAAATATGGTAATAAACAACAAGCTATAAAGATTGAAGGGGTAGTTTTTCACCATTACAGATAGAAGTTGACAATGTTTAACAATGAGATCACAATCTAGTTGAAACTGTATTTACCTGAAATGCCAATAAGAAATAAACTTGGAAGAAAATATGAAAAAGGTATAATTTGAAGCTAAAACACAAACAAGTTACATAGACATAACTGCCTGACGAAAATTCAAAATTGCATGACAAATATATATAATACACCAAAAGCTACTGATAGTTAATGAGCTTCATCTTCAATGTGGCAGAAATGACTTCATATACTGTGAAAATTTGGTCAAGTTCTTTCAGAAAACCTGAACAAGAGGTTAATATCAGTTAAGTGTGTCTCTTCCCCTAAAGCATCATCAACAAGTCAATCACTTGCCATTAACAACTGTACTTGTTTCTTTCAAAATTGAAAATCTAATGATTCTTAACATTGGACTATTGAAATTTTTCAAGTATTTAATTCTTTTACATTTTACTGACAGAGAAAAAATAAATTCATCTAGCTTTTTTCGTCACTTTGTTTGATATTATCAAATAAAAAGAGACAGAAGGGAAAAGGGCAGCTATTTTGCATCTACTTGCCATACCTTCCGCAAATTATACTGAATATATGTTTGTCATGATTTAGTCTTTACCAGTCTAACATAGCAATTTCTGGGCTACAATTGAAATTCAAAGAAAAACAAGGGAAAAAATAATCAAATTTCTCTATTTACCTCTTCTATTTCTGTTCCAACTTGTTTTTCATAGTGAACTGAAATTGTTTCTGCTAAATAAGAGAATTTTTCTGCCAGGTCCGAAATAAGTCTTGCCACAGGTGTTGATGCAGGCAGGTTAAGTGTGTGTTTGATGCCTGCGCAATTGACATCCACCATGTCACGGACCACACACAGGATCTTCTGTTCATCTGCCACGCACACATTCTGGTAAATCAAAAGTGTACATGCATATATGAGAGATATCCTCTTAGCTCACAGGGAAAAAATTCTTAACATTTAAATTGCTTTGAAAATACATTTTATACAAGCTCAATCACATTTTATCAAATAAGACTGTCGAAACAAATTGTTTCATACACATTTTGTAACATATTTATCCAGTGCAAACCATAACAAGATCATAGTGTATTTTAGTAAAAATAAAAAGCTCCCCTCCCTCTTAAATCCCAGGAGAGTTATGCATGTATACAACTATATCATTCAACCCCTTTCACTTCTAAATAATGATAAGTTGCCACAACAGATCAGTTTATCAGCACTCCAAAACTTTTTGAGTGGAATATTGTTGTATGTCAGGCTGTCTGATGTCTGAAACATACATTGCTGAATCAAAATGTCTGCTTGGGCACTTGACACACAGATTGTGATATTGTTGAATAAAACAATTTTAAGAATTGCTTAAACTGAATAAGACTATGCTAATTTATTAGAGTGATAAGCAGTGAGCCCTTGTGGATCACTTGACTAATTAATGCAGTATAATTAGTTTTTTGTGTTCTGGACAGACAATCGTGAAATTGTAATGAATTGCTATAAGCCTACTATCACATAATGATGTTTCATCTTTGTTTTCTTTCTTCTCTTTCCATAATGTAACCAGATGGGTCCCCCAGGGGAGTGTCCTAGGACCTTTGTTAATTTTTTATGTATCAATGACCTACCAAAAATTATTAAATTCACGACAAATTTGTCATACTTGTCAACTTTTCACAATTCTCGTGGGGGAGAAAAGTGCATGAACTACATATCTGACTTGCCATGATATTGCCCATTGCGACATTTGACTCAAAGGAAAAATTAATGTATATTTAATCAACACATATAACTTTAAGTTGATAAAGCGCACTCTCTACTAGACTATAACAATGAAAAAGTATCTGCTTTTTTCGCAAGTAAGGTTCAAATTTGAATTTATTCATTTAAATTCTCAGTATTCATTTAACTCACACAATATAAAAGATATTAAGATTGATAATTATCTGTTTAGTTGTTAGTAAGGATAGTATTTCCAAATATGATGCCTGTGAAAGAATTTGTTCAATTTAAATAAGGAAAAAATAATGTTAATCAACTCATGAAACTTTAAGCTGTTATTTTATTAAAATAGAAATAGACAAAAAAAGATAATTAAATGATTTTTTTCATAAAATTCAAAATGTTTTAATCTAGATCTAATGGTTCATGATATTTGAAGTTTTGTATTTACTGTGAAATATATATTTATAAAATAACTGTAGCCACTTACAAATCCTAAAATTTGGTTGTTCCTGTTTTGCAAAAGTGTAACTACTTCCTGTTTAATCAGTATCACGTTTTTGTGGAAAACCAAACATGCTTGAATTTTTAGTTAACTTTTCAGTGAGTGAAATATTTGTTTGATCTGATTTTTTAACTTATGGTGCAAACTTAGTTGTCTGTTAAGGACTGATGTGGTTGAAATATTGGTATTGATTGAGGTATGCTTGCTCATTGTTACATCATAAAGATCATTTTTCAAACCATTTTCTTATTGAATATGTTATTTGGCCGAATAGGTAGTATAAACATCACAATAACTTCTTAATTATCTGTAGAACGATTTTGTCTTAATCAAACATTTACAAGGGCCCACCCATGAGTTCTGACCAATGGTCTAATGTTTATTAGGTACGGAACAATCAGGCATGTACAAGTGTGCTTTCAAGCGTAGCAGTCAATTAGGATTAACTGGAATTTGGTGACACTAACTAGATAATTGGGAGTGTACTCACCTAGCTAGGCCTTGATGATGTGGCCAGGTGGTCAGCCTTACAAATTTGACAACCATAGCAAGGTTAATTATTACCTACCTAGCAGGATCTCTTAAATTGGGAGATTACCACAATTTTGATTCAGATGATTGCGAGGGGAGATGGGAAATGAAAATCATGAAACTCCTGACTGAATCGGGAAAGTTGGCAGATATGAATTGTTTGCGGATGATATCAGGTTATATGGAACAAGTAACAACAATAACAGCATATGTCAATTGACTTAGACATCATAGGAAATTGGTCTAAAAAGTGGCAGCTGAAATTCAGTTCTGGGAAATGTAAATTTTTACATTTTGGACACAACAACAAAGGCACAGATACACTATGGATGGTGAGGAAATACAACAAGGAGATTAGAAAAAAATTCTAGGAGACACTAATTTCAAGTACAGTATACATGTAGCGAGTAGACAAAGAAATGTTTATTACACTTTATAAGGCACTCATTAGACCACACCTTGAGTATCTTGTACCTGCATGGAATCCGCTGTTAAAGCAGACGTTGGAGCAATCGAAAACATGAAAGAAGTGCCACTAAGTTTGTTAGATCTTTAAAGGACTTATTGTAACCCTGGTAAAATATTAGCCTCAATATACCACTCGACTAGAGACTTCTCTTTAGCTCGAAAGGTAGAGCGTCAGACTAGTAAGCCAGGGGTTCCGAATTCGATTCCTAGCAGAGGCATTGAAATAAATAATGACCTCTGTTACATTGGCACCACATCTAGACAGGCTACTTCAACTCAGATTCACAACATTACAATAAATCTGTTTAACCCTTAATGAAATTGAAGAAACAGGACAAAGAATGTTTGAAATTATTGACAGCCACAGAACAAGGAGGCATAACTTCAAAATCTAGTGGAAACACTCAAGACAAGACTTTGGGAGGCACTCATTCGAATTGAGAGTGGTAAGAAGCTGGAACCATTTGCCAAATGAAGAGATTACATCATTAGTACAACAACGTTGAATGTATTTAAATCAAGGATAAACAACCATTGGAAAGGACTAAATATAAAAGTTCAGTTTGTTAGTAGTAAGGAACTATCTACTGTGAGAATAGAAGTCATGGAAGTATATATACATAAGATTTTGAAAGTAAACATTGACGTCAATGCAGAGATTTATTTCGAAATATGTGAAAGTGATTAAAAAAAATGACAGATTAGCTCAGAGATATCGTCATGCACAACCAACGATAAAAACAAGGGAAAATCAATGTAGTGTAGAAGCTTGTTTTTTCTAATGCAGACCGAAGATCAGGTGTATCAGGTGAAGACTACAATGTAATACCTATCACAATATAAGATCCACAGGGTACACATGTGCTTCAGTTCAGGTGTCACACGAAAATAAATATTGAAGACGTGAATCCATGACAGAAATAATTAGATACCATATTAAAGCTAATTTGCTGAGTTAAATACATTTTTTGCAACAGGAAAGAAAAGTAAACTAGTTTTCGAAGCAAACTTGTACCATTATTTCACAACAATAACAATGACATGGTGCAATGAGAATATGGTGAGAGATGACTAAAATATTCTTAGTGAATATTACTAGAGGTACTAGACTTTCTTATTCAAGATAAAGCCATTCTTCTTACCTCTATGGGCACGACTTGAGTGTTTTCTCCAGTTACCATCTTGAATGGTACCTATTTCTCTTTATTTTACCATTTCCTCTTAAATCATTCGTGATTATACAGCATTACCCGATTGATATTAGAAGTAATGGCTGCCGAAATAGAGGAAATCTCGCGATCTCGCCTGTGACGTGAGCACAAACGTGATCCTAAAGATCCTTTCCGGTTGGTGCTCCAGACGAACATGAGGTGAAAATTTTACCGGAGATCAAATCCGAAATAATCGTGGTTACTTTATAAAGAAAATAATCAAAAAGTGAACTCTCTGAAAATACACATATTTATGTTCTACTTTATCATGTTAATGGTTGATTATGATGTTTTTAAAGCTGAGAAAAAAGATAATATTTTCAGAACAGGCCCAGATAGTTGTACCATAAAATAGGTTAACGTGCATTGCACCACACGCATTCAAGAATACAGAGTCACACTTAACTTCAATGGTTAACTTTATGACAATAACAATGACGTTAAAAAATGCGTTTGGCGAATTAAAGATGTAATTGGTATATGAAAGTGGTGCTAAATATTGTTTAAATTGTTTCAACTCTTAACTTTGCATGGCAAGCCGTTTTAAAAATCCCAGTTTCTCCTTTGGGAATATTTTTATAACTTGAGTGAAAAAGAATATCACTTACGTGAGAAATAACATAATGTAAGCATTTAATGTAACATGCAGTATAAAGAATTTCCCTTCAGAGAAATTCTATTTTCGTATCAAACGCAAACTAGCCCATGGCTTATCAATTTGGGTATGGATTTATTTCTAGAAATAGCTGTAACCACTTCAAATTAGCCCCTTTTTTGCCCAAGTTGCATTTATCAATTCAGATTACTGTTGCAAATCTCCCACAAGATGTGTATGGCTCACAATTGCTTAACTACTTGTTAACTATAATGGAAGGGAGGGGGATGTGTACAAGTAATGAAAAACACCCTGGTTTTTTTTTTTTTTTTTGGCGGGAGGGGGTTGAACTAGCAACCCTTGGGTCTCTACCTGGACACTACCACTCATCTAAAGGGAAATTTCTGGTAAGGTAGCCTGTACTTAAAACACACCAACCACTTGTCTAGAGAAACCCATTTTAGATGTATGGTACATTTAAAGAACCTCGGAAGAGCTTCTGTATCGTAATAATTGTCAAAAACCTAAACGGTTTCTCATCTTTACGAGGGAAAATATTGTCCTCCATGTTCATGTGCAGGTTATCAATTATAATGAATGGAGTGTATCAGTACTAAAAGCAACCGGTATGTGGCATACGTTTCATAGTTTTCATTCAGTATTTATAATAAAAACTGACGCGAATCTACAGTAGGAAATTAAAATTTTGGATTTCATTTGTTTTTAGAAAAGGAAAGTATATTCATAAATCAAGAAAACTTAAGATTTCAACTTTTAAACACAAGTACGAAAATATAGCGTAAGAGCATGTTGTCAAAATGGCGGATGATAATGAGCTGGACCAAAAGTAGTGAGGATAGATACTATATACGTTCAAAGTACTCCTTCCGATTGATCGATTGTAAATTTCCATTCCGAATCACATCACTAGAATTGAATAATGAGAACTTAACTTTAACAAAAGGGGACTTTTTTATTTCAGCAAGATATCAAGGGACAACCTTTACGAGGCCATCAATGCGGTCCTCACTTCCTCACAGGAGAAGAAGAGGAAGTTCACACAGTCTGTTGAGCTTCAGATTGTTTTGAAGAACTACGATCCTCAAAAGGACAAGCGTTTCTCTGGAACTGTCAAGTATGCATTATCCCCATCATGACTTTAGTGAGAAGGAAAACAAACTTGTCAAGGTCTAGGACCTCCACCCTGGGTCACAAAATAACTGGGAAGGTGTTAATGATTTAATACCGACAATTGATGCTCTTAATGTTTACCCTCTCTAAAACTGACCCCCACCCAGGGTCTTTAAAGAACTGGGAAGGCTTTGTTGGTACTATTGTTTACCTCTTGGCCGATCATTGATGTATGCACCACTAATATGAGAATTCCGTCTCTGTGACTTCTGACACAGGCTGGACAGAACAAGTGTTTCTGCTTGAGGTTTGGTATGTAAGCTTAAACTGATACATTACCTATCATGAAAGCATTGTCACTTCAGATTTGTTGACAGCTTTAAGGGTCAGTTGAATTAGAATGATTTAGTTTTACTACTTAAATTTAAGAAGTCCAAGGTTGAATAACAGATGTTTATATTTTTCTTCATTTATCAGAAAAAAACTTTTGTTTGCCTGTTCAAATAAGATTTTCCTTCACGTGTTGTGCCTACAGCAGTCGTGTGACCTGCATCAAATCACTCCATGGATTCATACTTTTTATTAAGTTGACAAGCCTTTGTGGACTGGTATATCAGAAAAGATTCTTTAGATACAGGGATTAGCTATTGCAGTTGAAGGGTCCATCTATTTATGTATTGGTATATCTTTTATGTTTTCATTATGTTGGGTTCGTTCATTTACAGACTGAGGCATGTGCCACGTCCCAAGATGAGGGTCTGTGTTCTTGGAGATCAAGTGCACTGTGACCAGGCCAACGCCAACAACATCCCTTGTATGGACTCTGACTCTTTAAAGAAACTAAACAAGGACAAGAAGCTAGTGAAAAAGCTGGGTAAGGTTGATTTGATTAACTGAGAATTTACAGGGTTGGTGTTATCAAAGTTTGTTTGCCCCCAATAGTAAAGTAATGTAGAGAGAAGAAGGGAACAGTTTCTAGCTGTTATGACTTTCACATGTTCCTTCTGTATGTAACAAATGGCAAATTAATTGGCTATACGCAAAAGCCGAGCATGTCATTCCTGCTTATGATGATCAAATATTTTGCATGTATTGTCTTATTAACCATGACGAGAATAAGACTGAGGCAGGAATTCTTTCTAAACATAATTGCAAGTATTGTGTGAAAACCAGTGTTTCATTTTAAAAAACTTTCTTTCAGCCAAGAAGTATGATGCCTTCCTTGCTTCTGACTCGCTGATCAAGACAATCCCTAGGATCTTGGGACCAGGCTTGAACAGAGCAGGAAAGTTCCCCACCCAGGTCACACACAACGAGTCTCTGTTGTCCAAAATTGAGGAAACAAAAGCAACCATCAAATTCCAGTTGAAAAAGGTTAGTTTTCAGTTTTTCATGGGTATGATGTAACACTTCACTTTATGGATATTTTTTTCATGCTCCCCAGCAACTTTAATATCTGAAGCATAACTTTGCCCACAGTTTAACAATGATCATGAAACTTGATGAATACATTATTTCCCTTTGATGGAAATTTCTTGTTTGAAGTTTACCTTTGCTGTATTTAGGGTAGGATAATGAAACTCGGGGTTTATATATTGATCATATGAAGGCAGTGTGCAGTACCACAATGTTAGGGCCAGCAATCCCTTAATTACAGAATTAACACCTTTTGTTAAAATTTTGTCTCTGGAGCATACCTTAATGTTTACATCAGTCATACTAAGAGAATGTGTTGTATACCAAATCCAGAGCCTACAAACCAATAATTGCAGAAATATTGCCAGGTGGTAAAATTTTGTGGCCAATAAGTGGCTTAGATTATCAACACAGTCATATACATTTGCAAAGGCAGTTGAGGTTACCAGTACTAATCTTGTTATAATAGTTTACAACATTAGTTTGATATTTTGACATTATTTCCACAGGTATTGTGTCTGGCTGTTTGTGTTGGACATGTCGAAATGGGTGCAGATGATCTGTATTCCAACATCACACTGTCCATCAACTTCCTGGTGTCGCTGTTGAAGAAGAACTGGCAGAATGTCCGTGCTCTCTATATCAAGGGAAGCATGACGCCTTCTCAGAGAATTTACTAAAGACTGTTGTCCTAATAAAGTAACTACTGTGATGGCAAATTTTGTGTTGAGGGTTTTTATTAAGTAATTATTACTACCGATGAAGGGAAGGTGTGAACGTTTCAAGTACTGTAGTACTGAACAAAGTATTGATAGTATTGTACTGAAGTACTTCACCAATCGAATTCCTTAAATTTATGCAACAAGCTCTCTGATTGGCAGAGCCAAGTCTAGATCGATTGTGGGTGGAGCCAGGTGAAAAAATACTGTGCAGACATCGGCATTTTACAAACACTCTACTGTCGCGAGAGGTTAATTGGAAGAGTCCAAGTCACAGGTGGCTTCAGATCAGACCTAATTGGGTTGTCCCATTTGTTTCGTTCTACACCCAATGATACCTTGCTTTTCCATCAATGGTACAACGAGAAAACGAAAGTTACTCGGTACTAAACTAATTTGCGTGCAAAATATATATCAACTGGTTAGATCACTGGGACCGGAGAATTCATAACATCTTAACAGTTCATATAGTCATTCTGTACTAGTTTTATTTATTTTTTTTTTGAAAGGGTGGGGGGGGAGGTTGGCTCAAAATATTTCGGTTTAAGCCCAAGCTCTATTATATGTAACAAAGAATTACGAATTACCTGGGACCTCCTGATATATGCCGATAATTCATACTGCATTAAAAAATAAAGGAATTCTGTGGTCCCATATATTTTTTATTTTATTTTTTATCTTTCCATCGAAAATTATACATATCTGCAACATGTGAAAAAACTTTGAAGTTGGTTGGGCGGAATATCTAGAGCATTTACTACTGCAAGTTCCAGAAATTCTGACACAAGTCGGGTATTTGCACGAAGCCTCTGTCTCATGACATTGAATACATATTCAGTTACGTTGTATTCCGGGGAATAAAGCGGCTGAAAAACCAGGGACACGCCATATTCTTTCAGCATATTTCTTAAAATGCGCTCTCCCTGTCTATGGTGATGGAATCCACAATTATCCATCACAACCACATCGCCTTGTACAAAAACAGGATTCCCCATACCGTTCGTATCGGACATAATTTCGTCGAAAATTTTGCGTACTGTTGCCGTCGTCGGACATTTTTCCAGCGATTACTTAGTAATTGTTATGTAACTGATAGTGTACATTAACTCCGCCTACCGGAACAAATTGGGTGTCAGATCAACTATTCAGGTTGTCTAAACTCCGCCCCCGACCAATTACAGAGGTCGTTGTATACTTGACTCGATTATTTGAATACTTCAATACAATAGTATCAATACTTTGTTCAATACTATAGTAAGTGTGTCGTTCACACCTTCCCTTCATCGGTAGTAACACTACTTACCACCAGTTGTCAACAATTACCCATTCAGTTGTTCCCCTTGCAAAAATTGATGTGGATTTAACATTACTTGTAGCAATTTGTGTTGAATGCATGTCAACATAACCGGGAAAGAAAACCTTGCTCAACATCACACGCTGGTAAAAAGATCTAATATCCTATTGTCAGTTTGGAGTTTCGAGGTGGGGTTGAAGCTTAAGCCACTTTTTTTTTTTTTTTTTTAGAATATTCTTTTTAACACTTTAACCACTTCATTTCTGGAGATATTATGTACTGGATGAATCTTTACCAAATTTCAGATGAGGTCCCTAGTTGTATCAATTGGAATTGGGGTCTCTTTATTACAAAAAGGTCAACAGACTGCCATCTATGATTTTTACAATGAAAATGTGATAATTTTTCTTTACTTTCGGGATTGATTGTCCACAAATTTTATCTGTAGATTCACATTGTTGCAAGTTGTGTCCCATTTATTTTTTTGACTTGTCAGAACAACGAAAAGGCTAATATATGGCCATTTGCAATTGAAAGTTATATATCTTGAGGAATAGGTGGTTGCCTATTTGTGCCATTTTGATTTTTAGAATGGAAGAAAGTCGGCCATCCATGATAAAAATAACTCTCCCTACTACTCTAGATTAAATGTAAGTCACAGTTACGTTTATCTTGATCTATGCCAGAATAAAAAAAATATATAAAGGGAAATATGAGAAATTAGGGCAAGTCTAAAAGAGGTACGTCAACAAACTAGTCTTGTCTTACTGGTATGGTCCACGGGGTGTGTCTAAACAGAGCTGTAGATGGACAGTTTGACTTAATTTTCACCTTAACTTCTTCATGGAGTTTTGTACTGGTTTTCTTGTGCAGCATATCGAGATGATGAAAGGGAGCTCACTGATGCACAATAAATATGGTAGTGGACACCTAAGATCAGTCGTAATGTCTTGATGATACTAAGCAAAACAACTAAACATCGATTAAGGATGCAAATACTGACTGGGAAGTGTGATGAATATTTGTTATAGACACTGAGCATCAATAGTCCTCACTAGTTTATAACCTGGAACCTCATTTTTCACCAAAAAAAAAACCCCAACACATCTACCTCCCAAGGGATAAAAAGTTCTGAAATTTTTTCACGAAGTATGTGATGCTGTCATTTTGCAAAATAAATGTATATGATATTAAAAAAATAAGAAAGAAAATGTGAATATCTTGTTAAATAACATATTCCATATGTGAGAATTAAAGACCACTTCAATGCACATCTTGTAAGCCCATTTGCAGTCGAAGAGAAAATGGTTGGACTTTCATTTGCAATTCGAGTTGCCTCCCATCGTCCAACCATTCAAAGTTTCATACATGCTAGTTTGTACAATAATGGCTTGTATCACTTTTGTTCTTTGGAAAAATGGCAGTGTTGGCAAGATGATATACAATTATTCATAAGGCAATGGATTAGACCATGTTTTAAAAACTGAATTGTGTATTTTAGTTTACATTGTAGTGACACCACCATGCACTGGGTCTTCAGGAGCTAGTTACTTACACGATGTATCAAGTAGATAAACAACTTTTCAAAACTGAAAAATGCATTATGACAATAAAAGATGATAAAAGCTTTTTTTTAAAGAGAACTATACTTTACCAGTCTAGTCGACTTTGTACGGTAGCAATCTTCATTTGTAATCGTGGGCGAGAAATGAATAAAATTGGGTGGGCAAACTAACTAGCTGTGATCAAAGCGATGTGTAGATATTGACATGTATTGTGCCAGAGATGTGTGAATGGAAGTTCTTGTATAACGCAACCAGTAGCAGATTAAAGAGTGACGTCTTGATAACATGTAGTGTACTAGATGGTATGGAATCAACCAACTTTCGTTGCCAGTCATCAAGATAAAAATAATGATCAATATTTGTGAAGAAATATAACACTCATTTACCTTGCTTTTCTTCAAGGGAGGTCAAATCAGACAAATCAGCAACAGCTATACAGGCTCTCAGTAAATTTCATCAGCTGCATTAATATACTGATATCTAGATCATCTTATTCAAGACCATTTTTTGTCCAAAATTTTGATATAATGATTTACATACATATATATATTTGTATAAAATGAAGCTATGTCAAAAAACATGGGTCATAGACTGCTGTAGCATTTTGAGGACTTCATGATACTGAGTGTGACATCAAGGATGCTTCTGATAAATTTGAATCAAGTCGAAAAATTCATAAAACAGATTGATGCGTCAACAATGATATTAATAAGTCAACAATAAATAAAGGTGATGCCAGTTTATTTATTATCTCACACAGATTTAACATCAACAAATGCTGAATATATGGCAAATTGTACAGCATATACAAGTGCAGATCATTTGTGATGCTTTTGTGTAATGCATATTTGGTCAATGCTATGACTAAAGGGCAAAACAACCAAATGAAACAGCACTTTCAGAAAGATGATCATATTTATATGTCATTCTAATTATTGTTGGGGATATTGATACATTACATAATCACGGGCACCCAATATCTGAGTGATAAATGTTTTGCTGAAGTATGGTCATGCAGACTCCAGTTGTCTCCCTTCATCAAAAAGTTTTCGGATCACATTTTTTTCATTGTATCCTATTTTGGATCAAATGTGGTGTGAATTTGAAGGAACAGGTCTGGAATCTTCTATTTCTTTGACTGATTGAAATAAAGATATCACAATTTCTGTCCTTTACTGGTTCATTCTAAGAACATAAAGTAACATTTTCATCATTATTATCATTAGTAAATTTATTCTGTTGAGGTCAAAGTAAGATACATAAACAGATGGTGTATGGCAACAAGTAAATAAAATATTCTATATAGCAACATAACATGATTGATCATCAAAACCTGAGACGTCTCAATGATAGATAACAAGTTTACACAGGTTGTATGTATGTTTCCATATATTATACACAGGGATGTCATATTACCAAAGATTAAACACAAACTGTATATCGCAAATTTACTACATATTTCTAATCTGCATTTATAAGTATGGTTCTATGGAATATATACAATATATGGTGTAAACTTGTACACATGCAATTATGATATATATAATACATGTTTATCATAATCCAGAGGCCTAGCAGCCTTGACGGTCACCTGAGATAAGCAATATTGATTTTAAAGGTTAAAGGGTAGATAGCTTTAAACCATCATGAAAAAAAATTGTGACATTGATGGTAGTAAGTCAGTGTCAATACATGCATACCATCAAAACTGTCATGTATTCTTAGAAAGTTATTTCCAATGGGAAATAAACAACATTATGCTCAAAAATGTGATTTTTCTATAAAAATTATAGTAACGTTAATCTCCTTCCCAGGAAGAAATGTGAGACCCATTTTGGTAATTGAAGTACCTTAAGACACTTCCATCCATGAAGAGCATTTGATTCTACAATACCTGGGAGTTGAGAAGAAGATTTTTGAAATGTAAGTCAATTTGATCTCCTCTGGCCCTGCCCATCAGCCCTCTTGAGGTCAGTCAGGATCACCATGGGCATATCAAGTCATCATCCTTCACTCAATTCTAACCAAGTTTAAAATATTTCCAACAGAAATTACTAAAATTATGCTCAAAAATTTATTTTTCTTATATAAACTGTAGTAAACTTTACCCCCATCCCTACGGGAAAATGTGATGCCCTTGGGCCATGAAATTCCTAATTTTGGTAAATCATCTAAGATGCTTCCTTCCATGAGGAGTATTTGGTCCTACCAAATCGGAGTGTTGAGAAGATTTTTGAAATCTGAGTCTATTTGGCCCTATCGTCAGGCCCCTTTGGGATGGGATCATAAAATTATGGACACACAACGCCGAAGGTGATCGCAATAGGTCATTTGTCTCAGGTAACCTAAAAATAACATGAAATTTGAACTCATAATTTGGAGTAAAACACAATTTTTATAAATCAACTGATAATCTCTTTGGTGACATGCAACTTGATATGCACATTGTAATATATACATTGACTGAACATTTTGAATGTAATGCTGTGAAAACTCTCTAAAAATTGTCAGACTGTAACAAAAACTTAAATACATAAATACATAATTCTTAAATTACAAGATTAACAACTATGAAAAGAATTAAAGTGAATGCATCCATTGGTAAAAAACTAAACCAATGATTGTTTTTGTCTTGTTCTTGTTTTTTTCCAAATTTTAGGCTCATTGTTTGTAAAGGAACAGTAAATTACTTCAGTAAAAATCTTAATTGCTACTACCTGTACATATCAGTAAATGGCTTCTGCTTTCCATTGTATTTTTGTGCATGCAGACCTATTCTTGTGTGTACACAATATTGGCACATATACTACCAGGTATTCTATTGCACATTTTTAGGTAAAGTAAGGTAAAAAAAATATCATACAAAGGTTGTACACAGAAAACAGTACATCACTGGCCCCTACAACATGCTGTTGTTTAATACACAATTAAAACTTGCCCTATAGTTAGATAATTGCCCTATCTCCATGACAATCTTTGTTGAAGGTGCATACATGTATTATCTACCTAGTATAGTATAATATACAAACACAGTTAAGGAGTCTTTAGCACATTTACTTTCTTCAAGCAATATTTAAATCTGGTCGCCTAAGGTTTTTAATTAAGAAAATACTTTTTTACAAGTAAATCAGGGTTGTAATGATTTCAGCACATAAATCCAGAACACCATTACAAGAAATTGTGTTTTTGATTATATATGTAAGTTACAATTACATATGAACATCAGTGATATGTATACAAAATATTATCAGAATAAAAGAGATTTGTGGTTCCAATGGTACCCACAATTTTACCTGAGAGATTGACCTATAACCTACTGCAAAAATCAAAATCATATATAACAATGTCCTTTCATTAAACCTATATCTTCCATAATACTTAACATGAATTTAAAAAAGAGATAGCCCTTAAAAACACTACTGTGTACAGGGAAGTTCTTGCCCTGTTTAATTTTCACCTTTTCGTCCTGGAGCAAGGAGGGCCAATTTCAGATGGTGGTGAAAATTTGTTACACTTATATAACCCTTTATGTAATCCTAAGGGGGCAAAATAATAACAATGGCAAATTTGTGTATAATGGCTCAAGTGCAAAATAACCTGGGGTTTCAATAGTTCTATCAAGTTTGAAATATGGCATGTCCCACATTTTCATCAACATCCTTTCATCAAAAAGATTTAGTGGAAAAAATGGCAGTGATGGCTGTATTGAAATTATGATCAAGATTAAATTGTGGCTTTCATGTCACAAGATAACTAGACATGGCCCTGTAGTTGAAAGAACAAGATAATAAATAATAACATGTGCACACCTAAATGTCAAAATTCAATATGGCTCCTGGCAGCCATCTGAAATATGTGACACATTTTAAAACGTAGCATGCATATTGATTCTGCCTCTAGTTCTTCAGAAATAACAGTAAACTGTATTGGCGACAGTGAATTTTGGATGACATCCATGTTTTTGTAAACAGTCTTTATGTGGAGATCAGTTGTATTGAAGGAGAATCATAAGCTTTTAAAACAAACAAGAAGAACTGCAAGTGCAGAACACTATACATCTCTCCCATGTCCTGTAACCCTCTGTTGTCTAAATACAGATATAACAACATAGTAGATACATCTCTCCCATGTCCTGTAACCCTCTGTTGTCTAAATACAGATATAACAACATAGTAGAATTATTTCAAAGATGTGGTAAAAAGGCAAAAAAAAACTAATGTATTAATATGTCCTTAAAAATGCTATATTTTATAGGAAGAGTATGATTACTGTATCATAAGTTAATTATTAAGTTATTGTGTACAGAAAATATTAACCAATCAGAATGCAGACTCATCTCCTCTTCAAACTGTTGAAATGTAGTAACACATATACATGTATATTCATGCACCCTGATAACTGCAATTAAGCTGTGATAGCACATATAAACAATTGTATTTTGGAAAAGTAAAAAGTTGACATTCAGGATCAAAAATAATATATGGTGGAAATTAATTTACAGTTTAAAGTTTTTCTATGAATAAACAGTATATGTGCTTCAATTTTTTAAAAACAAACATCATATACGGTAGTTCTGTGGATTCATCAACACTGGATTTTCCAATATACAGAGTAATGTTTCCAATATACAGAGTAATAAACACCCAAAGATAAATCTATCTAATTTAATGTAACTTATTTCACTATCAGAATAAAATTAACATTAATCAGGATATTACTATAATGAGCAGCACATCGGCATGCATGAGTTCTTGAGATAAATATTATGATGGATATAACAATTCATAACAACCTAGTAATAGGGCACCATCAATTGTGCCTCACCACAAAATCCTATAAGCTTACGAGGGGCTCATCGCCTAACCTCCTCTAGGTCTGCCATCCTTGAGATACTCAAAAACAAAGAGCTCACCATCCAGGAAGTCCTCTTTCATGAATCTGACCACCATCTAGGAAAATACCTTCAAAGGAGTGTAGTGACAACAAGAAAAATTATCTCCCTTGCACAATTGCCATTTTCTTAAAGATCATTACTCAGTTAGGCAAAGTCCATATGTAAAGTCTTTGTGACAGCTAAACCCATAGCATGCCGTGATATCAGACACAAAATAAAAAAATCAGACATCTAAAGAGGTCAAATTATTCAGACAATGGGATAACCATAAGTACCCGGGAGTTTACATTTATAGATGTGACCAAACAAAGGGAACAGTTCGTTTGCTGCATTTACTGCCTTGTGAACAGCCAGAATACAGCTGATGACTACCTCACTTAATGACATACAGGCGGCCTGTCACATACTATCCAAATAGGTCAAAATGTTTCACCCAAGGACACAACCACAACCGACCAATCTAATCCACACTTTAGATTATGTAGTCCAACATTCTATTAACTAAGTATCACAGCTTCTACTGACAGGGTTAAAATGAAAAGTTTCTGTGGTTAGATGTAACCAAACCAAAGGAAGCATATGTTGGTAAACATGACCAAACAAAAGGAAGTATATGTGACCTAACAAAAGGAAGTAGGTGTGACCAAACAAAAGGAAGTAGGTGTGACCAAACATGAGGAAGTATATGTGACCAAACACAAGGAAGTAGGTGTGACCAAACATGAGGAAGTATATGTGACCAAACACAAGGAAGTATATGTGACCAAACAAAAGGAAGTATATGTGACCTAACAAAAGGAAGTAGATGTGACCAAACAAAAGGAAGTAGGTGTGACCAAACAAAAGGAAGTAGGTGTGACCAAACATAAGGAAGTATATGTGACCAAACACAAGTAAGTATATGTGACCAAACAAAAGGAAGTATATGTGACCAAACAAAAGGAAGTAGATGTGACCAAACAAAAGGAAGTAGGTATGACCAAACAAAAGGAAGAAGATGTGACCAAACACAAGGAAGTAAATATGACCAAACAAAATGCAGTAGATGTGACCAAACCAAAACAAATGTAGATGTGGGTAGATGTGACCCAAAAAAGGAAAGTAGAAGTCAATATGTTAAAACATGAATACAACCTATCACCTCCACCTTGGTGCAGAAATTTTTATAATTCACTGTTTACTATATCCAGATTATCACAAAGCACTCAATGATTTAATTTAAACAAGATGTTACAGTCCATAACGAGACTACAGATCTAGGTATTTATAATTTTTGATTAATGGAACAATGTTTGTCTGAATCTGTCAAATATGAGTCTGGACCTCTCACAAAACATGTAAAAATAAACGTTTACTCTCTATTTACCTTTTATTCACCGATACAGTGATCATTGAACATGGAATCAATACAATGGTTACTTACCAAAGAAATAAATAATATCCATGTCACATAGTTAAGCAATATTGCCAAATGGTTGACAGATCAATGGAAACACATCAGATTGCTCTCATAGAGAGAAACTCTGTAGCATATTAGATTACAGTAGCACTGAACTGGCAGTCTTTAACACAACAATACAACCAATACAGAAATTTCCAACATCACACATGTGATATTGACAAGGTTTTCTTACTAAGGTTGCAACATCACAAGTTAGCTAGCCTGTATATATGTAAACCTATTTCATGCACTAGTATACAATTATCTCACTTAATATTAAAGTTATCACATTGGTTTCAAAAAACACATTTTTCAATGTATATAAGCACAAAAGTCTACAAATTTGACAGAAAACATACTCTGACATATCACAATGTACTGGTAGGTATTGTTTAGATATACCTTGCAAAATATAGGATACATGTGTGGGGAAGAGGTTTAGAGATGTGTACAATAACATTTAGTAGGTAAGTATGAGTGGGGAGTGGTAGTGAGTGAGTGTGTCTGGGAATGGGGGTGGAGGATCAATATGTTTATAGATGTAGTGGGTCAGGTTGTCTCTTTGTAATCTGGGTGTATCACACCATGAGCAGCTAGAAACATTTTGAGGTGGGTTCACTTTGTAGTGGCTGGTAGTCACTTCACTGAACAATGAAAGGAAGACCAGTTACATGCTAACCAGAGCAAACACTGTAAAGTGTGTTACCCAACAATGACTGCATAGACTGTAAAATACAAACCACCATGGGTAGGACTACACATGTCAGATCTACACCAGGGGCTATGTTAACACCCTAACAGACTGACCTATTACTTCCCCTTGTATTGGGTCAGGTTATGTGTTGTAGTATGTGTGTAGTGGAGTCAGGTTGTGTGCTATTGTCTGTCGGTGTGTAGTGGGTCAGGTTGTATGTTGTGACAGGAGCTGGTGATGAGACATGGCCTCAGTGTGAGTGAGAGGCTGGGCGTCCGTGTTAAGCCGCCGTACAGGGGGATGTGTGTTTGGTGTGCGACGTCGACTGAGATGAGTCTTAGGAGGGGGTTTTGAGGATTCTTGGTGAGCTGAGTGTATGTGATTCAGTCTTTGCTCCAGTTCGCTGGCCTGTGATGTAGCTGAGGAGGGTCCTGCACTGGATGAACCATTATCTTCTTCCACTGCTTGACAGGTGTCAATATCAGGAACTACCTGTATCTGCCCTGACATACTGGACATGGCACGCCTTTAAACAAGATCAGGTTTTGATACAATTTCATATCTGATTAAAACGACTTAACTTTCTCTATCTGATCAAAACAACTTAAATTTCTCTATCTGATAAACTGCCCTAAGTAAAATGTACAGTAAGCTGAGTATGATGTCTGATGTTATAAAGAAACCAAGAAAACAATTACTCTTAATCAAGTACTGAAACACATTTTTTTTCATGACTTCAATACAGGAAAGGTTATTTAATCCAGAGAATAGATATGAAAGCTGTCCTACCATTTTGATATGACAGATTGCAGGGCTGACATCACTTGTGTAGCTGTCATTCTAGTTTCTGGGGTAAGCACCATCAGGTTTCGGATAACTATTATTGTATCCTGAGACACCCGCCCATCACTATAAAAAACAACAATTCAAATTTTACAAACACCAATTCCATGACCTTGAAATTGGGGACAAAGTCATGAATATAATGCATCAGTTTGCAATATGTGAAAATTCATTGTTTACACATTGACTGCACAAACTTTCATAATTAAAAAGCATAACTTCAGATTGAAGCATGTTTTTGAAGGTCAGGATTGAACTCTCTTGCTATGACATTTATAGCCTTTATAAATGACAAGAAGTTACAGACAAACATATCATATTGTGCATCACTTAATGCTTATGTGTACATTCCTGCACCCATATTCATGAAACCATTCTCATGCTCAAGCATAAATTTTGTGCTCAAGCAAACTTTTTTACAATTCGTCCAAATCATATAAAGCAATACAAACGTCAAATATAAACACTGATTATAACTTTGACTTGAAGTCCTTACAATTTTTTTTTAAATCTTTGACAAAATCAGCCTTATTCATTAATTTTTAACTAAAATAAGACATAAGGCTTGAGCACAAAATTCATGGTTGAGGATAAGAACGGTTTCGAGAATATGGACCCTGATCCATGCTAATGCCAGATATGTCTATAATAACTTGATTTAAACTGAAGTTTTCAGTATGGAACAGTTATTGCCACTCTGGTGAACCAATGTTATTTCTATGCCTTAAATACTGATGTCATAATGCTCATCACTGTGTGCATATATAGCACATCACACACCATTCTGCTTAGTTGTTAAGCACATGTGATTATAAATGTTTATGTTCATTTCCCAGAGAAACATCATCTACTGTCTAAGAATAACATTATATTGTATCGTGTACAAATCCTTTACCAAGATAGAGTGTGGAATCAATAAATTGTAATATTTATAATAATAGGAAGAACAGAAACTAATACTTGTCTGATTAGTCTGACAGAACACAAATATCTAACAAGAGAAATAAAATTCAATGTACTCTTTTTTGAATCCAATCAGTGCCCAAAACAATAGTTGATCTATGATAGTATTTGTACAATGTTGCTGGTGACTTACTCCAGTACGGTGTACACAAAACAATAGTTGATCTATGATAGTATTTGTACAATGTTGCTGGTGACTTACTCCAGTACGGTATACACAATACAATAGTTGATCTATGATAGTATTTGTACAATGTTGCTGGTGACTTACTCCAGTACGGTGTACACAAAACAATAGTTGATCTATGATAGTATTTGTACAATGTTGCTTGTGACTTACTCCAGTACGGTGTACACAAAACAATAGTTGATCTATGATAGTATTTGTACAATGTTGCTTGTGACTTACTCCAGTACGGTATACACAATACAATAGTTGATCTATGACAGTATTTGTACCATGTTGCTTGTGACTTACTCCAGTACGGTGTACACAAAACAATAGTTGATCTATGATAGTATTTGTACAATGTTGCTTGTGACTTACTCCAGTACGGTGTACACAATACAATAGTTGATCTATGATATTATTTGTACCATGTTGCTGGTGACTTACTCGGGTATGGTGTACTCTGCTGATTTAATTTTCCTGAACAACTCATTGGGAACACTGTCGTAGAATGGAAACTGACCATACAGCATAGTAAAGAGGACAACTCCTAGGGCCCACATATCACTGGGTTTCCCTAGGTAAGGCTTGCCTACAACAACAATAACATACAATTATATGTTTATATGTTGACACATTGTTTAACAGGAAGTGAAAATTCTGCAAATTTTCCAATTTCCCAAAATTTCACTCTAGTATAAAAAAGTGTTCTCTTAAGATATACCTCTTCCTGAGGAGGATGAGGAAAACGTGTTTGCTATTCGAAAATGTTGTTAAAATATTACTTTAAGCTAAATCTGACACAAATAAAGTCATAAAGACTAGTAATTTCTCATAATTTGATGTTTTCGTCCCAAAAATACACCAAAAAATAAATTCATGACACCTATTTCTTGGGTTCAGATGTCCATACTACGATTTAACTATACATACGAATAGAATAGCACATGCAATTATCAGAGTGTGATGGAGCAGGATAAGCTGATGATGAACTTACCTTAGCACCCATACTTTCTGACAGAGATAGTCACACTGACAGTACATATGGTTATTTCTGTTTTCAAGAAATTTATTTCATTTTCTATCAAGGTGATTGATTGGAAATAAATTGACTATTTTGTATAGAGTGTGAATTGGTGACATATATAACGGTATTGGAAAAGTAAAGATGGTGAGTGAGAATATTACTTTGTAACTTTTGGTGACTATGTACTCTGTACAATAAATATTATATATTGTTACTCTGGTGTCTGTGTTTCCTGCCAGAAGGTGTAGTATTGGAGGGAGTTGTACTTAGTGAGAAACTGAGTTATATACACAACTATCGAGTCTAGTTTCTCAGCATCCCTAACATTCAGAGTTGCTGGACCTAAACCTCTGATATTTGGAAGATTGTATTGTAAATGGTGGTTGTCTTGTTGTCTAGCTATTAACCAATGGACCTTTATAAAAAAAAAGGCAAAGCTGTCACTGTAAATGCCACCAGAAAATATTACCATGAAACTTTTTATCAAAAAGTGAGAAAAAAATATACAGTTCAGTTCTAATCAGGTCAAGTTGTTGTAATATAATTTAAAAAAGACTGCAAATTTATTCATAATAATGTCAATCTTTACAAATCCACAGTCATGTATCCAGAAAGGAGAGGACATACTAAGATAGCAGTCAAACAAGGTCTGCTTCAAATGCCCAGTACTCCTTGTTGGTTATATGTTAATGTGAATAATTTGTGAAATTATCTGGAGTATATCTGGGATAAGATCAGACTATCTACAATATGAAATTAAAGTGTATTGCAATTTCATTTTCATAAAGCAAATGATTTATTTAAGTGTGTTATTTTATATCCTTACTGAGCTGTTTTGTTACAAATGTTGTCACACATGTTTGTAATTGGCAATGATAAAAGATTTCTAACCAGACACTGCTGATTTGGTTCAGTAATCAATGAATCATTGACAAAATAACAAAGCACAATGGAGGCAGAGGGATCTTAACAAGTAAATCAGTCAAGGGACCCAAAATTAAGGGAAGGGAGAGAACCTACCTGGATAGGGAGAGGACAAAATAAGGTATTTGATCCGATATGTGGTTCCCTTTATCCCTTGGACCATTGAGATCATTAAACCTTGAGATAGAGCATGTCTCTCTTCACTACTGAGGTCTGGTGTAGACTGTGTGACCTTACTTACTACTGAGGCCTGGTGTAGACTGTGTGACCTTACTTACTACTGAGGCCTGGTGTAGACTTTGTGACCTTACTTACTACTGAGGTCTGGTGTAGACAGTGTGACCTTACTTACTACTGAGGCCTGGTGTAGACTGTGTGACCTTACTTACTACTGAGGCCTGGTGTAGACTGTGTGACCTTACTTACTACTGAGGCCTGGTGTAGACTGTGTGACCTTACTTACTACTGAGGCCTGGTGTAGACTTTGTGACCTTACTTACTACTGAGGCCTGGTGTAGACAGTGTGACCTTACTTACTACTGAGGCCTGGTGTAGACTGTGTGACCTTACTTACTACTGAGGCCTGGTGTAGACTGTGTGACCTTACTTACTACTGAGGCCTGGTGTAGACTGTGTGACCTTACTTACTACTGAGGCCTGGTGTAGACTGTGAGACCTTACTTACTACTGAGGCCTGGTGTAGACTGTGTGACCTTACTTACTACTGAGGCCTGGTGTAGACTGTGTGACCTTACTTACTACTGAGGCCTGGTGTAGACTGTGAGACCTTACTTACTACTGAGGCCTGGTGTAGACTGTGTGACCTTACTTACTACTGAGGACTGGTGTAAACTGTGTGACCTTACTTACTACTGAGGCCTGGTGTAGACTGTGTGACCTTACTTACTACTGAGGCCTGGTGTAGACTGTGAGACCTTACTTACTACTGAGGCCTGGTGTAGACTGTGTGACCTTACTTACTACTGAGGACTGGTGTAAACTGTGTGACCTTACTTACTACTGAGGCCTGGTGTAGACTGTGTGACCTTACTTACTACTGAGGCCTGGTGTAGACTGTGTGACCTTACTTACTACTGAGGCCTGGTGTAGACTGTGTGACCTTACTTACTACTGAGGACTGGTGTAGACTGTGTGACCTTGAGACAGTGAATGCCCCTACTTACTACTGAGGACTGGTGTAGACTGTGTGACCTTGAGACAGTGAATGCCCCTACTTACTACTGAGGACTGGTGTAGACTGTGTGACCTTGAGACAGAGAATGCCCCTACTTACTACTGAGGACTGGTGTAGACTGGTGTAGACTGTGTGACCTTGAGACAGAGAATGCCCCTACTTACTACTGAGGACTGTTGTAGACTGTGTGACCTTGAGACAAAGGATACACCAACTTACTTCTGAGAACAAGTGTTAACTGTGTGACCTTGAGATGATACCAGTGTAGATTAGGTGACCTTCAGATAGAATACATCCTTACTTACCACTGAGGACGTCTGGACTTATATATGCTGGACTGCCACGCTGATCTTTCAGCAAATCGTTTTCGGACACCAGGTGTTTCCCTAGACAGAAATTTGTAATTATGATTCGTCGTGTTCTTTTGTTAAGAACCATATTTCCAAGTTTCAAGTCACGATGCACAATATTTTTCTGAAAAAGAAAACAAAAATCAATCTTTACAAAACTTTTTTGTGCACTTTGATAGAGTTTATGGAATTGAATAATTGTTTTGTACCCACATTGAAGCTGCAAAGTAAGCATATTCTAAATGAAAGAAAAGGATTATTATTCTATACCTTGTGTAGACTTTCCACAACTCTGACAATATCATAGAAGATAACGATAGCTTCTTTCTCTGTCAATTTCTTCTCTTTAATCACATAATGTTGGAGATTGATAAGATCTGCATTTTTATTGCTAAAGTCATGAGGGATGAGACAGTCTAGGACCAAACAGAGTCGCTGTTTCCTTTGTCCTGTATACTGAATACGTCCAGATGAGTCCAGAACCTCCCTCTCCTCCCAGGCTTCATCCTGAAGAGAATCAACATTACAGTATTATGGTATTATGCTTTTAGGTCATGTAAAAAATGCTGTATCCTTAAACTTTCAAATATGTGGATAATTTTGCTCATAGCTTACATCATAATCTTATCAATTTTCAAACGATGAACCAAAAAGTGTATCAAAGCCATATTGTGAATTTGATCAGAAAATCAATATATGATAGAGAAGGAAGCATTCCTGAATATGCCAATCACACATAGCTACACAAATGACAAAATTTTACAACACTTAACCTTGAAGAGTCCGTGGTGATGGACCACCCCGTCCTGATGCCGCAGTAGTGAAAGCAAGGAATACTCAGTGTGTAACAACATCTTCCCCTGTCTGTCATCCTGGCTCTCCTTATTGGGGTACTCAAGGGTAAGCATCTGTCAACAAACCAGGGATATATACAGGTCAAGGGTCAACAGGTTACAGCTTCAGCTTATCAAGCTTTTCACATGCATTCACCTCCAACATGTAAAATATTTTTTATTATGGTGGGATATTCCCTGGACTGTTTTTCCCCACTTTAATTTCATCATTTTATCTTGAATTAGTCAAAATAAAATTAAACTCACTACATATTTTAAGTATATCATATTTAAATGAGTGCATATCAACATACTCTTTGTAGGTAATTCTAAACGTTAAAATGTTAAAAAGTAAATGTTTGGGTAGATTCAGTATAATGACTTACTTTTAATGTATAAAAATCATCAGTGTTTTCTTTTCTCGCCAAACATTGCACAATACTCTTGACAGGTGATGCTTGCAATCTAGGTCCTGTAGATGAAAAATGCCAGACAATGATAACTAACAAGTTTACCAATGAAAAAATTCTTACTTGGCAAACTGTTTTAATTACATATCCAAAGGTTGGGAATAACCCAGCACATGGATAATGTGTGTAAACTGAGATTTTCTTAGACTGTTTCTATAAAGTCCACAGGCCACAACTCTGGTAAAAACAAAGGAGAAAAAAAAACATCCATGAACAGTAGATTGTCTTTGAAATTTCAGTCAATTTGACCCATTTTTTTACCTGCCCATCAGCCCCAGCTGAAGCCATCATGTGCATCTAATCAAACTGTTAGCTTATACTATTAATTCTAACCAAGTTGGACTACTCCCCAAAAGAAAATAAAGAAATTATGCTCAAAAATTTAATTTTCTTACATACAATATAAAAGTATTGTTTACCCCCTCCAAAAGGTGGAATCTGAGACCTTGGGGTCATGATATTTACAATGTTGGTAAAGCACTATGAGACACTTTGATACATGAAGAGTATTTGGATCTACATTATCTGGGTATTGAAAAAAAGATTTTTGAAATATAAGTCAAGTTAAACCATTTTTGGCCCTGTCTAACAGCCCCTGGGGGCAGCCGAGGTCAATATATGCATCTCATCAAACTGTCATCTTATTCTACTAATTCTAACTAAGTTTGAACTATTTCCAATAGAAAATTTAAAAAATTATGTTCAAAAATGTAATTTTCCTATATAAACTATAGTAAACTTTATCCTCTCCCCAGGGGGGAATGTGAGACCCTGGGATTGTGAAATTTACAATCTGGTAAAGCATCTGAAGGCCTTTCCATTCATAAAGAGTATTTGATTCTTCCATTCCTGAGATTATCTCTGGAATATCTTTATCATGTCATTGAAATTGGTTCAGGACTTTTCTAAAAGAAGAACAATGCTAGACAAAAGGGGATGGCAATAGGTCATCCTGAGACTTTGTCTCAGGTGTCCTAAAAAAAAACCTTGTATAAAAAAGTTATCCACAAGAAAATATGAGCCTGGTCTGTGTCATAATCCAACTACATATTAATTTCTGTTCAATATCCTTATCCAGTTCTGAGAAAATGAGCAGAAACTCATCAGTACTTTTACTTTGTACAAGGGTCATAACCCTGAAAAGAAATAAGATGACTGTAACTAAATAGCAACTGAATTTGCAACAAGTTATATATGCGTCTGTAATTTCATGAATGTGGATATATATATCTTTATTTTAGGTATGCATCATGTCAGTTTCAAAGCAAAGAAAAATAACAATATGATTTCAGAAATATCAATAAAATATGTACCAAGTAAGTAAGGTCCTGCTCGTTTTGTTTCTCCACTACTTGGGAAGGGTCCTTTCTGTTTACTGCTTGAGGATCCTCGATCAGACCTTTGTTGTCCTTCTATCCTCGGCAACTTGCTAGACCCACTGGCCTGTTGTTGTTGAGACAAAGATGAAGATGCAAAGGATCGCTTCATCCTAATTAAGATTCAGCTCATGTTCATCATATCACTTACTGATTTTCCAAAACACCTCCATCTCCTGACCCAAGGCATGATTTTTTTCCTGAGTCATTCTACATATGGTGTGCTTCCAACGTCTAAGAAATAAAAAAAATAGATGTTAAAGCATCAAGTGTGGCATATTAAATGTAATGATTAGGATTAGTAACCAACAGGTGGGATGGTACATGATTCAGAGTTTTGTTATAACAGCTTCGGGTGCAAAAGGCACCAAAATGAAGCTCTATACAGGTAACATACATGTGTAAGACCACATTTCATTCACATCCAGAACGAGAGGTAACAAGAATGAATTATCTGAGAACATGAGTCCCAATGGGCCTGCAGTGCTCATTTGGTATATATTAGGTAAAAAAAGGCCAAAATTGACAAAATTTTCACATTGCAAAATTTATGCACATCTTTATGATTACTATGGTTACCATAGCTGCAATAACAAATAAGAAATTTTATCCCTGTGATCTTTAATCTAGGTCAAGGTCATTTCCATTTGCAATCTTTGTAGGGCTTAATAATAGGAATATACCAGCCAAATTGGTTCCCTTTGACCTCCAATATAGGTCAAGATAATTTGTGTTCGCAAACTTGTTTTGGCATCATCCGAGGAAGATACCAGCCAAATATTGTACAGTTAGGCATTTAAGTACATAAGTTGTTAAAAGGTTTTACAAAATTTGACCCATGTGACCTTGAACATAAAGTCATAATACCTGGTATATACACTAGCACACAAATTGTTAATGTCACAATAACTCTGCGATCAATTACTCAATATTACAAGACAAATTTTCTTTATCTTGAACCACTAACGAGTTAACCAAAATTTTATTGTGTATAGTTTTCTGTGATTCTTAAGTTTTCCTTCTTTCTAGGTAATGCCAGATTCATAGTACAGGCAGTATACCGGTATTATGCAGACATCGGATTTGGTTTTATGTCATATATATATATATAATATATAGTTCACATATTTACATAATCATTTTGGATTTGCATCTCCGAGACTACTGATGCCTTTTCAGACTGTATGGACTTTGATATCCCACCAGACACATTTATCCTTCTCGATGGGTCAAAATAGGAAACTTGGAGATATTAGAGTGAAGGTATAACAAACTAGATACTGTTGGTTATATTACTTAAAAGTTGACGTTAATGATTTCAGGTAACAAAAACATACGGTTTCTTACCACATTTCTACCGTGAAAAAAAGTTAGAAGAAGCAAAAAGATTATATCCCATATCAGATCACATGAGTTTGATAAGCACGTCGTATAAAAATAATAAAGGAGGTCCACTTTTCGTCTTGTAAAATACTCCAATGAAACTCTCTTTAGTCCTATATCTGCAGGATCTAATTCTCCATCATAAACAGGAAGTCAACATTGTGACGAGAGTGCTTAAACTTATCGATAAGAATATACGTATTTAGTACAAATGCGGGGATCGTATTTGATTCATCACATGAACACTTTATATTATTCAGGATACCAAACATTTCTGAGACGGGGATGAAAAATGGCTACCGTTGGGAGAACATGTTGTCGTTTTGGAAAGCGTTTACAATGTAAGTTAATAGGTTACTGTAGTTGTAGTTAACACTAGTCAGTATACATTTCTTCATCCTCATGTTTATTTGCTATTTTGTTATCATATACTTTACCCACATAGGTGCATAGATTAATGAGTAGATGCACTGGATGATATGTCCTCCATAGAGAGGACATGCACTTGTTGGGAAGTTGGTTGAAAGGGGGTCCGAATTATTCTGACGTACTGTCGACTTTTTAAATATCGGTCTGGAGTCAATCTAATCCAGACAAATAAAATGATAGTCGATAGAGCGTCATAATAATTAAGACTTATTAAAAGGATGGCATAGAACTGTAATGCGTCCTCTCAAGTAAGGGGATCGAAATTCTCTAAAATACAATTTATACAGTGATAGATTTACGTCTGTTAAAAAATATTCAAAACAAAGTGACATGTACACAGTCAAGGACTTAATCACGTAGTGTCAGCATGCAATGATAAACTAGATATATTTAGGAGGAACATGTTATTAAACAGACAGTCGAAGGGATCAAAGTTGAGACAAGTCGTTTCGGTACCAGATTGTTCGGTACTTCCAAAATACTTCGTTTCGGTACATTTGGAAATGTTTTGATTTATGTATTCAATTAGACTTTAAAGATGCTTTATCAATGCTAAAAATTGCTCATTCTGTTACTGAAAAAGTGTTCGCTCAAAATGACGCTTCAGCTGTGTGAACCATTTTGCAAGTACCAAAACGACTGTAGTGGTGAATCAGAATGAATCTATGAGAACCAAAAATAAGTCAGTAGTTAATTGAAATATTCATTATCACTCGATATTTAGAAAGGACATTCTCCTTTATTTTAATTTTTCTCTATTTCAACAAGTGTGGCTAATAGCATGAATAACTCAGCCTGCAAGATGTATGCCATTTTTTACAAGACCACATATACATTATAACTTACATAATTTTTCTATACTGTTTCTATTTGTATAATTTTAATAAATTGTTAATACATAAGAAATGATAGATGATAAATATCGAATGTTTTCAGATGTTTGCGCCTTGTTTGTGTCTTCAGATTTGTCACTACATATTTTCGTGATGATTTTTTTCTTGTTTTCAGTAACTTCTACATGTCCACAAGCCATTATCAAGAGGTGGTCAAACACAATCCCTAATCATGTCATTGAAAAGCAGAGAAAATCTAAATTGTCATCTGGTCAGTTAAATGTGGAGGAAGCTGATACCTCAATCAAAGTCCCAAGAGATTTTACGTAAGATTGCTTACACATACAGGGCTCGCGCTGGCGATTGCCAATGGCGCCATTGGCGAAAGTGAAATGAGATTGGCGATTTCAAATTTCTATTGGCGAAAATGCCGATTAGAGACATTTCCAGTCACCGATGACTGTATAGAGAAAAATCACTGGCGTTTAACTTATTTGTAACGAGTGACACAGGTAAATTTTGCTCCGACATCGTTGTGTACTACACGGTCACGGCTGACTGACTCCCGCAGCTGGGGCAAGGTCAGCTATCGGAACTCTTTTGTGTTTTGACAGCAACGTTTACCTGTCTAAACAGCAACATGCCTGTAATGAAAATTGCCAATTATCCAATGATGTCTCCATTGTCTCAATCCGAGATAGCCTCTGCCATGAACAATAAGGTAAGTTAGCTGAAGGAAAGATGTTGTTTTATCGGGAATTGGCTTACGGTAGGTCGATCATTAGGTGTGTCAATGTCGTTAATTGGGCACAAGTTTGTGATTTCTGCAGACATAACTTAGTAAACTAGTGTATTTGAAAGGGCCGAAATAGGCTTCTTAACCTTTTTGATTGACTATTAAAATAGCAAGAAACACAAGATATAATTTTGTTGTTTTTACACTATGTTGCCGATTTTGTTTTATATTTTTGTACATATTTTGGTCACATCAGATTTGGCCCTTCACTAAGATAGATCGTTAGATGAAATGGGAAAACGTAAACTCCCCTTTAGTGATAGGGATTGGAAAGTACCCAGATTGTCATCATTTGGTTTTAAGACACCATCTATTGAAAAGGAAAATGACAGCCCTGATCAGGTTACTAACAAGGGCAGTAGTTCAAGAAAGTTTCTAGATAGTTGGAAAATTGGCAGGCCATGGCTAAAATATGACCCAGAGCAAAAGCTCATGTTTTGTGACATGTGTATGAAGGCATTAGTTAGAAATAGTTTCACTGATGACTGCAGTAAGAAAGAGTGCTTGGTTAAGCATGAGAAAGGATCAGGTATATACAACTATTCATCATTTATGAACAGAAAATTATGTAAAATTAGATGAAGTAATTCAGAAATACTATACAGCCTGGAGGATGGTACAATGTAGTTACTCATTACAGCCTGCTTGGCACATGAATTAGAAACACAATCTTTTAGTTTAACGATTATGTCTTTATTATCTCTGAAGTGTTTTTAAGAGATATATTACTTAGGAAGTTACTGTAATAAGTATAATACTTTGATGGTGTAAAATAAGGTTCGATGTAATCCTGTATCTCTCTGCAAATGTTCAATTCTATTCTAAATTTTATTTTCAATTTTACAGATGAGAACTCTCACTCTGCTGCTTTGGCAACACAACAGCAAACTGTCGAGATGCAGAAGGCCTGTAATAATTTCATGTTTATAAACTCTTTTACCATATACTGTGTTATGTTTGATGTATTGTTGTTAAAACAGTGAATAAATAATGTAATTATATAATTAGCATATGTGTTTTTATTATATGAGGAAATTAAGGGCTCGTCGGGTGAGGGTGAGTTCCGGAATCTGTTCGCGCGCTTATAGCAAAAAAAATTTGGTTTGGCGAAACTGAATTTTGACCCAGAGCTAGCCCTGACATATATATGTTTATCCCTGTGTAATGTCAATATCAATTTCAGACAAACCTAGCATTTTGGAAGTCAATCCACAGCTCATTTGGTTATTCCATTATTCATTTAATGTTCAGGAGACAGATTTTCTTTCTTCACAAAGCAGATGCTAAAATTAAAGATAATGTTGATAGATTAATGTAATGGGTCATCCTCTTGTAGTGTGATCAGAGATCTCAACTGAAGGGAGAGATTCTTATTTTTCTGATATACTTCTGGCTCTTTATTAATGAAACATTATTGCTATCTCATTACTTGGCATAGTTGATGTGACACTACTTTGTTGTTGATATAACATCATACAATTGTCGTGATATGGAATTCCCCTATCTCTGCCAGTAAAAGCTTAGATAAGCCTAATGTGGATAGGAGAATTATGAACTGTTACATTAAAATGTATTGTTTTCATCTGTTTTAAATATATTGAATAAATATTGTTAAAACTTGATGAAATTTATATCTATTTGTAGATCAGAATCTATTACTCAAAACTTTTAACATTGATATTCAGTTTAGATATAGGAATACCAGGTATCACATTTAATAGAAAAAACTTTCAAAATAACAGGAAATAAATCAATAACATTGAAAATCAGAATGTAACCTAAATAGATTTGAAACTGTCAAGGGAGATAATTTCAGAGTGTTAATTTGTGTACTATATGTGGGTCATTTACCATGTTTTACTCAAATGACTTATCTGTTACAAGAAAAATGGCCCAAGCCCTTGTCTTAAAAAGAGACATTTCAAAATTGATTCGAAGTTGGACAAATAATATGGTTACAAGTAATTTAGCTATGACATAGAAGGTTAAGAAGCAAACAATAAGTTATTAGATAAACACCAACCAAACCATGGGGTTTTTTAGGTCACCTGAGACAAAGTACCCCCATGTACCTATGTGTGGTATACATCCTGATTAAGATGAGCTTATCTTACCATTTCAGAGAAGTGTATCCAGAGTTCCTTCCTAACCGTGGACCTAATTGGAGTAAAGACACTCTGAGAGATGCTTTGGAAAGAAATGATATGTTGAATCGCAGGAGACATTTAAAAATGCCAGAGTTTTATGTTGGTAAGGAGTGTTTCACTACATATATTAAATATCAGAGAAGGATCTTGACATGGCCATCATATGATGATACATCTTCATAAGTTTGATCATTTCTATGGTTTACTAACCGTTTTTAGCCCACCTCCATCATCGTCTGTTGTCCATCCATCTGGGAACATTTCTGTTTCTTGAGAAGTAATTGACAGGTATATCTCAAGTTTGATATATAAGTTCCCCGTGGACCCTAGTTGTTTGGCCATCTTTGATTTTTACAATGGAGTTTGTTATTACCATTTCATGAGAAATACTGTATCTTTTTATGGTGACCATCTTGGATTTGGCAGTCAAATATTATTATCACTATTTTTATAAAGGAATGTTCCAATTTTGCATCACTAAGAGCAAAAACAGGAGAGAGAAGAGCAAAGAAGGGAAAAGATCCAACTTTAAAAAACAAATAAGGAGAGACAATGTTGCAAGCCAAGATCCCTCTGGGATCTCTTTTTAATTTTTTCCTTCCTAATTATACTGACCGCTTAATAAGTAACATGTTCAAATGTGCAAGATTTAATAGTGTCTTTACAGATCAAAGAATATATAAATAGTGTCATTACAGACCAAGGAACATATTCATGAAGTTGTAGAAGCTGCCTTTTGGCTATCAAATTCAAATTCATAAACATGCCACAATAAGAACTCATGGAAACGTGTATAAATCAGGGAGACAAATGTACAAATCAGGGAGACGTGTATAAATCAGGGAGACACTTGTATAAACCAGGGAGACATGTGTATAAATCAGGGAGACACTTGTATAAATCAGGGAGACATGTATAAATCAGGGAGACATGTGTATAAACCAGGGAGACACTTGTATAAATCAGGGAGACGTGTATAAATCAGGGAGACAAATGTACAAATCAGGGAGACACTTTTATAAATCAGGGAGATACTTGTATAAATCAGGGAGTCAAATGTAAAAATCAGGGAGATATGTGTATAAATCAGAGAGACACTTGTATAAAGCAGGGAGACATGTACAAATCAGGGAGACGTGTATAAATCAGGGAGACACTTGTATAAATCAGGGAGACACTTGTATAATTGAGGGAGACACGTGTATAAACCAGGGAGACAAATGTACAAATCAGGGAGACACTTGTATAAATCAGGGAGACACTTGTATAAATCAGGGAGACACTTGTATAAATGAGAGAGTCACATGTATAAATCAGGGAGACACATGTATAAACCAGGGAGACATGTGTATAAACCAGGGAGACAAATGTATAAATCAGGGAGACACTTGTATAAATCAGGGAAACATTTGTATAAATCAGGGAGACACTTTAATAAATCAGGGAGACACTTGTATAAATCAGGGAGACACTTGTATAAATCGGGCAGACGTGTATAAATCAGGGAGACTAAGGATATTCAGCAAGTTAATTACAGTCAGGTCTGGACCCATCATTTTGCACATGTTCTGCAGTCCAGCCTTTGTCCTGACCTGTGCCTGGCATTTCTCATATGGGTTTAACCTGTTCAGCTATTTCAAACCCTTAAGCAAAAGTGACCTAAATCATGACCTAGGTTATTCCCCTTTTTTCAGAAATTTATTTATCTTCAAAGTCTCCATATCACCTGCTGTTGTTTTCACTGCAACTTGGACTACAAAATTAAATCATCTGTTCATGGGCACAAAAGATCTAAATTGGATTTTATCTAAATCTGCTGTAGTTATGATCTTTCATAATGAAAGAGCTTCTATACTATTTATATAAGTGATAATTGAATTTGAAATCATTATAAAGTGCATTTTCTATTCTCTGAAAAAATATTTATGTAAATAACAAGCACTTTTACCAAACTTTTACCAAAGTTTTGTGTTTGTGAAGGGGATATATAAATCCCCTAATGACATTTGTAATGTTATTTTCTTTAAAATAACTTTATATATAAAGTATTTCACGGCTGTCTTACAATAAAAATTGGGCTATCTTCTCATTCAAAAAGTTGTTATATATTATGAACGTGAATTCATCTTCTCTCCTGTACTGCTTGCACAATGTAGAGTGGGGCCTTAAAATAATTAAGTAAAATAATTGTTGAACTGAATGACAAGCCCATTTGATGAATTTATTTTTTTAGTGTTTTAATTTAATTTTTGTTTGACATTTTTGTAGGTAGTATATTAGCAGTAACTGCTGCAGATATTTTTGCACCAAACAAGAGCAGTAGATTTGTAGGCATATGCATCGAGCGCGGGAGACAAGGAATGGAGCATATATTCACTTTGAGGAATGTCATCGATGGCCAAGGTAAGATGTACAAAACAAGGATTTTTTGTTTCATTTTTATAAACCTTTAAACTTAATGTCAGAAAAGTCAATTTGATGTCAAGTGTCAACAGGAAAGTCAATAAAGGTAAGCTATTTAATGTAGATTTTTTTTTTCGAAGGTTGAAATTTTGCTCTTACAGTTATACATGTATATATAGCTAATGAATTATTTGCAGTATGTGCAGTGAAGTGATCGTCCATGGAAGTTCACGGTACATGAAGTGTGCAGTAAATAGTTATGTGGATACTTGATTCATTTTATGTTATGTCTGTGAGAGCAGGTTAGATCAAAGTAAACTTATAAAGGAGATGATGAATGCAAATTTTGATGATCTCTATTTCCATATATTTCATTCTTTTTTAAGTAAATGTAAATGACCTTCGAGGAACAAACCCCAAGACCCCTAATGTAGCAGATCACTTTCTTGTGCTGGAAAATAATACTGCATTTTTTTCAAAAATTTAGAAAACAATAATTTATGTTTCATTAAAAATCTGGATGTAAAAATGATATATTCATCATAGATATTATGAAATTGACTATTGGTTTCTATAGTAATCTTTATTTTCAGGGTATCTATATTTTGAAGTTTCTCAAAAATAACAACTATCACATTTTTCAAGGTATAGGTTTTATTTGGCAAGTGATTCATATCGAAATGATGTGACTGTCTGTTTTCACATCATTGTGAACTCTTTTTCACAGGTGTAGAAATTTCCTATCACCTGTATAATCCCACTATACAGAGGATAGAGGTGTTGAAACTGGAGAAGCGGCTTGACGAACACCTGCGTTACCTGAGAAATGCTCCACAAGAATACAGCACAGTTCCATTTGACCTGAAAGTCACACTTATTCCCAAAGGTCAACCTATTCCTATCAATGGCCAGATAGTAAGTTTTTATCACATCACAACTCTGTAAACAATGGTCACTCTAATCCTAATTACTGCTGATATCCTGCCAACAGTTTTAAAATATGACATGATTTCTGTACTCCATGCTACTGTATAGTTGTTTTAGTTAGCAGAGCTAATATTTTGCAGATATCCTTGGTCATAAAAGTTAATGCTTATTGAATTTCACATGTCTATATATTGTTTCCGTTTAGGGATGATAACATACATTTTGTGAGATCTTGATTAATCCTGAAGATATTTACATGGTATTGTAATTTTGTGTTATCTTTAAAGACTATGAATATATCGATACTAAAACCTCTGTAATTACCAACTATACAGAATTCTAGGCTATTCTATGAACTTTGGAAAGCAAACTTTTTGGAGAAGTGCAATATGCATCATCATACTGTTTGGCATTTATCAAAATACTTTGATTGAAAAGTTAGAAAACTGGTGCATATATATTATAGTATGTTAAAGATCCCTTATAAAACATCTGTTAATAAAACTGTAGACCTAGAGTTTTGATAATAGGTCTAGGACTGTTGAAGTAAGTGTATTAAGTCCGAGACTTTCTGAAGTGAAATGCTTGTCTGATTGTTTATCATCATATTTAAGTCATCTGTGTATAAACATGTGTTTCAGCCATCTGTGAAGATTTTTATGATATTTACTCTGTACTCAGAGGTCAAAGGGTAAAAAATCACAGTTTACAATTTTTTGTAATGCGTTTGAATTTTGGCATTCATGTCTTACAGACATTTTCTATTTTAAGAGTTGTAATATCTAACCTGCTTTTATTGTCAAGCATTTTTACAAATGAAATTACAGTTAATTTGGCATTACTTGATTTTCACAACCCTCTGATCTGTAGATTTAAATTCTGTTACTTATATTTAAAGGTGCCGTTAAATCCTAAACCCTGGCTGGAGAGATGGGAACGACAGGAATTGAAGGGAGCAGAATTCACAGTAAATCTAACAGCTAAACAACAGAAAAAGTTTGATGTTTTAAAAGCACGAAATAGCCTGGACAAATTTGATTTGATGAAAAAACATAGAGAATCAGTGAGCAAAGACGAGAGACAAAATATCAACAGAGAAATGTATAAGAGCAATACAATGGATTACTGAACATGTACAGAACTATTGTGTGATAAATTACTTTCTGAAATATACACTCTACAAATATGGTGTCTTCTTTTTATTCATTGTTGGATGATATATATTGTAAACTACTAAAATTTAGCACATCACTTTACAGAAAATTATTACAATAATGAATTACCTGGTAGTGCATTCATTATGATTGCTGTATAAATAGAATACAGAAACTGCAGTCAGAGAAAGTATATCTAAAACAAAATATTTTCAGTGCAAGAATTGCAAAAATAAGAAAATCACTTGAAATCATATGTTTATAGGAGCCTTGATTTTTAGTCCACCATCTGATGATGGTTGGCTTTTCAAATTGCCTACGTCCATCATCCGTCTGTCCATCATCCGTCCTTTCATCTGTAAACAATTTCCGTTATCACTATTTCTTAAGAATCACTGGATAATATTTGTCAAATTTCATATGTAGGTTCCCCTTGGTCCCTAGTAATGAACATGAAATAGATCAGCTGGCTAGAAAAAATTAAGGTATCTGAAACCAAACACTTTTGTACATAATCTATTGGAGATGGGATGTATTGTTAGTTGTTAAATAAAGTTAAATTCTAATGGAAAATGAAATTCAATCAAATTGACTCAAAATTAATTTTTAGACAATTCTTGATACTTCAAACAATTTCTGTAAGCCATGCTGAGAAGGGAGCTTTCTGTTATCAAGTCAATGTCACTGGGACAAGAGTACAGCTTGAAAAAGAAACAAACTGCTAGACTGGTCACATTCTACTTCCATGACAGACACTTGGAAACAATTTAACTGTATCTTTTATATTGACCATAACCTACTCTCAAGGTCATAGAGGTCAGTATTAAACACCGATTGATTACATACTTTGATCTACTTTCAGGTATATTAGTTTCAAAGTACCGTTTTAATTAAGAGAATTATCAGACAGACATGGATAGTGATGTCATTGTGGTCGCAGAGATCTTGGTCCGATTCTTCTCAGGCACCACTATTTGATAAGTAAGGCCCTGCCTAAATCCCTTACAACTTTAAATGTAAATCATTGTTTCATCTTCTGAATTCTGTAATCATAAACTTCAAGATTACATATGACACTTTTAGAAAATGAGAAAAAAACAAGATGTGTTTATGAAATACTACGCCCCTTGTTGCAACAAATTCTAAAGTGGGACATTAAAACTGTACTGTGTAAGTCATCTGCAAATTGCATGCCCACTTTGTGTAATACTTATGTCTTCATTGTGGTAATGATTTTATTTAACTTTTAAATGTAGATCAAAGGTCATGGTCAAGGTCAGAAATTGTGGTACCACCGAAAAGGCTTTGTCGCAAGGAACACACATGCCAAATATGAAAGCCCTACCTCATATGGTGTAATACTTGTGGGCAAGGTTAAAGTTGCAGACACATGGCACAAAAAACAACATGCCCTTGATTTTTCGATTCGTAGCCATAAAAATGCTATGCTGGGTTTCTTCAGAATAAAACTTTTTGCTCTAGAAGAATTCCTCTCTGCAATGTTGGAGTATGTAATAAAACAAATGCTCAAAAGAGGATGATGCATTGTCACTATATAAACTGAAGTCTCACAGCTGTTAGTTGGTTCCAAACATGAAATTCTGACCAGTCATTAGATTTAATATCTGTTCTCCAAAGTATTGTAATTACTACCATGTATAATATTAAGTCAGGATATCTTATTCTTCATTCTCCAAACAGAATTCTAAAAACTATTTTTATAAGTCTTAAGACTAAACTCATTTCGGGAGTGCAGAGAATTAGAACGGGTAGGTATATTGGAAACGCAATCAGCATCGCTTTCTTCTTTGATAGGCATATTAAGAGTTTAAATGATAAAGAATAAGATTTGTCTCCAAAGTACATCATCATTTGTAGAAAGTTAACAAATACCTGTTTCTGTACCACCACAGATCTCAACGTCACTTGTCATGCATGTGGAAGTTAACACGTGTTTCTGTACCATCACAGATCTCAAAGTCACTCGCCATACATGTCGAAGTTAACAAACACCTCTTTCTGTCCCATCACAGATCTCAAAGTCACTCACCATACATGTAGATTTTAACAAACACCTGTTTCTGTACCACCACAGATCTCAAAGTCGCTCGCCATACATGTAGATTTTAACAAACACCTGTTTCTGTACCACCACAGATCTTAGAATGTACAAGCGTCTGTTTGTGTACAAATTACAAAACAAACAATTATTTTTGTTTTTCTCAGTACCCAATGCTCGAAATTTGTGAGCGCAGTTCAGAATATACACATGTAATTGACGTTCTTCAAAAATTATCAGATTTATGAAAATTGCAAAATTTATTGCATTAGTGCATCTCCCCATCTAGATGTTGACATTTCTAATGACTTTTGTGGATTTTCCTCAGTCAACTCTTGAGTATTCTTCAGGGTAATAGCATCAATGACAGTCCTAGAAGGATGAAACAGATGATGCAGGGTGATTTACTGTCACTTGAGACTTGTACCGTTTTCAAGTCCTTATATACTGATAACAGTCTTTCATTCATCATACTCAAAGTCTATTGTAACAGATGACCTGGCTGAAAGCCATTTTGTTTCTTTAAGATATATTCTTTAAAAGGAACTGGATATAAACATTGCTGGGGCCATTGCTGAAACCAAGTAAGAGATTTGATAATTTCAGTGTATCAGGATAATGTTTTGGTTATTGGCAGTTACTGGGTAATTTATTTTGCTGAAGTGATAGAGTTCCAGTCAGTCCATAAAGATAGCTGGAATAAACAAAATGAGATAGTTTTCCTTGAAATTTATAAATTAACATCTCGCATGGCAAATTTAAAAGCTCGCCCAAAAGGATAGCTGGAATATACAAAATGAGATAGTTTTCCCAGAAATTTATAAATTAACATCCCGCATGGCAAAGTTAAAAGCTCGTGTAAGGACTGCAGTTGATTTAATTTAGATTCGTTCCTAATAATTCAACATTGAATCGATTGTTAGATATTAAGATAAGCTTGTTTCCGGTTCAGGACGTGAAGAGTCATGTATCTATATTGTTTGATAACAAGATTTTTATAGGAATTGTCGTAATTTAATTATTTTCATTCTTTCGTTTGATAAAGAGTTGAGACATAAATAGATAAATTAATTCTTAGTTCCTGCCGACCAGTTTACTTTCACTTTCGTTTTGAAACGGAAATCCCGTGGATTGTATACATACTCGGTCAACGTGACAGCAAACCTTAAAGCCCTCCACGCATTTGTACTAGACGGAAAAACAAATCAGGTATGTGTTACTTTTTGTGATTGTCGATTAATTTGGCAAGTCCTTATTTTTTTCTGACCATGTGATATATAATACATCGCTGTTCCGACGTTCTTTTGACTTACTCCTGTATAGGGTCAAAGTACCTTCTGTCTGTTGAATTATTTGTTTAAGATAAGATAAGTGATTTATGGATGCAGGCAAAATGTTATGCCTCTATATCCATATCTAATATTTGCTTTGAAGAATGATCTATCTAGTCTGTGGGTACTATCATACTAATTATAGGAACCCATTGGAAATAATGGACCCCATTGGAAATAAGCCTATTTTATAGGCATTATGGGTAATCCAAGGCCAAAGGCATTTTCATCTGGTTTTATCAAATTTCTCTCTTTTTTATTGATATTTCTAAATTTTCAACTATTTTACTTAGAAGATTTGCAAGTGTAATTTAATTTCTGCGATACTAGTTTAAACTGTGATATTTTAAGGTATGTGAAATTCTTCTGTGATATCTTATATTATATAATTAATAATTTTAAGAAATCCACAATAATTTATTACTGATTTTAATTGTTATGGAATTGCTTATGTAATATTTGTAATGTGTAATTTTATTATGCCTTTGACTAAATTAACAATAAATAAATAAATAAATGAAAAAGATTGTAAAATATATCCGTATTAAACAGTAACACAATTTTGCTGTCTATATGGTTCCAGGAAGACGGACGATATGTCTAGCCCATGGCGGCCCGCGAACCCGATGTACAAAGTTTTCCGTTTCATCAATCTGTCTTCTGTTGGCTTCCGCCCTCAATTCCTTTTCCATCTCTCTTTCGTATTTTGTTAAATCGTTCCGAATTTGGACTGTTGAAAATTGTTGCTGATTTTCAATCCTTTTATGTTCTTGAATATAACTTTCTTCTTTACCTCCGGTTTCAGTTTGACTAGAATAGGTCTTCTTGTTTCCTGATCCGATTGATTTACTTTTCCGACCCTGACGACTTTCTCAAACAAATTGTCTACCGAAATTCCTCTGCAACCGCAAGAATCAAACACTTCCTGTAGCACTATTTTGTCTGCCTTCATTCTTTGTTTTCCGTTCTCATTTTGCTGTTCCGGGATGCCGAATATTATTAGATTTTTTTCTCTGTATCTTCTCTCGTTCATTTCTGAAATTACTTCATCCATGTTCGTTCTTATCTCCCTTTTCACCACCTTATTCAGTTGTTCTGTATCACATTTTTCGTTTAGTAATCTTTCTAGTTCCGATATCCTATTTTCGTAGTTCTCCATTATTTTTATTTTTTTTTCTTTATTTGTTTGATTTACAGTGTTTTTAAACATATGTTATAAATCTCTTATCTTTTCGATGCATATATTGTCATTCCAAAAATGGATAAAGTATTAGAAAGATGTAGTTTTTTCTCTAAAGCTCTATCATATATGTTATATTGTCATTCCAAAAATAGATATAGTATTGGTAGGCTGTAGGATGTAAGCTTTTCTCTAAAGCACTCTTATATAGGTGTACGTGACTATAAAGTATTCTGGGCGAGGTCATGTTTTTAACTTAACGTTCTGTATGTTAGATATAGCTATTATCATGTATATATTTCTGAAATAACAGAGATCATATGACCATTTCTTGGCTGATAAGGGTGTGATATAAGTACGAATACATATGCTTGTGACATGTGTAATATGACTGACTGGTGGATGAACACATTGGACGGTAGTATACCTTTCATGACTTGTGGAAAAGGGCACAAATATATGTAACAGCAATCTTTAAGAAGGGGATAAATGCGAACCGGGGAATTACAGGCCTGTGAGCTAAACATCAATCGTGTGCAAAGTACTTGAATCTTTAATAAGAAGTCACATCACTGATTATATGAAACAAAACTATTTTTTCTCAAAGAAACAGTTCGGATTCATGTCTGGCAGGTCTACGTCACTGCAACTACTTAAGGTTTTGGATGAGTGGACTGATCATATGGAAAATGGACACTCAATCGATTGTATCTATATGGATTTTCAAAAAGCATGGGATACAGTGCCACACAAAAGACTTTTAGGTAAAATGGAGTCATATGGAATTAGCGAGGAGATCATAAAATGGACGGCGAGTTTCATTTCAAACAGGAAGCAAAGAGTCTCGTTAAAGGATCAACACTCGGACTGGAGCGAGGTGTCCTCGGGAGTTCCCAAGGGATCTGTTCTTGGACCTACACTGTTCGTCATATTTATTAATGACTTGCTGAAAACAATACAGTCTGAAGTAAATCTTTTCGCAGACGACACTAAATTGTTCAGAAGCTTAAAAGAAAATACCGATGTGAATATACTTCAAGATGATCTGGATTGCCTTTCAGCTTGCAGTGAAAAATGGTTATTGAAATTTCATCTTCAAAATGTAAATTTTTGCGCATTGGCAGTCAAAGTGGAGACAGAAAATATTATTTAAACAACAAAGAATTACAGGAAGTCTACCAAGAAAAAGATATAGGAGTAATTGTAGACAAGTCTTCATCATTTGATGAACACATAAGTACACAGGTCAAAAAGCAAACTCTATGTTTGCACTAATAAGGAGAACGTTTCAACTTCTCAATGAACATAACTTCCCATTATTGTACAAAACAATAGTTAGGGTTCATCTGGAACATTCTATTACTGTATGGCATCCATATTAAGTCAAACATATAGATATGATTGAGTCAGTGCAACGGAGAGCAACAAAACAATTATCAGGATTTAAGGAATCGACTTATTCGGAAAGATTGAAACACCTAAAATTACCAACATTGGCATTCAGGAGGATTCGTGGGGATATGATTGAAGTCTTCAAAATTACGAACAATTTTTGTGATAGTAACGCTGCTGGTTTCCTTAAATTGTGGATCGACAAAGTTCAAATTCAGGGGACAAGGGGTCACTCCTAAAAACTTTACATGCAGCACTGTAAACTTGACATCAGGAAACCTTCTTTTTCTTTGCGTGTGGTCAAAATATGGAACAATCTTCCGGAGTATATTATATTGGCACCAACAGTTAACTCGTTCAAAAATAGGTTAGATGAACACTGGGCAAATCAAGAATTGGTATATAATTATAAATCAGAAATTCTGTAGTTCCTGGATCAGACGTCTCAAATGACAATAATTATAAACATTATCATTGTATCACTGAGACCGGTATAGAGGATCGTAACGATCCTGCACTGGTAATAAACTAAACTAAACTAAACTATGACTTTGAGTAATGTTAAAGGTTTACACCGGTGGGACATCAAGACAGGTGCCTTTTATCGCGAATTTCTAAAAATTGTATTTAGTAGGTATAATCACTACTGGAATGTGTGCTTGTCTTTGCGCATGTGATATTGTAAACTAAATCTTAGAAAAAAAAACATCTTCTCGTAGTTAGTTCAGACAGTATTTGTCTAAACAGAAATATAGCGATATCTATTCTTGGAGGTCACAAATGATTCTGTGTTGTTTCAACGGTAGTAAGATCTAATATAAACTCAATATACAATACATTGCATTTAATCGCCGAATTCCTGTCAAACAGATGACTGATATGTGTTAATTATTTACAGGCAATGGCATGCTCGAGAGATCAGCTGGTAAACCATCAAGATTTAGAAGAAGAACTCTCTTGTTTAATTTGTCTGGAATTGTATGACGATCCTGTATCGTTACCCTGTCAACATAACTTCTGTCGAAAATGTATACATTCACACTCGCAGCAGGAATCAGACCTTCAGCTACGTGTTCGTGGATGTCAGCCTAGATTGTTCCAATGCCCAGCATGCAGGAAATCTGCCGAACTCACAGACGAAGACATTGATAATTTGCCAAAGAATTTTGTATTACAAAACATTATTCTCAAACTTCAGTCAGGAAAATCGGCAAAAAATAATGAAGATGTTGTGATTGATGAAACGGACTGCAAACATCATAATAAACCCCTGATGGTATACTGCAATACTTGTGAGGAGGGCATGTGTATCGATTGTCTTCCTATACAGAATCATAAAGATCACAGCATTGTGCATTTCAAGGAAAAAGTGAAGATGTATCAGGTAAGAAAGGACTACCAGATTTATATTGACCCTGCAATATCAAAATGACACCTTAACGATGACTGATCAACAACGGAACAGGTGGGTGGTTATAAATGTGAGAATTATTTCCTCTTTATGGAACACTGGGACATATGTCTCAATTCTATATAGGTCACCTTTAACAGATTGCTGTCAAATGGAAAACTAATTATAGAGTTTTGTTTCAGGTTGGCTCGTTTGTAATTTCTCTGACAGCATAAAGTTTCAAGCTTAATTTGAACTTAATCCGAATGGAAAGTATATATAATGGACACTTCTGTAATATTGAAGTCCTATGTACGGATCTAGAAGAAATTATTGAATTACAAGGACTCAGGTTTAAGCGAATAGCGCCATGCGATACGAATACGGTAACCCATATTTCTTAGAGACTCCTCATTGATAAGAATAGTTGGTCAATAAAGAGCACCATTCGCTCTGCATTTAATAATAGGAGTTGCCCTTACCATCCATATTAACAACAATATTATGTCACAAAGTTAACATTTCTTACTTGGATTGATCAATATTTACTAGCGATGTCGATTAAGTAACAATCACCTCCTTTTACAATATTGGCAATTTTATTTTCAGGAAGAAGTGAAACATACACTTTTGCCTCAGGTTATGGAGTTACAGAGGTCTCTAAAAGAAACGAAGAACGGACTTAGTAATAGCCATGAAGAGTTCGAGGTACACTACGTAATTATTGAGGTTCAGCTTCGAATACGTTTAAAATCTTAGTTATCTTTTCATATGAAGTAATTTAGCAAGAAATATGTTTGTATTACTGTAGTTAAATATACAACACAAGTTCTATACCTGGTTTAATTCCTGAACTAACGTGAATCTCCAGGATCTTTCAAATTAATTGGAAACATCCTGTAGAACTCTTCAGTAATTGTGGGTGATCCACAGCTTACTTCATCTCTTCTAGGTAGTGATTCATGCCAAATGGCAGGAAGTTGCTGACAGTTTCCAAGAACTGAGGTCAGCTGTGAACCAGAAAGAGTCAGAGTTGATGTCTTCGTTAGAGTCGAACAAAAAGGAATTAAATTTGAGATATACGACTCAGACTGACTCCGTGAACGTTCAGTTATCCACTCTTGATGATCTCTTCGGCAAGTTTTCCACAATCAATTTCCAAGATCCCGCCAACAGTATTGAGGTAATACGTTATTTTTTATACTGCTTTTATAAAGAAGACCATTATTTTGGAAGATGTTTATTCATAACACAAAAAGCGATCAAAAATCGGTATTTTACAAGCGTTCGAAAACGTCTTTCCTTTATCAACCAAAAAGTGAAAACGACTGTCTTAACAACAGTACACGATTCGAAGTAACAGATTTGTTAAGTCAGCTGTCAAATTGTCTGCATGCAGTGTTAGGGACTTTCCTTTATGCATTCTGCTCATTACTGAATTTTAAAATGGGACCATAAAGATGACATCACCGGTGTCACCCCTACTTCGTCACTTCGTCGATATACCTTTCTTAAGGTGGGACCATAAAGATGACATCACCGGTGTCACCCCTACTTCGTCACTTCGTCGATATACCTTTCTTAAGGTGGGACCATAAAGATGACATCACCGGTGTCACCCCTACTTCGTCACTTCGTCGATATACCTTTCTTAAGGTGGATAGTTTGATCTTTTTCCAGTTATTCCGTGTCTCCTGGTGTTGTTGCAGCCAATGACTTGGTTGTAAATATTGATATGATAATTGTATTCTTTGCTAGTGTCTCTCAGGTGTTCCCGTGTATACTTTGTTTGCGATTGTAAGTATGTCCCGAAGCCTTGTCCTGTTTCCCATTTTCACTGATGTAGCCGTGATTGCACCTGTAGCAGAACTGGTAAACAATGTTTCGTCCTCTTTTGCCACATTGTCGTCAGAGTTTACTTGTTTGATGGGGCTACAGGAGTGTTGATGTGATGTTTCCACAAAATACCTCCGGAACCATTCCTATATAAGGCATGGTGGTCATGTCGTATGATTTTCTTTTCTTTTCTTTCCTGTTTATTCTTGTTAATTCTTTAATCTTGTTTTCCATTCCTACCCCGACCACTCTGGATAACCACACATTTTGAGAGCCTGTTTGATATAAAGCCTCTCATTTATCATTTCTTTCTGCTATGTCACGATATAACGGGGCACGTGCAAACACCTACATCCTTCCCAATGGATTGTGCGACTTAGATTTAAGGTACTGGTCTGTGTTTTCTTCTTGTATACCAAATTATTGATGGGTCCATAAGACGTTCTTATGAACAACATATTCAGGGAGGGAACCAATCGTTCCTTTCCCTCTGATGTAAATTTAATTAGTGTGTGTCATCCACCTGTTCAGGTGAGAAGTAAGATTATCTACTTCTATTTACACAATATTATCAACATACCTTTTCAATAGTTTGTAATGACACTTTAACGGAACATTTATGATGGCTGTGTTTTGCTTCAGATGCTCAATAAAAATGTAACCAACAACATATGCTACCGGGCTAAAATTACAATGCTTTTGATGATAAATGACACGTTTAAAGAAGGATTGTATTGTGTTTAGAGTCTACTGGGAGGCGCGACCTTTTCCTCAGAATTTTGTCTTGCTTGCTAAAGTCCTTCACTAATGATCGTTGAATGGACACTACGCCATGGGAATGAAATATGTCCTCTTCGAGGTTTTCACACAATGTTCTGTTCTCCCGAAAGTGGCCACAGGATGTCTGTTAGCCATCTGTATCCAGTGGTCCCATGTTATCCACAATCGGCAATTGCTTTCTTTTAAAAGTGGACCTTTTTATAATGTTCCTCGCTGGGAGTGATTTCATTCTTCATATTAGTAGGTATGTTGACATATGTTTGGGTAAGATCTTTCTTCAATATTTTATGTAACAGGGTCAAACTTATTAAGTTATTACACTGATTGTCAAATTCTGTTGGATATAAAATATGTTATATTTATTTGTCACTTAATACAGTATACTGAATTGGTTTTTTTTTTTTATATTATTCGTAAAACTCGCGTTACGTTATGCCTGTCAATGTATACCGGTACATTTACCGGGTATAGCGCAAGTACATTTCTTTGTTTGCACTCTGCACGTATGTATGTGTGCTGTACGTGAGTTGTGGTGAGCTACGGACTGGACATGTGACACTTTGACGAAGTTGTTAAGATTGGTTGAAAGTTTCTGTTTTGTGGATTTCTTTCATTGTCCTCAGTACTTCGGTACATTTTAATTCTCTCTGAGTGAACGGTTGAATTCTTTTGTCAGTAAAACTGTCTCTGTATATTTCTGGGTAAGTTTAATTCTTTTTCTATTTCTAGTTGTTTCCCTTGTTTATCCCTTCTGTTTGAATGAGTAATTGTTTAAGTGAATTAGTACTTAATTATTTTAAAAGTGTAATGGAACAGTATATCGTGATCAGTGTTTCATGTAACCTATACGTGCACGGTGATATTTCTTGTGATATTTCTAAAAACTGTACTTCTGTGATTATGTTGTATTTGAATATTGCAAGTAAGGATATGTATTGTATTCATTGTAGCATTTGCACCTGCTATTGTGATGTCAACTCCTTGACTACGTTATGTGGTATAATTTGTGCTGTTGTGTGTAACATTGATGCACGATATGTGTTGTAAGTGGACGTTTATATCTTTAGTGTAATTGTCCTATCTTGACGTATTGATTACTATTGTATCTGTAAAGTTAAATATGTAAAGTGATGATGTTTTCACTTATTTGTTGAAATTGTGATATGTTGAAGTTTGAATTGTCAGTAGATGTCAGATGTGTGTGAGAGTATGGTTTGGTTTTGTCTTATATATTCCAGAATGTCTCTCTTTTTTTTTTTTTTTTTAAAAAGTTTAATATTGAACCCAGTGGCTTTGTCATGACCTTTCCGTTACACTTTTGTATTTTTTCATGGTGGTTACCTTTTCCTCGTACTCCTGCTGGTAAATGTTTGGTGGGGTGACGGTGTCATTTAAAACCTTAGCAATTAGTACTTACTAATATTAAGGACCAATTGTTGAGTTGGATACCAGATATTGTAAGCAAAATGACATTACTTTTTGGCGAAAAGAATAAACACTATTATACTATTGAGACTAAAATGCGACAATTGGACAGCTGACTTTATCCTTTCGTCGAATAGTGAACTGACCTCAATACCAGTTATCGCGCGTTTTGCTTGATCAGGAAACACGTTCGCCAAAGCAAAGTAAAGTTTTCAATCGCTGTTTATGCTTAAGATAAACATCTTTTAAAATACATCTATAACGAACCATTAAATATAATTAACGTCTTTCCCCTGGTGACTTTTTCAATATCACTAACACATACTTCCATTATGATTCCATTCATATCACATATGTTGTGATTTTATTGACGGTAAGCATTTTACTTATGTGTCTGTAAAGATTGTTTCCATGACCCTCAAGTGTACATAAAATATTATCCTCGATACTCCAGGGGTTACGATCTATTTCGCTCTCTGTACCCCTGTAATCTATAATCTATGCTACTTGTTATGGAACATTTTATTTTCTTTCTTATAGGAAATCAGAATGGACAAGAAAAGGTAAATATAAAATCCATATTTCCCTTGTATAAACAAATTCAAAACATCCAGAAAATAATGCTGTGAAATCGACTGTAACACATTCATTATAGCATCCATATTCTTGCTCAAGTTGGATATTTATGAAACATCATGAACGGATTTCATGCTTATTAAAATGATGAAACGCAATGAAGATATTTTTAAACAATTTAGCTCCCATTAGCTGGTGTTAGTCTTTGATGACACATGAATACTGATACATAATTACCTATACATATATTGTTCATTGTGTGTGTGTGTGTTTTTTTTTTTTTTAGGACCGTGTTCATTATTTTGGGAAACAATATCCTATTCTATTATCTAGTCGATACCATTTTGAATTATACATGTTTTTCAAGTTATTAATAATGTACCGATTTAATATCATTGACATTTATTCCAGGTGTGAAGAGGCCTCGGCCGACGCATATGAGACGTCAGAAAAGGTGGAGAGATTCCTTAGTGACATGAAGGATTCGCCAGTGTCTAGACTACTAGAACTGAGAATGGAACTGCAGAAAATGTTGTCTCGAATCAACGATATGAAGATTGAAGCAGAAACAGAAGTAAAAGGTTGGTGCAAACTTAGTGATGGAAGGAGAATGTTGACTGGGTCCAGAAAGGGTTAGGAGCGGACGGAGAGATCTATACAAGTTGTCCGAGTTGATATTAAATGGATATACCTTCAATTACCCATTAACAATAATGTTTGTTATCAAAATGTTTCTTGTGTATTATAACACAGGTTGAGGTATATGGCTAGTTCAAGACCCCCGCGATGGAAGGTCTTGTCCTATATACCCTCCTGATACTGGTGTACTTCTAGACTGATTAACCGTAGATAGACCTAATGTGACATCCTTTGTTTTGCTTGGCTTGTTCAACATTCTTGTTAACGCTGTTTCTTATGTATTACTGGATACATACATTTTTCAAATGCCATATATAGGTTCAATGATGAGACTAATGTTAACGATGGTCTATATTTTACCGACTTGGATTTTGACACTTGGAAATTGCTTTAAGTATTTCTCTAGGTGTACTCAAATTTCCTATTTTCGTTCCCCTTTGTTCTCAATCGTGCAAGTTTAGTTTTAAGCCGATTTGAGGAACAACACGACTGACAAGCAGTGATCTCGGATTTTAACATTTCGTTACTGTAATTGCTTGTTGCCAGGAAGGACTTGAAACCTGCTAAAATTCCATGTATTATTCCCCCTTGAATATCATTTTCGTTATAATTAATTCATTGTCAATACGAGAAAAAAAATCAGAAAATATGACCAGAGGACAGCAGAGAAAAATATCAACATACAAAGATGTCAAAAATATCCTCTCAATATCTCATCACTAGTGAGGGTACAGTCTGTAAAGTATTGAATATTTTACCAATGATATTTTCAGGATCTACTGAAGACTTGGAAACTCCCGGGGCAGGGAATTCAGTCGCAACCATTACAGTACCATACACTTACCCTCAACCTGAACCTCATCTGGGGGAAGACTGTGCCTCGGAGTTACTGTTTGGCGATGTTAACTTTACTAATACAACATCGGCTTATAAATATGGGGTATGTTGATCTACATTATTGACGTTTGTTTAGCAGTAAAGAAATAAGCAGAAAGTAAACGAAAAATTGATTAGTGTGTAATTTCTCAAAGATTTATACCACGGAAATTAGGACATCTAATAAGGGATAGAATGGATGAAAAACCAACAGTTCATCAATCTGCCTGCAGTATAAGAGAACCATTGGGAAAAAAACCCACACTTTTGTCTATCACCGATAGTAACCTGTCGTCAAAACTCACTCTAACGAAGAGAAATGACGTTTTCGAAAGCTAACAAATACAGTTTTCAATCGTTGTGTTATCAAAAAAACATCTCGAATAATTTTAATACCAAACTGGTGAATCTTATCATGAAAATATCACCGACATGTTGATATATTTCTCCATGTCTTTGTGTTGGGAGCTTCCTAGTTTTCTGTAATTACATGTATTGTACTTCGTTGTACACAATTCATACAGTTGATATGAAATGCTATAAACATGCAGAATTGTGACTTAAATAACTGAAACATCGACTATAGAAACCAGTAACGACCTGTTATTTTGTTCTTATATTTAGTGCTCGAGTACTGCTGATTTATTTGAAATATTGATTTAAATACAGTTAATATGTTCACTTTAACCAATTTAAGTGTACTAGCAGGTTAATAATGTTCTATGTTTTATTTAACATGAACTCGAGTGTCGTACAATTGATAGCAGTTCTTTGTAGGGTTAAGACCAAAAGAGGCCCTATGGGCCTGCATTGATCATCTGGTATTCAATACTTTTCACTAGTTCATTATTCATCATTCGACATTCATGCAAAGAATCTGCCAGCTATATATGATTTTAGGGCATTTGGTTTATCAGAAGTCGTTTGAAGTCCTTCGGACCATGGTAAGCTAAAATGTTTGTAATGGCTGAACACCTCAGCTTTCATATTTTCGCCAGACTTGGCAATCTGAGAGTGTTTCTAAATGCTCCCTAATTTCAATGCCAGTGGATGATACTATTTCTATTTAAAAGTCAAGCAGCTGGTTTAATGCATGTGCATAGAAATCGACTATTTATTAATGAATAACAAATAAGTTATATTTCACTGAAGTCGTTTTCTCTCTTAATCAGCTTTTATCATTACAAACGGCCAAAAGAATAGCATTGCACTGATATGATAGGTAGTGAAATAACGAATTAGAACAATAACATATAGTCAGCAAAATCTTAGTGTTTGGTGCAAATTTCTGTCTTTTATTAGAATACAAATCGGAAAGACAGTCACAAGTTGGCCATTGTAGACCCTTCTACCGGCAGAGATATATCAGATGAAATCTACAGACGCACTGAAAGAAGTTCTTCTGCAGATGAACTTTATCATGGCTATGACTGTAGCTATTATCGGACACAGGTAAGTTTTCAGACGTTGTAGGGACGGTGTTGGCATAATCGTGTAAGGAAACAATAATGACGCATTTTGGATGCTATTCATATTGATTCACCTATCACATTCCACGATTTCTGCGCACCATGAGCACATGTACTTTTTTCTACCGGTAGCCACAGTCACGGGAATTAAACAGGTGCACTTGACGTATTTAGGGTAAACAGGTGCACTTGACGCGTTTAGGGTAAACAGGTGCACTTGACGTGTTTAGGGATTTTATTGAATTGTCGGTTTTGTCATCTCCCTACCTGTATTGAAGATTTCTTTGACTTAATTTTGGCTTTCGAACTTGACACCTAGTAGTCCCAGATCATGAAACAGCAACATATTGCATCTATTGTATTGAAAGGTTCTATCGACTTGTTCAACCATTAAAGGAAATTCCAATGAATACCTGTACTTGAGACCACATTCGTCTAAAATGGGCCTACTTCATTAACTGTATGCTATCGATAAAATGCGAAAAATCCGAGTCTGACCATAACGTAATTCTCGTCTTTATATGTACATTATTCGTATATATTACTTATTATTTGGACTAACATTGAATTCATAAATTCTTATACGTTTAGAGATTCTCATGACTATTTTTTGTTGCCCCCTCCTCCCCCCACTCTTTTTTCTTGAGAGAGGTGGGGAGGGGATTATCGTGTTACCCATGTCCGATTCCCTGTCCAATCAATGTTTCACTCTAGCTAGCAAAGCCATTTTAATGTATTATGGCAACACCTTGAACGATTTGAAGTTTCCGTGCCCGTCAGTCCGTAGTGATCGCTGGTGGTAGTTTGGTTATTGAGGGGATATGTTCTTCGAGGACATTTCTTAGATATATCTTTACTTGTTCCTTCTATTAGTTAGACTTGTAATACTGTCTATTCACTTTAAAGACCGCTTAATTATCATACTAGAAAATAACATTCTGACCCCGTGTACCTGTGGACATGGCTTGCTTGCTTTCCTCTCACGAGTTTCAATTATATAACTTTCAGGAAGAAACAAAACACTTTTCAAGACAGGAGGACAGTAAGAAGGGGCAATATAGGCACAAAAAAAAAGCAAAAAAGAAAAATGTAGACGGTAATTAGATACATGTATAGATAGCAGTTATTCTCCTGGTAAATACATGTGTAAACAGGTTAAGGATCGAGCGCTGAAAGCATAATTTTCTGAACACTTCCCACACAAATAAATATAGGTCAAACATGAATTTATAACCACGCTCTTTATAATGTTTTGAACATATTGTACATCATGAATTTATCTTAATGTTTCCAACAAATTCTGAATCATAAATTTATCACAATGTTGTTTATGTTTTAAAGGTATTTTCCCGGATACTCCAGGGGTTACAATCACTTTTACTCTCTACAACCCTGGAACATATCATGGCAAAATTGAAGGTTCCATGAGCAACACCCTGTGGACAAAATGAAAAGACTTAGTTTGATCCTCTGATGTACATCAAACGAATCTCGAGGTCACATAACCGTAGCGTGTTTGTAATCTTCAAAAGGAACGTATAAGGCTGTGATTGGTCTTTTTTCTCCTGGAACCAATCAAATTACCTTGCATACGCCTTCAATTTTACCATGATATGTTCCAGGGGTGAGGAGAGCGAAAGTGATCGTAACCACTAGAGAATCGAGGATGAAATATATTGTACATCATGAAATTATCACCACTCTCTTTATAATGTTTTAAATGTATTGTTAATCATGAATTCATCTCAATGTTCTTTGTTTTCAATAAATATTTACCTTGATACTGCAGGGGTTACAATGAGCAAGACCTTGTTGACAAGACTAGTTTGATCCTCTGATGTTCATCACACGAATCTCAAGAACGCATAACGGTAGCTAGTTTGTAATCTTCAAAAGGAGCATGTCAGCCTGTGATTGGTTATTTTATTTTCTCCTGGAACCAATCAACTTATTTCGCTTGTGCCTTCAATTTTTGGCATGACAAGTTCCAGGGGTGAGGAGAGAGAAAGTGATCGTAACCCCTGATATTGTACATCACGCTCTTTATAATGTTTTAAATATATTGTTAATCATGAATTAATCTCAATGTTCTTTGTTTTCGATAAATTGTAAATCATGAATTTATCACCTTTTTTTATTGTTTTTGTTTCAAAAATATTGTTCATCATGAATCTATCACCATGCTGTTTATGTTTTAAATATTATTTATGAATTTATCACAATATTGTTTATAACGTTTTAATTTCTACATCATAGAAATATCACCATGCTGTTTATAAGGTTTTAAATATTATTTATGAATTTATCACAATATTGTTTATAACGTTTTAATTTCTACATCATAGAAATATCACCATGCTGTTTATAATTGTCTGAATATATTGTTCATCATGAATCTTTTACCAAGCAGTTTATTGTGTTTTAAATATATTGCAAGTAATAACTTAACAATCAAATCATCAGATTTTTAAAAATATTTGTATACATACCAATATCAGTAATGAATTTCTAAAGTTTTCAATTGACTGCAGGTATAGTATATAATAAAGGTGATCACCATTATTTCTAATGTTTATATAGATAAACGTAATGTATACAAAACCTAACAAGATTGTTTATTGTCAATATTGAAGAAATATGATCCTATGAATACACAGCAAACACGTTTTTTTGAGAGCAATATACAAAGCAATGTAAAATACTTATACCATGTAACAATCAAGTGACAGCATGGCTAAGTATATTGTGGATTTACCTGCATCGCATTAATTATGTATTTTTTATCAAGATCTATGTAAATGTTGATTTCATACATCTCATCTATAACTTGGTTGAACTTGTCATTTTACACTACTTTTTACCTAATGTGTCAGGAAGTTTTCAAAGCAATTAATTTCAGGAAAAAAATACAAAAATGTATTCATTTACACCATATCTACTGTATGTAAACTATGTCAGTTTCATTAAAGATACACATGCAATCAACACATTTTGATTCAATAGAAAATTTTACTAATATTATAATTTAAGACAAAAAAGGCACGAGGTAGTTTAGGATTTATTAGTGCTTTACCTTCCCAAACCAGCATTGAAAACAGTTTTTGCATCTATTCATTCAATATCACAATGGATTTCCGTTCCGTGTGTTATCCCAGCATCCTTTAGAGAGCAGCTATTTGCCTCCCTTGAAAGGTCTATCCAGTAGTTTATTTTAATACCTCCTACTTTAATTTTCATTTGCAAATCTTTATCACAAAGATTAAATATTCTGTGGAATTCCTGCTTTAAAAAACCAAGAGAATCTGTTTTACTATAGCACTGATTGAACTTTTGACCTGCATATACAAGAACAACCCTCATTGGATAGAGCTCGACACTTAGTGCTCCTGTGAGTAGTCCTTCAGAAATGACCTTACGTCTTATTGGCTTTTGTCCATCCTTAAGCCCGAACCAATCAACAATTCTTGTCCAACCAGATTCGTTGATGGCCACAAAGTCATATCCCTCCAGCAAGTCTGAACTCAAGCTATCATCAGTTTCCATGATGGGAGAATTGTCTACAGGGCCTGGATGAATTCCATCTCCTTCTTTCTTGTTTAGGAAAGTCTGACATTTTCCTATCCAACTATTTGAAACTATGAAAACCTCTGACTGTTTCTCCAACGACTTTGACAACATTTTCTTGATAAAACTTTGCTGTGTCCTTTTGTCAGTATATCTTAAAGTCGATTCATTTCCGGGTTTCTCAGCATCTTCAACCTGTTGACATCTCAAATCTGCTTCTTTCTTCATATTACGATCCCGAGTCTTCGATGTCGGAGAATCAGAGCCATTACTAGTTAAACGACCTGAATTACTGGTATGCTTTCTTATCCTCTCCAGTGCCACCTTGGACTTCATGTGCACATCAATCTAAAGTACAAGATAATGGTTTGATGCATTTATGTTTTTTTTTTTAATTTTCTGTATGTGAATCAAAAGTATATTTGGAGTTACTGCATACTTTACTTGATCTATATAAATAAATTTGACAACCACATATTTTCAAAAATAATTTAAAACAGGATTGCTTTGCAATGCGAGAGTAAATATAAACATATTCAAGGTAACATAATGAATAAGTAATTAATCTATAGGCAAATGAAGATTAACTATCTTGTTTCATTTACACCCTTGACTTCCATGTGTATAGAGAGGAGAAAGGCTTTGCAACTTATTTCTTGTCAAACTAGAGAAGTGCAAATATCAATTACCAGGGTAAGGACAAGGAATTACATAGACTGATGAAATATAATTACACTTACATCTTGACCTACACATTCCACAACCATTGTCTTTCCTGAGAAAATATAATGATATCATTAAACATGTATGTACACTTGTTAATTAAAGTCTTTCTTATTTTCCTTGTTCTGGGTATGTTTTTTTTTTTTGGAAATGGGTTTTTTTCCACATACCTGAACATTTTAACAACATCACCCCAAAAAAATGGAATAAGTATGGCATGTGGCTGCTGTAACAGTTAATGTTTAATATAAATAATTATGGACCTATCAATCATCAAATCAGTATCATACATATCACTGGGAAATATATTTAATGACTGTCACAGACTGTACCTGATTGTTTACTGGTTTAGAGTTTTACTTTGTCCAGGTCCCCGCTATACTCCTTATTGACAGTTGACTGTACCTGATTGTTTACTGTTTGATAGGTTTTCTTTGTTCAGGTACCGCGCTATACTCCTTAATGACAGTCGACTGTACCTGATTGTTTACTGGTAGAGAGGTTTGTTATAATACTCCTTAATGACAGTCGACTGTACCTGATTGTTTACTGGTAGAGAGGTTTATTTAAATAAGACACAGAATGACAGTCGACTGTACCTGATTGTTTACTGGTGGAGAGGTCTACTTAGTCCAGGTCCCCGCTATACTCCTTAATGACAGTCGACTGTACCTGATTGTTTACTGGTGGAGAGGTCTACTTAGTCCAGGTCCCCGGCTATACTCCTTAATGACAGTCGACTGTACCTGATTGTTTACTGGTAGAGAGGTCTACTTAGTCCAGGTCCCCGCTATACTCCTTAATGACAGTCGACTGTACCTGATTGTTTACTGGTAGAGAGGTTTTCTTAGTCCAGGTCCCCGGCTATACTCGTTAATGACAGTCGACTGTACCTGATTGTTTACTGGTAGAGAGGTTTACTTAGTCCAGGTCCCCGCCTATACTCGTTAATGACAGTCGACTGTACCTGATTGTTTACTGGTAGAGAGGTTTACTTAGTCCAGGTCCCCGCCTATACTCGTTAATGACAGTCGACTGTACCTGATTGTTTACTGGTAGAGAGGTTTACTTAGTCCAGGTCCCCCCCGGCTATACTCCCAGTCGACTGTACCTGATTGTTTACTGGTGAGAGAGGTCCCCGCTATACTTTAATGTCCACCTGATTGTTTACTGTATACTCCTTAATGACAGTCGACTGTACCTGATTGTTTACTGGTGGAGAGGTCTACTTAGTCCAGGTACCCCGCTATACTCCTTAATGACAGTCGACTGTACCTGATTGTTTACTGGTGGAGAGGTTTACTTAGTCCAGGTCCCCGCTATACTCCTTAATGACAGTCGACTGTACCTGATTGTTTACTGGTAGAGAGGTTTACTTAGTCCAGGTCCCCGGCTATACTCCTTAATGACAGTCGACTGTACCTGATTGTTTACTGGTAGAGAGGTCTACTTAGTCCAGGTCCCCGCTATACTCCTTAATGACAGTCGACTGTACCTGATTGTTTACTGGTAGAGAGGTTTACTTAGTCCAGGTCCCTGCTATACTCCTTAATGACAGTCGACTGTACCTGATTGTTTACTGGTGGAGAGGTTTACTTAGTCCAGGTCCCCGGCTATACTCCTTAATGACAGTCGACTGTACCTGATTGTTTACTGGTAGAGAGGTTTACTTAGTCCAGGTCCCCGCTATACTCCTTAATGACAGTCGACTGTACCTGATTGTTTACTGGTGGAGAGGTCTACTTAGTCCAGGTCCCCGCTATAGTCTTTAATGACAGACCGTACCTGATTGTTTACTGGTGGAGAGGTCTACTTAGTCCAGGTCCCCGGCTATACTCCTTAATGACAGTCAACTGTACCTGATTGTTTACTGGTAGAGAGGTTTACTTAGTCCAGGTCCCCGGCTATACTCCTTAATGACAGACAGTACCTGATTGTTTACTGGTAGAGAGGTTTACTTAGTCCAGGTCCCTGGCTATACTCCTTAATGACAGACAGTACCTGATTGTTTACTGGTGGAGATATTTATATTTTTCAGGTCCCCTATTATCCCCCTTAATCACAGACATTCCACTGTACCTGAATGTTGACTAGAGGAAAGATCTATTTTATCCAGGTCCTCAGCTATCCTCCGCAATGTATCACAGATGCCTTGTTTTGAGTGTACAGCATTCAGACTGCCTTTGTTCATGTGAACTGTAGCTAGTGGCTCATACACCTCCAACTCAGCTGTAGCCTCAAGTCTAACATTTACAAGAGATTTCATGTTTCCTATGTAAATGCCTCCAACAAAATATAATTCATGACCTCCTGTGCATTCTTCATCAATGACCATCAAAGAAAGTGAGTTTCACTTGAAAATGACAGGCAAGGACACGATCTGGTTATTGTTTTTGTATAAAATAAGGGAGAAGACTCTATAAATAAGTTCACTCTGTTAATCCTCATAAATTACATCATACTGATGATCTGTGATTGTAAAAATGTTTAAAATCTTAATAAGCTGACAATATACCAATAGCAACTGATTTACAGCTGTCTCAAGGCAGACAATCAAACTCTAATATATACTTACAGTCTTCTGTACTGGTTAAAATCCCTCAACATATACTTACAGTCCTCTGTACAGGTTAAAATCCCTCAACATATACTTACAGTCCTCTGTACAGGTTAAAATCCCTCAACATATACTTACAGTCCTCTGTACTGGTTAAAATCCCTCAACACATACTTACAGTCTTCTGTACAGGTTAAAATCCCTCAACATATACTTACAGTCCTCTGTACAGGTTAAAATCCCTCAACATATACTTATATATACTTATAGACCTTTGTACTGGTTAAAAGCCTTCAACATATACTTACAGTCCTCTGTACAGGTTAAAATCCCTCAACATATACTTACAGTCCTCTGTACAGGTTAAAATCCCTCAACATATACTTACAGTCCTCTGTACTGGTTAAAATCCCTCAACATATACTTACAGTCCTCTGTACTGGTTAAAATCCCTCAACATATACTTACAGTCCTCTGTACTGGTTAAAATCTTTCAACACATACAGTCCTCTGTACTGGTTAAAATCCCTCAACATATACTTACAGTCCTCTGTACAGGTTAAAATCCCTCAACATATACTTACAGTCCTCTGTACTGGTTAAAATCTTTCAACATATACTTATATATACTTGTAGACCTCTGTACTGGTTAAAAGCCTTCAACATATATATATATATATACAGTTTTGTGTACTAATTAAAAGCCTTCTACACTTAAAACTTACTGATTATAAGTCTTTATCCTACAATATACTTACAGTTCTGTGTACTGTTTAAATGCCTGAAAGGGTAAAAAAAAGTCAATGTAAGTCTCAGGCTTATAGTGGTCAAATCCTCACAAAGGGGGTTCTCACTTATATATACTGGAATCATAAGAAAGCAAACACATTTATTCTTTAATCTAGCATACCCACCATTCATTGTTTTAGAGTACAAACATGTAATTTAGGGAAATATCTATATTGTGCCTCAAGGAAATGCATAAAATTAAGTGATTGATAGAACGAATTGTACAATACAGCATCATTGTAAGCTTACTCTCCATTTAACCTAATTTGTATAACATTCTTTCATATTTGTACCACATTATGTAATTATGTGTTTGCTATTTAACCTTTGAGTCGGATGGCTCACTGAAAAATAAATTGAATGAATGAATGAAAAATAGACAGCGACACAAACAAAGACATAACATATGCATTCACATAGCAGGGTTTCCTACTCTCAGGCACATGAATATTTTTTTCACGATCTTGTATGCATTTCAATTTTTAAATAAATGATGAAATGAATTAAAAAAACTGAATAGATGTAGAAGTTTGTGAAAAAAGGGCAAAAGAAAGAACATAACTGACATAAAACAACCTTGTTTCTTGTATTCATATCAATATGTTTACAGAGCAGAAAGAACATTTAAGGTTGAAAAAAAAGGTAGTAGAGAGGAATTGTAAATCAAAGAAGTATATTCAGAAGTACTTTACAAATCATTCTTAAAATGGCTTCTTAACAATGAAATGGAAGTGTATCATTAGTTACATGTGAATAAGACAGACAACAGGCCTCGTGTTGTTACTATGTCTATTACAAAGATAAAGTGATGATATCAGAAACACAGTTTCTATAAAAACAACGTCAAAGTCAATACAATACATAACATCAAGGTCAATACAATACATAACCTCAAAGTCAATACAATACATAACCTCAAAGTCAATACAATACATTACCTTAAAGTCAATACAATACATAACCTCAAAGTCAATACAATACATAACCTTAAAGTCAAAGTCAATACAATACATAACCTCAAAGTTAATACAATACATAACCTTAAAGTCAAAGTCAATACAATACATAACCTCAAAGTCAAAGTCAATACAATACATAACCTCAAAGTTAATACAATACATAACCTTAAAGTCAAAGTCAATACAATACATAACCTCAAAGTCAATACAATACATAACCTCAAAGTCAATACAATACATAACCTCAAAGTCAAATTCAATACAATACTTAATGTCAAGGTCAATACAATACATAACCTCAAAGTCAAATTCAATACAATACATAATGTCAAGGTCAATACAATACATAACCTCAAAGTCAAAGTCAATACAATACATAACCTCAAAGTCAATACAATACATAACCTCAAAGTCAATACAATACATAACCTCAAAGTCAAAGTCAATACAATACATAACCTCAAAGTCAAATTCAATACAATACTTAATGTCAAGGTCAATACAATACATAACCTCAAAGTCAATACAATACATAACGTCAAGGTCAATACAATACATAACGTCAAACTCAATACAATACATAACGTCAAAGTCAATACAATATATAACGCCAAGGTCAATACAATACATAACGTCAAGGTCAATACAATACATAACGTCAAGGTCAATACAATACATAACGTCAAGGTCAATACAATACATAACATCAAACCCAATACAATACATAACGTCAAGGTCAATACAATACATAACCTCAAAGTCAATACAATACATAACCTCAAAGTCAAAGTCAATACAATACATAACGTCAAACTCAATACAATACATAACGTCAAAGTCAATACAATACATAACCTCAAAGTCAAAGTCAATACAATACATAACGTCAAAGTCAATACAATACATAACGTCAAAGTCTATACAATACATAACGTCAAAGCCAATACAATACATAACCTCAAAGTCAATACAAGTAGTATAGGCCTAAATGCCTGAGAGATGGTAACACAGTATCAAGCATGCATTTTTTGTTATGTCATTTGCGCTTCTGGAGGTTGGAAATTTTTTTCAGCTTTGTTAATTGCCATTAGTAAACATATTGTCAATCAGAGGTATGTCTTAACTTATCCAGATAGTAAACATATTGTCAATCAGAGGTATGTCTGAATTTATAAACATATTGTCAATCAGAGATAGTAAACATATTGTCAATCAGAGGTATGTCTTAACTTATCCAGATAGTAAACATATTGTCAATCAGAGGTATGTCTGAATTTATCCAGATAGTAAACATATTGTCAATCAGAGGTATGTCTTAACTTATCCAGATAGTAAACATATTGTCAATCAGAGGTATGTCTGAATTTATCCTTGAGTAATTTACTGTATAATTTATACATTAAGTTCCCCAAATTTGATGTTTCCAAATTCCAGCTGGGTAGTAGGCTTCTTTGTTAGACCCACACCCAATTTAAACTATATCTTGGTGTCTTGGTAAAACGAATGCATTTCCTTTATATTTGGTAACAATTAGATATTGTCTTAGTTACATTTAGATATGTGTAGGTCTTTATTTGCTTAGACAAAAGGAAGGTCTAATTTTCAAGTTTGCTGGAGTTTTTTATAGAGTGCTTTGACCCATTTGATATCAAACTGTTGAAGTATGACTCTTTGTCTAGAAAATTTATTCCTCCAGAAGCTTTTCTCATCAGAACTTCATGTTTAATTTTTTTGTGGCTCTTTTCAGAAAATTCTTGTCCACATTTCTCCTCCCTCAGTTTTCAACCAATTTCCCTGAGATTTTGTAGACTTGGAAACCTCAACATGAGGTTGTGGTCTCATGAGGAATATTTTGATTCAACAACATTTCAAAAAGTTATTGCTTTTTTATTTTAAGCACTTGTCCAGAGATTTTTTTTCAGTTTTCCACCCACCTCTTAAAAACTTGGTTAACATAAATTTATTATTAAATATAAATCATCATTTTCCCTCTCAACATTTTGACTTAATACAGCATTTTCATATTCTTTTTGATACAACAAATCCTGGATATTTCTTTTACATTAGATGGGCGTATATTGTACTGCTCCACTGTACTGCAGGTATACCATCTAATCCCAGTGACTTATTGAGATTCATGTTTCTTACAGCTTCTATACATTCTGTTATTGACAGAGGGCCATCACATGATTTACTTGTTTAGTTGTTTTATTTCTTGTAAAAAGCTGTATTTATATAATCAGTTGTTTTGATATGATCTGGTAATGAAGTCACATAGTGAATAAAAATGTTTGATTACCTTTAAAAATCTCAGACTCTTCTATCACAGTTTGGTTTGTTTGTTGGTTACGTTCAAGTCGGAGGAAATGTTTTGTGTTTTGTTTACCCTTTTCTACCCATTTTCCTCTTATTTTGAATACCATGTGCCATATATTAATGAATATCACCTATTAATTAAACTTTAATTACAATTATCTTCGTTTGTATTTTTAATTCCAGCTCTAAGTTGCGTAATTTATTTTTCCTGTCAGTGCTTTTCCTATTGCCAAAAGCTATTGATTTTTTCTGTAATAGTTGACTTGCATAATTATTTCTACCACAAGTTATTGTCTTCATAACTTATCACTTGGATAAACATGGAAGGATGAGTATCATTGTTCTAAATGATCCACTAAACAGCCAACATCAAATGAAGGTTTCTAATGGACTCCTGCAAATTTTCATATCCTCACAAGTTTGAATCATACATTTTAATAATAATGAATCCAAGAGGAGTTTAATGTATGTAATCAAACCAATATATGTTCAACTATGTCATCTGAATCAGTTTTGGAATTTAATGAAACCAGACAGTGATTCCAGTGACAATTCTGAACCTTTCAGAAAAAAAATGTATCACATGATTATATATATAAAGCTCTAGCTGTTTAACCATGTAATATCATGACACACTTGTAGTAACAATACTGTGACATCATACAGGTCACATGATTGTTTTTGTAACGACAAAATTACAATCCGAGTTATCTGATAAACAGAATATTATACGCCTATCCATGTCATATCAAAGTAACTGAAAAAGATAATTTGATATGACACAAGCTAACACTGGCTAAACTCTTGCTGTATAGTAAATAACTGGACATAAGCCATTGTTAAAAATAAGAAAATTCTCAATCACATTCTAAACAGCTTACCTGGTACCAATTTGTGTCTGGGACAGAGTGTTGCTGGAGAATTTTCAACCCTTGATTTTTAAGCTGTTTAAGAGATTTCAACTGACTGTCTACTTTCTGCATTTCTGTTTCAAAGTAAGAATGGATAGCTTCTTTCCTGGTTTGTAAATTGGATCTCAGCTCAGATTCCTTTTGATCTAAAACTGATCTCAGCATACCAAAGGTGTCCATTACCTCTTTCCAGTCATTTCTTATATGTTCCTGATATGAAGATACTGCATTGTTATTAAAATAGAACAACATGGAGATCCATGGTGTCAAATACAGATTTTGCACGAAAAAAATCATAGTTATTTAAGTTCGCTTATGAAACTTAAAAACAAATATTTTGTTTTCATTGAATTTTTTTTTAACAATTGACTTCTATTATATTACAGATAGACAGGTCTACTGCAGTCATCCATGTTCAATCGTTGTCTTTACTACTTTTGTCATCACTTGCTCTCTTCAAAAAAATCGAAGAGCAAATTATATCAGTAAAATTAAGTATGTGCTAATGAAAAAATGTCTATTTAAGCAATAGAAACTTGCCTCCATACTGCTGCTTCGACTGGTGAGATCTTGTTGAGTACTGACTAGACAGTACGTAAGTTTAGTTATCTTTGGCAACACTGACTGCTTCACTTCATCCTTGAAATATTGTTATCCATAAAATAGTACATTGTACTACAAACATGTGAAGTACATGATATGTCTATTGTTTGATCCAAGAAGTATATTAAACCTACTCTTAAAACAGTTAGGATAGTCATCACTTTTGATGGCTCTAAATCGTCAATATGAAGAAAAAAGTAAGTATGGTGTTTTAGATACACAAGTATATGACATATCAATTTTGAAAATCAAGGAACTTTTTTCCTATGTAACCATACCACCATACCCACAGTACTGTATTAGTTAAAACATAGACTCTAATATACAAGTCCGTGGTTAAAAGTACAGACAAAATAAGAATTTACAACAGCAGCTATATAATAACTGTTTCATTATTCCAAACCATCCAAACTTCATATTTATATGTGATACAAAGTGAATGAAAAATTTATTTACTTTACAAGACAGGACTTTATCTTCCAAATCCTGTGTGTGATGGCCTGGGTGATCTGTGAGACACTTGGTACATATCACACTGCTACAGGTGTTGCAAAATACAGTCAGGGATCGCCTGTGTGTCTCACATACAAAACCTTGATTTTCAAGTCTTGATCCAGCTTCTGTTTCTGTGCATTCAAGTTTAAGAAGCTGAAACTTACTGATTATATTTGCAAGAGAAAAATTTCTTGGTAGTTCAGCAATTTGATTATCCTTAAGATTGATAGCACATTGACACAAAGGACAAGGAAATTGTTCTGCCTTTCCTGTGAGTTGCTGTATGTGGGCTCTTAGACACTCCCTACAGAAGTTGTGTCGACACGGTAAAACAACTGGATCTTGATACAACTCCAGACAGACTGGGCAGGATAGCTCATCTTCAAGTCCTCCACTCATCCTATCCTCCAAAACACATGTCATCTTGCATGAAGCTGAACCAAAATAAGAAATTATCAGAAACCTGGGAAGACTGAAAATAGTGATTTAATATGAAAAGTTCCTATACTATTCAATAATTCTCTTTCTAAGTTAATCATTTTAATAATCCTATCATTATTTCTTACTTCTGCAAAAGTTAAGTTGGTATGAGCACCTGATTAAAGTTCAGAGGTCATAGACATCATCATCATCATAAAGTATACCCTGCATAGAAATATGTGCTGATCCATGATCTACCTCAAGACTGGTCTTCTGTGGATTTTGTGTAGAATAGGATTGACTATCATTATAAAGAGCAACACCACAATAACATCATAAATATTTGTTATTCTATCTATTACAATACAAAAAACAACCTAAACTTAAAAGCTCATAACAATGCTTAAATAATGTTAAAAAGCCAATAAATTCTACTGAATTGAAAAACATCACATTAACACCATTGAACGTTCACTTCATAAATGGAAAACTACAATTCCTTCAGACATCACGTTAAAACGCTTCTATTTTACTGATTTTTTTATTATCATTATTGCATATAGATATCAAGTGTACCACCTTATGAACAATGACAGCTGGTTTTCTATGAAATATGCACTTAAAAAGGTCAATTACCAATTGTAAACAGGAAATCCAAATCTATTGAACAACAGTATGGATGTATTAATATTTGCGTCATATATGAATATGCATGCGCACAAACACCGTAAACAATAAACGAAAATTACAAACATTGTGTTTACCTGTATTTCAAAATCTGGAGAAGATGTTATAAATGTAGAAAACTGGGATCAAATGAAAAAAAAATCTACATAATCGGAAAGTATTTCTTCGCCCTAAGCCTTTTGTTCGTCCTCTTGAGTTCTGCGAAACTGCAAAACGAAAGTAGTTAATTGAAAGGGCGATAACTCAATATCTAATACAACATTTTAAATTTTATTTTTATAGCGCAGGTAGCTTCTAACCAAAATTAAAGATGACTTCTTGAGTGTTTGGTTCCATATTTAATCAACCCCTTAAAATCAGCCACCCTTTCAATCTTTTTTTTGCTTTTTGACGGTACCGGAAGTTTGTAAATCTGCACATGCGTAAATAAACATTACGAAATAGCGGGAAATCACACATTTTGTCAACGAAGCAAGATAAAGAAATAGCGCAAAACAGGGGAACGAAATGAGCGAACAACTGACAGCAGGGGCTCTTGAGGTAATCAGATGTTAAACTCAAATATTGTAACTGTAAACCTGATAATCCATGCGGCTGGCTCGCTTAAATTAGGCGAAAGTCAAAATCACTAGTGCTGTCCCGAATGTCCGTTAGTGTTTATTGGACTGATAGTTAAGGGTCGTGAGTTGTTTTACCTACACAATATTCATAGGACTCGTCTATAATGATCTCTCAATGTATGCCGAAAATCGCAATGCGTGATGAGACCCATGATAATTATTGGGCTATTTATGCTTTCTTTTCAGTCGATCATCGGAGGAGAGTCTGTTGACAGCCCTGTCTTGCAAGTGCTTGTAAGTATTGCTTCGACAGTTATTAATTTACTGGTAATTAGTTTACAAGGACCATGAGCGTGGCATACAGATGGTGATGGTTCTAACTGACCCCTTTTGAAAGCATATTACTCTATTCCTGTTACATGCTACTTAACTTGATGATAAATGATGGTGTAGAACGTGTCATGTGAATATTTTTGTCAAAATGTGGAATGGATCTGCTCTGCAACATTATTAAAAGTTCCCAAATTTGACCACAATACACAGAAAAAATACGAATATTGTTTAGTTGGAAATGAGCTCATAACCCAATTAATCGGAAACTTACTAATGAGCACAGATAGTTTGTTGTACAGTAAATCAGGAACAGAAGAAATTATTTATTCCCTGTTGTGATTGTGAAAGAATCGTATTGTTGTGGAGGCAACCCGTGTCTGTCCTAAGGTTAAACATAATTAGTCAGCTCACAACCCAGTATAATTTTAGGGACTCCAGCTTTTATAGTTTTGATGGGTCATCTCAACTATAGGCATAAGTACTATACCACTACCATCTTGTATCTTGTAATATCAATGTATATATATAATCACTCTGTAACTATACATGTACATTGTAGGTATGCTTTTATGTTGTACTGCACTGTTGTCTTTTTTGCCTGAATAAATATTATTATTATTAAGAGAAATGTTAGAGCTGACTTGCCCTAACAATGATGATTGTGGTGTTCAGTACCTTTCTCTTGTATATACATATATAAACTGGAAAATCAGTGCATTTTCATACTGTTATCTGGTGCATGATTTAAAAGACAATATGAGCCACTGCAGAGTAGAGGATTTGCTAAGTAAGTAACTTTTATGTCACTGGTCTTAAAAGAGAAAATTAACAAATATACATTAAATTATTGTACATAAAAATTTCCCTCAATATCAATTGCATTGGGAGGCAGAAATGATACAATAGCTTAGATGTTACTGGTTTGGAATGGTACTAGGGTTTTTCCTGGGGACTAAATATAGCTGAATATGGGCCCCATTCCTGACTGGATTTATTTCATAATATATCAAAACTCCATAATACATAGATTACTCCTTAAAATTTCCTTCCCACCATCTGATTTTTATTCTCAAAATGAGATAAAAAGGCCCTTTTCCAAATGAGTGGAAAAAACCTTAAAAGTATGTTAACATATAACAAATATGGTGCAATGACCAAAATTATAATCCTGTCTAGAGTTTAGAATTTTGGTTTTATTTTTAGGCTGTGGAAAACACATGACAGGCAATGACCAAAACAGTTGTTGTCATAGAAGACCAAAAAAAGGATCAAATTGTGTCAAACTTAGTGTCCTTTGGCATGGTCTGGAGGGACTTTCCATAGATCAGTTAGGGAATTTCCATTGATCAGTGAGAGCATCAAAACCGAAGAAATTCTTTGCAGTGACAAAAAGAATTGGGTCATGAAAATTGCTTCAACAAATATTACTTTCTTCAATGAAATGATTTGTATATATGCAGTATTGCCAACATATCCTATTTGGTCATGATCAGTTAAAACCATGTTGAAAGGATCAAAACAAAACACAAATGTTTATCCCAATCGCAGTTCTATGCTAAAACCTACCTATGTCTGTGATGAAAGTATGTATGGAGGGAAGCTTTGCTTGATGTGTCAATAAAAATTATTGGCACACTGCTCATCATACTTTCTGATTTGGCAGTTCCTTGTCGTAATCAAACTTCTGTTTAAAAATCATTGAATGACAAGATTGTTTATAAATGTTTGATTAATATTTCAGAGTTCCAAACGAATCTCTGCACAAGGCTCAACTGCTGACAGATACAGACTCCTTTTATCTGATGGAGAGACGTCTTATTCACGTAAGGAAACCCAATCCTACTAACTTGCTGTGGAGGAATAATTAAACAGATATAATCAGATTTGATAGTTTCTTTATCGCTATTAATATTAGTGCCAGAATGAATACACAGATATCTTGTTCACTGTCCTATTGGTTGCTTCGGACAGTGTTAACTGGTTAACATTTCATCTATCAATAACCACCGTCATTGTCCTCCACAGCTCATCTTGTTCACAATTTGATTGGAACCTTCTGATGTTGTTAACTGGTTAGCTTTTCAGCTGTCTTGATGCCAATATGTCTGTGCAGATAGTTACTCAATTAATTGGCTTCATTCATTTTTCTTGAACATTGTAGCAGTCTGGAAAATATTAATTATGTGAAGTTGTCCATATTTCCTGATTTGACTAAGTGAACCTTGATTGAAAACTAGACCATCATGGAAGTGATTGTTTTACATATTGTTACTCTATCTGTCAAAGAATATGAGTGAGTCTTTTAACAGGAATTGTAAATATTCAAGTTTTATGTGTATTAGAGCTTTTACTTTCGTTACTGTTTATGTATTTTTGTTATTGTTGAAGTATTCTTTAAGTACATGGCAAACATGAATGAAATTAATTACTAGTCATATCTGTTTCTGTGTGTTATATATTACTGGTTATATTGAACAGCTTGTAAGCAAATTGGGTTCATTACAATGATATTTTTGACATCCTGCTATCTGGTTATAGTTATGTTTGTCTGAGTTGATTATCTGGTCGGCATTATTGCTAACCATCCCAGCACTAATTAAAAGCAGTTCAACATGTTTAAAAATCCTGGTAATATCTGGATATCATTATAAAATGATGAATCTTGACATGATTGTTGTTATATCTTGTGTATGCAAAAGAAGTTATAAGAATATTCCACCTCGACAGATGCCATGTTGGCAACACAGTTGAACAGTTTGATGGAGAGTGGTGACATGGATAATTTAGCTGTCATAAAGGTGAATCGTTATCTCTGCAACACTATCCAAGGAGACAAGTGAGTATTTGTGTCAGAATACAACATAAAACTGGTAAAACATTTCAGACATCATAGTACTTCAAAATATAATAAAAGAATGTGACCTACTTTTAGGATTAGAACCAAACACAGAAATATTGTTAAGTTTATCAGAAAAATCTCATTACCATGTACATATTGTTAAGTTTATCAGAAAAATCTCATTACCATGTACAAAGAAAAATTAAAGTTTTTACTGGAGCTTTATTCCGACACTCGTACATGGATTTCACATCCGTAAAGTATGGAGAAAAATCATTAGTTAATAGGAATTTTTTGAAGGAACAAAGTGCAACCAGCATTTAATGAGTCTCTGATGATTTCAAATCATTACAGTATGTTAATTACATACCATGTTGGTTTTTCTGAAGCCTGATTTTGTCCTTGTATATTTTGGCCTTTGATCACATGTTTGGCACTTTTTTTTTGTGATTTGTAGGAGGGTGATGATCTTGCTGGATGTCTCTGTGCTGGCCAAAGGCTCAGATGTAGGACAGCGGCTTGGGGCTCCTCAACAACTCAAGGCTCAAACAAATGCAGATAACCATCGTTAGTTTTAATAATCTCGAATTTGATCATAGCACTCTCTCTTTTTCTCAAAAGTTATGCTTTTGTTACTTATGTATGTTCTGTAACACAGTAGTTTTTGCATCTCTGTCAATTAGTGAGAGTCGGGGGAAGATGTAGTTATTAGATAACGTTATGCTTAATTCGTGGTAATAACATTTTGTGCGGCTGCTAACGCTTGAAGTTTCATTTTGTTCAAAGAAAATTCATTGATATCTCAAAGAATTCTGGAAATTTTGAGAAGTTTTTCGTTGTTTTTTTTTTTATATGTATATATATATAATTCTTTTGAATTCATAGCTTCTAGGCTTGCCTCTTTTTAGGTCATCTGGACCCGAAGGGTCCGATGACCTATAGTCATCATGCTTCGTCCGTCGTCGTCCGCCGTGCGCCGTGCGCCGTCCGCCGTGCGCCGTGCGCCGTGTAAACTTTTCATTCAAACGACTTCTTCTCAAATACTAGAAGGTCTAGGGGGCTAATACTTGGCACAGAGGATACTGGCATGGAGCTCTACCAAGTTTGTTCAAATGAATGACCTTGACCCACTTTAAAGGTCACAGGGGTCAAATATGTTAAAATCTTTAAACAACTTCTTCTCATTAACCAAAAGGCTCAGAGTGTAGATATTGGGCCTGTGACATGCTGGGATGAAGGACTACCAAGTTTGTTCAAATGAATGACCTTGACCCACTTTAAAGGTCACAGGGGTCAAATATGTTAAAATCTTTAAACAACTTCTTCTCATTAACCAAAAGGCTCAGAGTGTAGATATTGGGCCTGTGACATGCTGGGATGAAGGACTACCAAGTTTGTTCAAATGAATGACCTTGAACCACTTTAAAGGTCACAGGGGTCAAATATGTTAAAATCTTTAAACAACTTCTTCTCAATAACCAAAAGGCTCAGATTGCTGATATTGTGCCTGTGGCATGCTGGGATGAAGGGCTATCAAGTTTGTTTAAATGAATGACCTTGAACAACTTTCAAGGTCACAGGGGTCAAATATGTCAAAATCTTTAAATAACTTCTTCTCAAATACTAGAAGGCCTAGGGGGCTAATACTTGGCCCATAGCATGCTGGCATGGAGCCCTACAATGTTTGTTCAAATGAATGACCTTGGCCCACTTTCAAGGTCACAGGGGTCAAATATGTTAAAATATACAAAGGACTTCATCTCAATAAGCAAAAGTCTATGAGTGCCGATATTGGGTCTGTAGCATGCTGGGAGGAAAGGCTACCAAGTTTATTTAAATGAATGACCTTGAACAACTTTCAAGGTCGCAGGTCAAATATGTCAAAATCTTTAAATAACTTCTTCTCAAATACTAGAAGGCCTAGGGGGCTAATACTTGGCCCATAGCATGCTGGCATGGAGCCCTACAAAGTTTGTTCAAATGAATGACCTAGGCCCACTTTCAAGG